TAACCTCAGCGAGCCTGTTTCCTCACCTGTGAAACGGTGTAACACCACCACGTTCACAGGGCACCCATGCAAAATAAATGAGATGAGGGGTATACGATGGCCAAATAAAAGGAAGCTTTTCTATATCCTCCCAACCATCCAAAATGGGGCAGACAGCACTTTATATACGTGCACTCTCAGGCTTCACTATGATCACTGTGATAGTCTGAACAGTCCCTCAACCCCCAGATTCATATATTGAAGTTCTGATGCACAGTGTGATTGGATTTGGAGAGAGGGCCCATAAGGAAGTAATTAAGGTTAAAAGAGGTCGTAAGGGTGGGGCCCCTGATTCCATAGGATCAGTGTCCTCATAAGAGGAGACACCAGGCTGGGGCAGTGGCTCATGCCTGTAATCTCAGCGATTGCTTGAGGCCAGGAGTTCAAGACTAGCTGGGTATGGGGGTGTGTGCCTGTAGTCCCAGCTACTTGGGAGGCTGAGGTGGGAGAATAGCTTGAGCCCAGTTCAAGGCCGTGGTGGGCTATGATTGCACCACTGCACTCCAGCCTAGGTGACGGGGTGAGACCCTGTCTCCAAAAGGAAAAAAAAAAAAAAGAGAGAGAGACACTAGAGCTACCACCTCACCCTCCCTATCCAAAAGAAGAGGTCAAGTGAACACACATCACACATGTGAGAAGGCAGTTGCCTAGAAGCTAAAAGAAGCCTCAGGATGAAACCTACCTTACAGGCATTGGATTTCCCAGCCCCCAGAACTGTAAGAAATACATTTCTGTTGTTTAAACCATCTAGTCTGTGGTATTTTGCTATGGCAGCTCCAGCAGACTAATACAACGTATTCTATCCTCTGGAGCTTTAATCAAACCTTACCATGATGGCTGCCCTCAGGCCAACAAAGACGCTGCGGGTTAACTATTTGATCTGGGAAAGCCAGGGGCAAACCTGATGAGCGGTTAGTGCTTCAGCCTTCTACTAACACCTGCCAAGTGCTGGCAAGCACTGAGCTTACAAAGATGATACGAAGGCATGGATCCTGCAGGAAGCTCACAGTCTGGCCAGGGTGGTAGATTTAGAACAATGACAGTAGAGTTGTACTCGTTTTCTATTTGCTACAGTAATAATTACCACAAACTTAGTGGCTTAGAATAATATAAATTGGTCAGGCATCCTGGCTCATGCCTGTAATCCCAACACTTTGGGAGGCTGAGTGGGAGGCTTGTTTCAGCCTAGAAGTTCAAGACCAGCCTGGGCAACATAGTGAGAACCAACCTCTATAGAAGAAATTAAAAAATTAAAAAAATTCACAAACAACGCATGTATTACTATGGGTCTTACTGAGCTAAAATCAAGATGTTGGCAGGCTATGTTATTTTCTGGAACTCTAGGGGAAAATCCATTTTCTTGCCAGCTTCTAGAGGCTGCCAGCATTCCTTGGCTGGTGGTTCCCTTCCATCTTCAAAGCCAGTGATGACAGGGTAAGTTTTCTCACATCACATCACTCTGACACTGACTCTCCTGGTTAGGGTTACATCGGGCCCACCTCGATAATCCAGGATAATCTCTCTATTTTAAGGTTAGCGAGTAGCAATCTTAATTCCCCCTTGCCATGTAACATAACATATTCACAGCCTCCAGGGATTAGCATGGGGCAAATATGGGAGGCTATCATTCCCCCTAGCAAAAAGTGGTAAGAGCAGTACTGACAGATGACAACTATGTGATATACATATGTTAGAAATAATTAGGGCAATTATATAACAATTCTCTCTCTATATATATATAGTTTATAACAATTGCAATGTGCCCAGTACTACACTAAGTACTTGATATGGTTGGATCTGTGTCCCCACCAAATCTCTTGTTGAACTGGTGTTTCCAGTGTTGGAGATGGGGCCTGGTGGGAGGTGGCTGGATCATAGGGGTGGATTTCTCCCGTGATGACGAATGGCCTAGCACCATCTTCTTGGTGCTGTTCTTGTGACAGTGAGTGTGTTCTCAAGAGAGCTGGTTGTTTAAAAGTGTGCAGCACCTCCCTGCTCCATCTCTTTTGCTCCTGCTTCTGCTCCCGCCATGTGAGACGCCTTGCTCCCTCTTTGCTCTCCATCACGACTGGAAGCATCCTGAGGCCCCAGAAGCAGAAGCTGCGATGCTTCCTATACAGCTTGCAGAACCGTGAGCCAAATAAATCTCTTTTTTCATAAATTACCCAGTCTCAGGTATTTGTTCATAGCAGTGCAAGAACAGACTAATAGAGCACTTTACAACATTAGCTCGAACAACTCTATGCATATTATTATTATTCTCATTTTACAGATGAAGAAATGGAGGCACAGAGGTTAATTAGCTTGCTCAGGGTCACCTAGCGAGTAAATGGGAGCCTGGACCCCAGTTCCACAGCCTGCTCTTAAACACCATGCCACGCAGCCTCTCAGGAAATAGGGTATCTTAAAGGGGCCACTTACCTAAGAACAGGACTAAGCACTTTTATTTAGGAAGCACATGAACTGACTCATTTACACTACACAGATAACTGCCAATATTCGGACTCTTCTTTTATTGGGCATCTGCAGTCTGATTAATGAGAGATTAATTAATAGTCTGTGTTTGTTGCGGGTCACTTTGACCAGGCCAAATGAAGAATATATTAAAACATACAATATCCTATGTGTACCTGACACAGAGAAAGCGCTCAGACACGCAAAATGCTGGTGAAGCACAGATAAATCAGTATCTGTCTCTAAGCAATTTGTGAAACACACATTCTGAGGAAGGCATCAAACTAACCAGCCATTCTTCATTCTAAGCACGACTGGAGAAGGCTGGAAACAGATGAGCGGGTCTTTGAGGCCAGTGCTTCTCAAACTTTAATGTGCACACAGATCACCCAGGGATCTTGTTAAAATGCAGATTCTGATTCCATAGGTCTGAGAACCTCTAACAAGCTCCCAGAGGATCCTGATGCTGCTGTCTGTAGGTCATGCTTTTGAGCAGCAAGGTCCTGAGCCTGCAATGTTATTTTTCCACCGAAAATATATGGTCATTCATTTATTTGGACACCAACTGTCAAGTGCTGCCAGGCTAGGTGCTAAGGATAAATAAAACAGATACATAAACAGGACTCTCTGCTCTTAAGGAGTTCACAGTCCAGTTAAGGCACTGGTGAATTTCTCTAAATTCCACAAATCAAGGGCGATGTCCAATACAAAATGAACTCTATCAAAGACAAAACCCTTACAGAACCGTCTGCAGAGTGAGAACAGATACACAGGTTGTGCTGGAAGCAACAATAATATTAAGATGAACACCTCTCTCTTCAAGGCCTCAACAGATGACTCAAGCTGTAATAAAACCAGATATTCCCGAGAAGCAGAGTGGGTGAGGGACAAAACTAGGTGTCAAGGCAACTTCAAAGCCAACAAAACCCCATGGACACGGAATCATGTCTATATATCATCTCTGGATCCCTCTATTCAGTATGGCAATGTGCAGTAAGACTTGCTAGCATTCGTGACAGTCAGGTATAAACAAAAAGCTATATAAAAAGAGCAGTCAAGAAAGTGGTGTCCCATGAGAGAAGCAGCTAGATGGCTGTGGACATACTGAGCATGAGAGCTGAATGGAGGCGGGGTGGGGGGTTTCTTATCAAGGTCCAAATCCTTTAGTAGAGGAGGAAACTAAAATCCAAAGCAACACTTGGATTACAAGCAGCAGTTCTCAACTGGGGCAATTTTGCTCCTTCGGGGGACATCTGGCAATGTCTGAAGACATTTTTGATTGTTACAACAGATGAAGTGCTACTGGCACCCAGTGAAAAGAGGTCAGAGACGCTGCCAAAAATCTTGCAAGACACAGGACAGCCCACTACAACCAAAAATCATCTGTTCCAAAATGTGAATGGTGCAGAGGCTGAGAAACCCTGAGTTAAGGAATTTGCCCCAGGTTAAAGAATGAATGTCACACCATAGAACAGATTAGAGCAGTCCAACAGAGCATTCTGCAATGATGGAAACAGTCTATAATCTGTGCTGCCCAATATAGTAGCCAATAGCTACACGTGGCTATTGAACACTTGAAATATGGGTAGTGTGACTGAGAAACTAAAGTTTAATCTTTAATAATTTAAATTTATAATAGCTACACATGGCCAACGGCTACTCTACTGGACAGAACAGAACTACAATCTACCTTTTCTGCCTCCCAGACTGGTATTCTTCCAGTTTCACAGCCTGCTTCTTTCCACTTTTCTGAAATCACTCACTCACTTGACTTTAACACTAAGATTTGACTGGCAGAAAACCACCAAAAGTAAAATAATATTGCAGTTAAAAACCAAAACCAAAACCAAAAAACTTAATAAAACATCCCCAGTTAAACTTTCGTTGTTTTGTACATTGGGAAATAAAGAAAAGATCGCTGTTACACATGCATGTAACAAGACTGCAGAAGCAAGAAAGGTCAAATTATTTCTACTTCCATTTGCAGGGAAGGGTGTTATAACACAGATAAAACAAACAACTCTCTGAGCATTGAGATCACTAGGTTTCCGACCTGATTCTCTACTTGGTCACTAACAGTCTCCTTCACTTCTCAGAAGCTGGGTAAGAAACCAGGCTGGTCACCATCACCTGCAAATTCTCCGGCTTCTGACTTCTCTCCCACCACAGAGACAACTCTCTGATTTGCTGGTTTGGGTGGCACCGCACCGAAGACTCACTTTGTGCCATGCACTGTGCAAAGCACTACCCATACATGATGTCACTTCACTCTCACTGCAGCCCTTTGTGGCACCGGGAGGTTAAAAAGCTGGGACCGAATTACACAGCCAGTCAGGAGTAAACGGGGGACTCCTAGATATGGCTCCCAATCTGCTCTTAATCACTACGCTAAGGTAAGGGCCTAAAACCTGGGAAAATAACCCTGGCTAGGAAGGCGTGAGAAGTCCCCCTGAGGAGCAGAGCAGTCACGGGCTGCATAGCCAGGGAGGGGTCCTTGCGGCTCTTACTTCTCGATCTCCAGCGCTGCCACCTTCCGCTTTTCGTACAGCTTGTCATTGAGGGCGCGCACGATGTTAGGCGTGAGCGGCGCGAAATCCTTCTCGGGGTTCATGGTGGCAGCTCGGGGAGCCTCGCGACTCCTTAGCCCGCGGCTGCCGGGGCCGCGCCGGGGCCAGGGGAGTCTGCGGCTCCGCTCTGCCCCCGGCGCCGGCGCATGGACCACGCCGCTCCGGGCTTGCCTGCCACGCTCCGCCGCCTCGCCCTGGAACCCGGGCCCGGACCCTGCTCCAGCACACCTGACCCTGGCCGCCTAACAACTCTCGCCCGGTACCAGCGGTACTCACGGGACAGCGGCCATGTTACTCGGGTCACATGACTCTATAACACTTCCGCTTTCCGCCGCGAGGACCCGCCCCTCGCCAGCCACGCCCCCACCGCGGCCCTCAGGTGGATTAGCCACGCCCTCGTAAGGCTCCACCTACACCGCGCACGCCATCCCGCTGCGCGCCAGGTAGCTGGAGTGTGATTTCAGACGTGCTTTAATGGGTATGTAGCTCAACTGATGGCACGTGCTGGGCTTCTGTAGACGTTCGTAAGACCGAATGGGTTCTTGGAGTCTGATTCACTTAACATAATTTATTCAATACTCACCGAATTCACTAGTTCATTCAGTACTTGGCCACTTACCAATTTCCTAGATACAGATGTTTCCCTAACTGCAGTTAACACTGTCATCACTTTCACCATATTCTAGCCACTCGTATTATCTATTTAATATTTTCCTCAAATCAACTCACTTAAATACTTTAAATCTCTTTCAGTTTTGCTTGTGCCCTAAAATCATGAGTTTGAATAGGTATATTTTTTCTAAGACACATCAAAGTAAATTCTCAATTAAAAATGGCACTACCCGTCTACCACCTAAGATCTCAGGTACCAACAGTGTCTGTCACCCACCATTTGGGACTTGGGGTGTATTTACCATGCTCCGATGCCTAGGAGGGCTGGTTACAGACAGACAGGCCCCAGATCTGCTGAGTGCAGGTCTCTAGATGGGTTTCCTGGAAAGCAGCCCCTTCAGATGCTTTGGGAATCACATTACATGGTGGAACAGAAATCCCAACTACGTGGCAAAATATTTAAAAGCAATTTATGGCCGGAGTGTGGTAAATATGCAGTAATAGGGAGGTGTGTCAGCCTTTCTTCTCATAAGCTTTCAGAGTGAACAGGGACTTAGGACAAGGGCTAGATTACAGTGGAGCTCAAAGAATATCAAATACAAACAGTTTCAGAATGCATGGTGATACTTTTCTTTAATGAATGAAAAATGCATATGTTGGCCTTATAACAACCTTGAAAATGGAGTATTATCCTCAACTTATAGATCAGAAACAGGGACACAATGAATGAAGGGTAAAGGTAGGCAGAATTATAGGATGACCTCCAATATTCCCACCCCTTTGTGTACATGCCCTGTATTATCCCCTCTTTCAGTGTGAACAAGACTTGTAAATATGATGGGCTATGCATCACTCACATGATTATATTATGTAATATCACAGAAGAAATTTTGCAGATGTAATTAAGGTCCCTAATCAGCTGACATTTAATTAATAAAAAGAGAGATTAACTTGGGTGGGCCTGACTGAATCAACTGAGTACTTAAAAGAGATTAGAAGAAGTTTGAAGTGGAAGAGAGACTCTCCTGTAAGGACTTCAGTCATATGGCCACAAGGAAATGAATTTTGCCAACACATTGAGGGTCCTTGGAAGCAGATCTTTCCCTAGTTGAGCCTCCTGATGAGGATGCAGCAGGCCAGCCCCTTGATTTCAGCCTTGTGGAACCCTGAGCTGAGAATCTAATTCACACTGGTCTCTCAACCCATGGACACTGTGAGATAATAAATTTGTGTTGTTTTGCTCTCCTAGTTTTGTGGTAATTTATTATGCAGCCATAGAAAATGAATACAAAGGCTAATCCAAAACTCTGCAAGTCATGCAGATATCATGTCTAGAAAAATCCATAAAAAATGTATTTTCCTATACTGGTGGGGTTTTCACAGCTGTTAAAACCTTTGCTGACACAATCCTATGAATGAAGGTAGGTGTGCTAACAAGTAGTAGTAGTACTGCCAAAGACATCTCCAAATGTCTTGCAAAGTTTGGTTTTAGGATTTTGATGATGGTTGATGCAAAACACTGAAAAAACCTAAATCAATGGGAATGATTTGGTTCCATTTCTCCAATGTGTGTGCATTTCCACGGGACCCATATCTAATATAATATTTCATGTTTCTTTTGCTTTTTGGTTTGGCTTTTTCTTAGAGATGAACTTAATTTCCCAAGGGTCATGATACAGTTTTTAATAATTCAAACAGTAAGGATTTTTTTTGTTTTTAAACCAGAAGTATTCTTTTCTCCTGAAATTACATTCTGGCTCAGGTTGCTAAGTAACCAGTTTTTTATTCAAGGCCCAGACCAATGCCTACCTTTATGTCAGAAGTTCCTAGAAGGAAGTGGTTCTTTTCTCTAACATCGTGAAAAACGCCAACTAGGTAAGATTGTTTATGCATAATTGAACTAGTAGTGGTGCTAAAAATAAAGCGCAAGGGCCACCTTTGCCTTCTACCCTTGTTCTTTTTCTCTGACCTGTGACCATTCTTGTTGAAGCTCTTCTAGACTAGGGGGATAACTGATGTGCCTGACTGCATACTGCTTATTATTTCACAGTTATAATTAATCTGCATCTGTGTGATGCTTGGTTGTTATGTTAGAACTTGTAATAGTTCTGTAACAACTATGCATAATAGCTATTACAAGGTATATAAAAGTTATGACATAACTTGCACCAAGAGGCTTCTGGTGACATTGTATGAAATTGTACCTAAATCTTGAACTGTACAAAGCAGTTTCTCCAACAGCAATGTAATTGTAGCTGGAGTTTCAGGGCAACAGGGTTTAAGGTATTAGGTAGAGGCTCTTGAGATGTGGCAGGCCCTCACCAACATCATAATATTGTCACCTCTGACTTGAGGCTCCTAAAGAAGTGGTTAGACTTAGCATGCCACACTCACCAGGGGCTCTGTGTGGAACAAGGCCAGGGAGCCCCATTCCCATGGTATTCTGTGCACAGTGCTCCTTGGAGTTCTGTCACACAGCTACCCTGACATTTTCTGAACATCCCCCAGTTAGAAGTCTCCTGGTCTGCTTTGCTGAGAATGGACTCTCCAATGTAACTTCCACATGCATGTGTTGGAAGGGTTATTTTCATCAAGCCCCCTGTTAAGCTACTTTGCCATTCCAAATTTGCTGATATAAGACTATTTTGTTATTTTTGAGTCCAAGGAAACATGAGAAAAACCTAAAGGGAAGAAATGCACCCAATCTCAAACCAGCCTGTAAGAGGGTTCACATTGGGGCAGGATCTGAGCTTGGCTCTTGGTCCCAGGGAGAAAGAACTTCCTCCTCTCTCAGGGGCTAGGAGGATTTGGACCCTAGATTCAGTGGTGTTACAGGACCAACAGGTTTGTGTGCCCACTGCGCAGTAACAGACCAATGCACAGAGACAGTGGGGATGCAGCAGAGAAAGAGTTCCATGATCAGAGGCACTGAGTGATGAGATGGGAGGAGACCCTCAAATCCATCTCCTGGAGGAGTTCTGTGCTGGGGTTTTTAAGCGGATCCTGGAGGGTGAAGGGCTGCAAAACTGGGTCACTGGTTGGGTAAGATGGATGAAATCGTCAGGATGTGTAAACTGCATTCTTTGGTGAGTCAGCTTCTCGTGGGGTCCTTCAGATCAGCTGATGTCAGTTGATTCACTGGTACACAGAACTTGAAAGAATAAATATCTCAAATGGAAAACATAACATTTCCTAATGTTCAAGTTGTTACCTCCATAGCATTGAGGGGAACAATGATCTTTAGCAGGGTCTACTCTATGTGATTCTGAAGCAGCAGGCACCAAACAGCTATGAGGAAGCAGGTCTGAGCACAGGCTGATCTAGTGATTAATGCTGAGTGTGTTGCAACCTGGGTTCATTTTTGTTTCTCCCCCTCCCTTCTCCCTGATTAATTTTATAAAATGTATAAGGACAGCTTCAGTGACTTGGGGAGCATTGGAACAGATCTGAAGTGGGGGGAGTTGCCCCAAGCCACCCCAAGGCTGGGTAAAAGCCATACTCTGACTTGACTGGTGGCATGTTAGCCAAGATTGCATATAGCTTCTTCCTTTTTTTCTTCAGCCTTAGGAACCATTTGGTGTGCCATATTCACCACTATTGAAAAGGCATAACCTTTCTGAAGAGTAGGGTGATGGACCAATTACTCCCCTCCTCCCACTACCATGACCCCTTAGCTATACCTCTGGTGAATAGGTGGAAGGAGGCACATTTTGGGGAGGGTTAATTTCATCAGCTAGGTCCTATGCACATTTGGTAAGACTCCTCTCAGGGCTGTAATGAAGAGAGTTATGGCTGTGGGTTTGGCAAAGGTCAAGTTTTGCTAGGGACCTTACGGTAGCACTCTCAGCTTCAGTGTGCATGCAAATCGCCTGGAGGTCCATGAAAATGCAGATTCTGATTCCACAGGTCTGGGATGGGGCCTGAGGGCCTGCCTTTCTAACAGATTCCCAGGTGATGCTGATGCTGCAGGTCCATAGGCCACTCCAAATAACCAGGAGGCTGGAGGCTTTAGAGTTGTGGTTCTCACAGTCTGATTGGTATCACCAAGGAGCATCACCAGGAACTGGTTAGAAATGCAAGTTCTCAAGCCCCACCCAAATCTCCTAGATGGGACTTCCTGAGGGTGGGGCTCAGCAATCTGTTTTAGTAAGCCCTCCAGGGGATGCTGATGTACACTAATATTTGAGAAGCACTGACTTTATACAGACTCCATATATTTGCAAGTCATCATACTTGCTCATTGATCTTAGCATTCTCTCAGATGATTGGTCAGAGCGATCTTTGCTCACTTAACCATTGGGAAAATCTGTCATCTAGTTGTCTTTATAACTATCAGTGGTGTCTTTAGAGGTTGTAAAAATAAATTGTCTATTAAGTACCGCAGTCCTCCTCCTCTATGGTTTCAGTTACCTGTGGTCAACTATGGAATGAAAATATTCAACGAAAAATTCCAGAAATAAACAATTCATACATTTTAAGTGGCACGCTGTTCTGAATAACTTGAGGAAATCTCATGCCATCCCACTCCATCCCGCTCAGGATGTGAATCACCCTCTGGTCCAGCGTACGCATGCTGTAGACACAACCCACTTGACAATCACTGAGTAGATGACTTGGGGTTAGCAGGTCAACTGTCATGGGATCGCAATGCTTGTGTTCAAGGAAACCTTATTTAGTTTAATAATGGCCCCGAAGCACATGAGTAGTGATGCTGGCATATTATTAAAATTGTTCCACTTTATTGTTATTGTTGTTAATCTCTTACTGTGTCTAATTTATAAATTAAACTTTATCATAGGTATGTATGTAAAGGAAAATACCACAACATATAGAGTGTTCAGTACTATCTGTGGTTTCAGGCATCTACTGGGCACCTTGGAATATATCCCCTGAGGATGAGGGAGGACTACTGTCAAGGTCTGGGTTTATGGACATTCTAGAAAAAGCCTCTTTGGTCCTAGAGTATACTGGGCTAGGGTTGTGGGGAGGTGCAGAAGAAGTAGAAGAATGTCCCTCCATGAAAGCCACCTCTGAGGTATAAGGGCTTGCTAAAAGATTGCCAGGCCACACCTACACACTTTTTGATTCGGTAGATCTGACATGGGGACTGAGAGTTTGGATTTTTAATAAATTCCCAGGTGATAGTACTGCTGCTGGCCAGGGACCATTTCTGAGACCCATTTCTTTACAGCATTCATTCCCAAGAGGCCATCTTCTTCCAGCCTCCTGCCCTCTTGCAGGAAGACTGTGGGGGATGAGTGTGGGGAAAAGGTAGAGGCAGGGGGACCCTCCATCAGAGGTGTGTGTCTGCAGAAGCAAACTCATTCCAGGGCCAGACTTCAACCATCTTTACTTCAACAGGTGACGCTGATAGGTAAGTGGTCCTATTAATACACACCACAAGACCCAGGGGAAGCCAAGTCTCTGGGCTGAGGAATGTGCCCCACTGCTCCTTGGAGGTGAAGCTTCCGGAGTGATGTTTGAGAAAGGCACTGACTTGGATCACCACGCTTTAGGTGCACACAAAATAGTGGCAGTTGCAACGTGTCAAACTGAGGTGTGGTCCTTCCCCGGCAGGGATTTCCCGACTCAGCTGCAGCACAGGTGATTGATCTGTAGCACTGGTTCTCAACTCTGCTGTACAAGTTAAATATATACATAATAAAGATGCCCACGCCCCTCTCCAGACCAATGACATCAGATGGGGATGGGGCAGGTTCTGAGGGAGAGTTAGGTGGTTCTGATGTGCAGATGGGTTGAGAGTTCCTGCTCTCCCGCTGAGTGCTATCCAAGGCTGGGTGTGTGTGTGTGTGTGTGTGTGGCGGGGGATCTCTATTAGCCTTTCTCCGAGGCCTAGACTTCAGTGGGAACTTTCTGTGTAGGAGAGATGTGGGATTCGAACACTGATGGTATTAAAAGCCAAGAGAAAAAGTAATGAGAGTGTCCCTGGATTGCCCTAATGTTATCTGTCCATCCCTTTGAAAATATTATTTGGCTTTTATGTGAAAGCAGAATAAAATGCCACATCAAAATAGTCATATCTAGGGGCTTTTTAAACCATTTCGGATGTTAAAAAGAAACTGCAGTACCCAGCGTCATGCACTGCTAACTGTTGTATGGTGGAAGGTCATTAGTGTGATACCTGTGCCTTCTTGATAAAAATGGGAATTATTACAAAGTACTTGAGCTTTGGGGCTATGTTAATAAATTAAATTTAAGGACTTACAAGGATTCAGTTGCCTAAAATATAGATCTGCTGTGTGTAGTTATACTGTTTAATATGAAATAGATATTTCATATCTATATTTGGAAAACATAATATGGAAATAACTGTCCCTATAATTGTATGAGAAGAATAAAAACAGTTCCTTTAGAATTCTTATTGTTTTCTTTATTCTTCTTCAGGCTAAGACAACGCGTAGCTTTTGGTTTGATATAGGTAACCCTGGTTACCACTAAAGGGTGATTCCCTTCAGATAATAAACCCATTTAATTCCAGTTTCACTCCCTTCGCCAGGAGGGCAGCTCACAATCAGCTTGGTGGTGATGGGGATTTTGCTGCCAGACGGGTTTCCTTCAAAGGAGACTGTGATGTTGTTGATCTTCTTGGGCCGCACAGACTCTACAGCGCGAACGGTGAAGGCTGGGTTATCCACGATAATGGAGAAGGTCACCAAGTGATAGAAAACATTCTTGAAGGGGATGATTATGCTGTACCCGGCTCGGATTGGGAAGGGACCTTGGGGCTTGGGAGGCAGAGCCATTCCAAAGAGGGGGATGATATACTCTCCACCTGCGAGCGATGATAGAATTAGGATGCCCTTGGTCTCACCCAGGTGGCTGGGCTCGAAGAAGACTTCCACGCTGGCTTCAGTGCCTCCCTGGCCTCCTGCGGCTGCATTAATGAGTTTTTCTGCGTGGAAGTCTGTACAGTCGGTCTGAAAGGGCAACAGACAAACTCAGCTCACATGAGATCCTGAAGAGCACACCAGGAGCTCAAGTTCACCCCAGTCCCTCCACTCCTGGACATCAAGCAATACGTCTGTGTGAGACTGGGAATGTTATAAAGTTGTGTCCTTATAACTCCCTTGCAGGGTAGGTATTACTAATTATTATTTCTCTTTTGCTACAAAGAAACAAATGCAAAGAGATGTTAATAATGTGTACTGAGACACACAGCCAGATTATGTCGACAGGGTAGTCATGGAGGCTGGTCCCCTATATCCGGTTCTTTTCTTCTATGAACGTGGAAAACCAAACGTTCTGGCTCCTAGAGGATGGGTGGCGCTAGTTCCAGACAACTAGCTGTGAGCAGAAGTGAAAGGTGTCACTTCCATGCTAGAGCCTTTCATTGCCAATTTAACTCCTGTCAGGGTCTTTTCACGCCTCTGATACTGTACTGGAAATATTTGAGATGGTGCTTGAATCCCAAGGGACTGAGATGAGCAGGGTCCCCTGCTGGCCTCTCTGGAAAATTGCTCGAATGAGAAACAAGCCTTCATCTTAAGCCCCTGTGGTTGTTACTGCACATAACCTAGCGTCTCTTGGCTGAAACAACTGATCAAGAGCCTCTACCTCTTGTCTACAGCCACAAGATCTCTGATTTCACCCGGGCATGTGACTGCCCAGTACAAAAACTACCTTTCCTAGCGCCTTTGTTGACAGGTGTGGTCCTGTGAAGTTTTGTTCCATGGAATATTGGTGGAGGTGATATATACAACTGTCCCCTCTTCCCTTGTAGCTGGCTGGAATATGGATGTCCTGATAAACCATCTTGGCCCATGTGGACCAAAGCAGCTCCCTGCAGAGGGCAGAGCATTGGGACAGAAGGTGTCTGGGGGCCTGGTGTCAGCGAGCTGCCATTCCAGCTCAAACTGCTTATGCCCAGACTGTTATCTGTGAGAGAAACCAACATCTAATTTGCTGCTATTTGTGGTTTCTGTTTTTTAGAATTTTATTTTATTTTTTTTACACAGAGATGAGGTCTTGCTATGTTGCCCAGGTTGGTCTTCAACTCCTGGCTATAGCGATGTTCCCACCTGAGCCTCCCAAAGGGCTAGGACTGCAGGTGTGATCCACTGTGCCTAGCTTTGGGTTTCTGTTTTAGTAGTTGAACCTATATTCCAACTGAGGTAACAGCTAATGTGTATGGAGCACTTACTATAGGCTAGGCTCTAAGAAAATGGCTTTAGATACATATTTAAAATCCTTACAGCAATCCTGCAAGGTTGGGGGGTATTATCCCCATTTATAAATAAGCTTAGAGAGCTTAAGCAAATTAGTCATACAAAGAGTAAGTGGTGAAGCCAGGACTCAAACCCATGTCTGTTTGATTCCACAGCCGATATCATGACCACTAAGCTATACTGTCTCTCCCTATGGATCACTGAGCATGCTGTGCGAAACAAAACTCCCCTACACTCCATCACAGCTTGCTAAGACAGAAAGTCTATAATGGCAGAACCCAGGCCTGGTGCTGTTTGCTTCTAGCTAGGAGTTTCCAGGCTAGATTCAGGCCTCTGAGGCAGGTGTCACCATGGCAACGAAGCACCTGCGTCTGAGTCTCACATTCATGCTCCCTCTGAGTCTCACATTCATGCTCCCTTTGAGTCTCACATTCATGCTCCCTCTGTGTCTCCTCCCATTGGTTTTGAACCCAGTGTTGATGTGAAGGAAGGGCAGAAGGTAGAGCAGGGGCCACTCACCCTGCAGTAGTATTCTGTCCTCTGCCGTGTGTAATTGATGAACTTCACAAGGATGATTTGGCTGCTGCCAAGGACAGTCTGGAAGTGAACGGGCTTTTCCGGAAGTGCTGGCGTGGCTTTCAGATTGAGCTCATACTGGTAGTAACCCAAGTCAGTGTTGTGCAAAGTTAGTCTTCCGAAGGTTTCTCCAGCTTTCAGGGGCTGGAATTCAAATGAGAACGTGCCCTGGAAGAGAAAACAGAAGTTCCTGTCATGCTGAAAGGCTAACTCATCACCTGCCACCTAGAGACCTGCCCAAGGTTCCATAGTGGGTTGGGGGCAGAAATAGTGCACATGATCATGCTGCTCTTGCTCCTGGGGAACCTCTGTCCAAACCAGCCCACCCTCCCTCCCCTGTACCTCTCCTAGCTTTCTCCAGTTCAGGTGATTCTATATCTGGAATCTCTATGAATCTAAGTGCAGGTGCTGGACCCTCTCCTGAGAAGCACACATAGGGAGATGTGGAGATGGGCGAGTGCTGCCAGTAGGAGGGCTGAAGCTTAGGCAGCTCCTTCTTTGCTCATGGTCAATCTCAAAACAGTGTCCTGGGTTCTGCCATCCTCCATTATCACTCACAACAAAACAAAGCAGAACCAAAAAGCATTTCTTATATAGCGAAACAAGGGAAACAACTCAAATGTACTATCTGTAGATTAAACAAATTATGGTTTTCTCACTTCAGTGGAATATTGTGTAGCCACTAGAAAGGATGAGGTAGAGCGGGGCCGGGTGCAGTGGCTCACACCTGTGATCCCAACACTTTGGGAGGCTGAGGCGGTTGGATCACGAGGTCAGGAGTTCGAGACCAGCCTGACCAACATGGTGAAACCCCATTTCTAAAAAAATACAAAAATTAACTGCGTGCAGTGGTGCATGCCTGGAGTCCCAGCTACCAGGGAGGCTGAGGCAGGAGAATCACTTGAACCTGCGAAGCAGAGATTGCAGTGAGCTAAGATCGTGTCACTCCACTCCATAGCCTGGGCAACAGAGTGAGACTCCGTTTCAAAAAAAAAAAAAAAAAAAAAGAGAACAATACACATTGAAATGAAAGGTGTTGATGTTTAAAGTGGAAGAAAGGAGGTTCCAGAAATGCGTATATAGTATGAGCTCTTTTTTGTGAAGAGTATGTCTATGCATGTATAGAAAGAGACTGTTAGAATATATACCACACAGTTACCAGTAGTTATGTTAGGGTGGGAAAATGGGATTCTGGAGACTTATTTTCAATTTCATATGCTTTTATATAGGTAAAATTTGGTTTTACTATGAGTAGGTATTTAAAAAAACAACTAGTTTTTTTTTTTTTTTTGAGACGGAGTCTCGCTCTGTCGCCCAGGCTGGAGTGCAGTGGCCGGATCTCAGCTCACTGCAAGCTCCGCCTCCCGGGTTTACACCATTCTCCTGCCTCAGCCTCCCGAGTACCTGGGACTACAGGCGCCTGCCACCTCGCCCGGCTAGTTTTTTGTATTTTTTAGTAGAGACGGGGTTTCACAGTGTTAGCCAGGATGGTCTCGATCTCCTGACCTCATGATCCACCCGTCTCGGCCTCCCAAAGTGCTGGGATTACAGGCTTGAGCCACCGCGCCCGGCAAAAACAACTAGTTCTTATTGAAAAATATTAGAGGCTGGGCGCAGTGGCTCACACCTATGCTTTGGGTGGGTGAGGCAGGAAGATCACTTGAGCCCAGGAGTTTGAGACCAGCCTGGGCAGCATAGCAAGAGCCTGTTTCTACAAAAAAAAAAAAATAAAAAAAATTAGCTGAGTGTATGTAGCAGCACACGCCTGTAGTCCTAGCTACTCAGGAGGCTGAGGCAGGAGGAGTCCTTGATTGTAGGAGTTTAAGGCTGCAGGGAGCTATGATCATACCACTGCACTCCAGCCTGGAAGACACAGTGAGACCCCATCTCTAAAAAAGTTTTTTGAAAAAGAAAAATATCAGAATAAAAAGAGGATATCGCTGAAGTTATAGATGTTTAACAAAAAAGAATATAGTACAATAATTTAGATAATTTTACCACAATTTAAAAACTAGATAAAATAGACATGTGTATAAACAAATATAACCTATAAAAACAGACCCCACTTTGGGAGGCCGAAGCAGGCGGATCACCTAAGATTGGGAGTTCGAGATCAGCCTGACTAACATGGAGAAACCCCATCTCTACTAAAAATACAAAATTAGCTGGGTGTGGTGGCGCATGCCTGTGATCCCAGCTACTCAGGAGGCTGAGGCAGGAGAATTGCTTGAATCCGGGAGGCGGAGGCTGTGGTGAGCTGAGATCACGCCATTGCACTCCAGCCTGGGCAACAAGAGCAAAACCCTGTCTTTGGGGGGGAAAAAAAAATCAGACCCAAGAACATATAGAAAATCTACTTAGTTCTATCAATATAACCATTAGAGAAATGTAATCAATAGTAAAAAAAAAAAAAAAATCCTTAAAGAAATCCCAGGTTCATAAATCTTTACTTGTAAGTTATACCAGACAATCAAGGATGAAAGAATTCTAGTATTCCACAAATTCTTTCAGAGAAAAGACCAAGAGGGAACCCGCTCCAACCAGCATAAAGTTGATACCAAAATCCAACAATAATAAGAGGAGAAAGAAAAATCGGATGCCAGTCTTTCTCCTGAACATAGTGAATTTTAGAAGATGGCTGGGTACAAAGTCATTATACAAAATAAATGAACTGTAGCCAGGTGCGGTGGCTCACGCCTGTAATCCCAGCACTTTGGGAGGCCGAGGCAGGAGGACCATTTGAGGCCAGGAGTTTGAGACCAGCCTGGCCAGCATGGTGAAACCCTGTCTCTACTAAAAATACAAAAATAGCCACGTGTGGTGGCGCATGCCTGTAATCCCAGCTACTGAGGAGGTTGAGGTATGAGAATCGCTTGAACCCGGGAGGTGGAGGTTGCAGTGAGCCTGATCATGCCACTGCACTTCAGCCTGGGTGACAAAGCGAGATTCTGTCACAAACAAACAAACCCAAAATAAGTGAATTGTAAAAGATGATGGGGTATAAAATCAATATACAAAAATCAATTATATTTCTATATGCTTACAACAAATAATGAAATTTAAAAAAAAACTATTTGTAATAGCATCAAAGTATATAAAAGCATCAAAGTATATATCAAACTATATAAAAGTTAGAAATAAGCCTAACAAGAGATGAATGAAGTCTCTACATAGAAACCCCCCCCCAAAAAAAAAGTGCTATTGAGAGAAATTTAAAAAGACTTAAATAAGTAGAGATTTGCTCGTGGATTGGAAATCTCAATATTGTAAAGATATGAATTCTCCTTCTAATACACAGGCCCAAGATGGTCCTCAATAATCCCCACCTCTGGGGATTCCCAGCCTCGTGCAGTCTTCTCCCACACGATACCAACCTGTGTGACCATCGGCATATGGCAGAAAAGATGGCATGTCACTTCTGAGATTACATGATGAAAGACTGTGGCTTCTATTTTTTTTTTTTTTTTTGAGACAGTCTTGCTCTGTCACCCAGGCTGGAGTGCAGTGTTGCCATCTCGGCTCACTGCAATCTCTGCTTCCCAGGTTCAAGCAATTCACTTGCCTCACCCTCCTGAGTAGCTGGGACTATAGGCACACGCCACAATGCCCGGCTAATTTTTGTATTTTTAGTAGAGATGGGGTTTCACTATGTTGGCCAGGCTGGTCTCGAACTCTTGACCTTGTGATCAGCCTCCCTCGGCCTCCCACAGTGCTGGGATTACAGGTGTGAGCCACCACGCCCAGCCTGTGGCTTCTATTCTTGTGCACTCTTTCTCTTAGATCTCTCATCCTAGGGGAAGTGAGCGAGCTGCCATGTTGAAAGCAGCTCTAGGTAGAAACCTACATGGTGAGGAACTGAAGCCTCCAGCCAACAACTGGCAGGGAGGTAAGGCCTTTCCAGCAACCACATGGGTGAGTTTGGAGACAGAAAATCCAGCCCCAGTCATGCCTCAAGATGACTAGCGTCCTGGCTGACAACCTGATTCCAGCCTCCTGAGAGACCCTGAGCACAAAGCACCTGGCCAAGGTGCTGCTCTTGAATCTTGATCCTCAGAAACTGCACAGACAGTAAATGTTTGTTGTTTTAAGTAATGTTAATTTGTTACAGATCAACAAATAACTAATATAGTCTCAAAATAATCTATAGATTCAATGTAATCCCAATCAAAATCCCAACAGGTTATTTTTCTTTACTTTTTACTTTTTATTGAGGAAATTGACAAGCTGATTTCAAAATTGATATGGAAATGTAAAAGGCCAAGAATAGCTAAGATACTCTGGCAGAACAACAATATAAGAGGTTACTAAGTCTCAACATAAAGCTGGAATAATTGCTTGATTTACCAGACATCAAAGCTCACTCTAAGTGGGTAGTAATTGTGGTGCGCTGATATTGGCACAAATTCAGTAATTAGATCATTATGATATCACAGAAAAGCTAGAACAGACTCGTGCATAGATGAACTTGATTTATTTCATAAATGGTCCTGCAGAGCAGTGGGGGAAAAGATGGCCTTTTAAGTAAAAACAGTATGAGACAATTTATATCCATTTGGAAAAAAAAACTTGACTTCTGCTCACATGTGAAAAGCAATTTCAGGCTTTAGGCAAGATGATTGCAGCAGCATAGTTTGGTATCTCCCCAAATCTCCCCGCAAAATGCACAGATCTACTAGGTTAACAGCAGCAAGAACACATGGCCACGATTTATAACAAAACTCAGTGAAAAGGTAACCCCTGAAATCCCAAAATACGAGTGGGTAGGACCAAATTATCAACAGCTAGCAGATGGGTGCAGTATCAGCCACTATAGGGGAAAAGCAGAAGGAAGGTAAAAGAGCATCAGTCCTGACAGCCCAAGAACCCAGAGTTGCCTCTGAATTGGGGGCTCTCATGCAACCTGGAAAACTTTTTTTCCCTTGACATTGCATGAACAGGCAAAACCTGGAAAACCCGATAGGACAATTTGACAACAGCAGCCTAAGCTAGAGGAATAATTTCGGGCTCCAGTTTATGGTTAATCGCAGAAACTGTTGCGATAAGATTGGACAATATGGGGCAGTATAGGCCATTCGAATGCACAAAACCAAGTGACTGAAGCTCCTTCCTAAGATAAAACTCCTGCACTGACAGAAATCTATGAAAGTAGAATCTATTTGACCGTAACAGAGACACTAGGGGTAAAGGAAAGATAGAGTTCAGAAAAAACTGGGGATGAGAGCAGAGAAAATAAATCTTAAAAGCATAAGGCTGTATTTGGGGAAAAAAAATCAACATTTTGCAGTTACAACAGAGGAGAAAGCCTTAGATACACAGGTTACCCTCTCTTTCCAACAGTGTGGAAAAACCTAACATGAGCAATGGAAAAAGAAGATGGTAGAATTATACACAAAGTTATCATCTTAAAAAAGTGAATGTGAGCAGAGTAACAATGAAGACAAGACGGGAAGAGATATCCACAAAACAAAAGAGAAAAAGAGAACAGAACAGCCCAGATAACGAGAAAGCACATGGGGGAATATAAACTTGACTATGTCAGCATATTAAATACAAATAATATAAATAACTCCAGTGAAAACTAAAGATTGCTAGGATGGATTAAAAAAACAAATCTGACTGGACATGGTGGCTCACGCCTGTAACTCTTGGGCTCAAGCAATCCACCCGCCTCAGCACTTTGGGAGGCTGAGGCGGGTGGATTGCTTGAGCCTGGGAGTTTGAGATGAGCCTACAAAAAAATATAAAAATTAGCCGGGCATGGTGACACGCACCTGTAGTCCCAGCTACTCGGGAGGCTTAGGTGGCAGGACCACCTGAGCCTGGGGAGGTTGAAGCTACAGTGAGCTGTGATCACACCACTGCACTCCAGCCTGGGTGTCAGAGTGAGACCCTGTCTCAACCCCCTCTCCACCCCTCACCCCTCATCTATATACTGTTTATAAAAGACACATTTAAATTATAAGGGCACAGAAAGGTTGAAAGTATGATAATTAAAACATACACTATGCAAATACTAACCAGAAGAAAGTTGTATTAATAGCAGACAAAATGATCTTCAAGGCCAAATCGTTAGTAGAGACAAAGAGGATCACTTCGTGATGAAAAGAGTTTCAAGTTACCGGAAAAATACTATCATTTTTACTTAACCAAAACATAGCTTCAAAGTATACAAAGCAAAACATGACAAACTACAAGAAGAAACAAACAGATCCACAATCATAGTGATATACTTTAATGTACTCTCTTAACTGATAAAAAAAAAAAAAAGCAGACAAAAATATCAGTAAGAATATAGGAAACTGAACCTGACTGGGCGTGGTGGCTCACGCCTGTAATTCCAGTAGCATTTTGGGAGGCTGAGGAGGGCAGATCATGTGAGGTAAGGAGTTTCTGACGAGCTTGGCCAACATGGCAAAACCCCATTTGTACTAAAAATATAAAAATTAGCAGGCCGTAGTGGTGTGCGCCTGTAATCCCAGCTACTTGGGAGGCTGAGGCAGGAGCATTGCTTGAACCTGGGAGGCAGAGGCTGCAGTGAGCTGATATCACGCCACTGCACTCCAGCTGACTGAGTGAGACTCTGTCTAAAAAATAAACCTCAAAATGGCAAATGCATTCTTTTAAAAAAATAGATGGAGGATCAAAAAACAAAAACAAAAACAACCACCTCACAAAACCACACACCGGGCCATAAAAACAAGTCTAAACACATTTTAGAGAACTGAAATAACATAGAATATGTTCTCAGATCACAAAGTAATTTAAAAAATAACTAGAAAAATCCACATGTTTAGAAATTAAGAAACTCTTCTAATAACCATTAGTTAAAAAAGTATTAATCACAAAAATTAGAACCTTTTTGAACTGAATAAAAAACACTACAATCACAATTTGTATAACGGCTAAAGCAGTACTTAGATATTTATAATCTTAAATGTATAGATTGGAAAATCAGGAAGACTAGAAGTCAAAGCACTAAGCATTCATCTTAGAAATTAGATGAGCCCCCAGTATCCCAAAGGAAGCAGAAGGAAGGAAATAATAAAGACAAAAGCAGAAATCAAGTGACCAGAAAGCAACCATACGATAGAGTCACAACGGAGCCAAAAGATGCATTTTGGAAAGAAACCTCTGGTAAGACTAATCAAGAAACAGAGAGAGAAGGCACAACAACCAACATTAGAAATGAAAAAGAGACGTCATATTAAAAAGGTAATATGATATTAAGAATTGTATACCAACATTTTAATATAGGGATGAAATGAACATGGTCTTATTACTGACTCAAGTAGAAACAGAAAATCTAAGTAGTCCAATAACCCATTAAAGGAATTGAATAGTAGTAGACAAATAAGTAGTAGACAATCTCCCCCACCTCCACACATACAAAAACCAACCAGGCCTAGGTGGTTTCATCTGCGAGTTCAAGGAAGACATAATTTCAATCTTTTATAAACTCACAGAATCCAGAAAGTGAGAAAATGCCTGACTCTATATGGCTTGCAAAACTTTGATACGCAAACTGGACAGAGACAGTACGAGAGAGGAAAACGGTGATCTAAGCTCACTCATGAACACAGATGCAGATCTCCTATACATAATATTACCCAACTGAAATCAATCTGTTTGTAAAAAGGGAAATTAAGTCCATGAGGAGTTAGCAGTTTATCAGATTAGTAAACCTTAAAAAAAACCTGACAATACCAAGGGTTGGTGAAGATGTTGAACATCAGGAACTCTCATCACTGATTGGCAATTACCTACTAAAGTGATAGCTATGCACACTCTATGACCAGTGGTTCTACTCCTAGGCACACACTGTGGAACAAAGTATGCCTATGCGCATTGGGAGGATACATGTACCAGGAGATCCATGGCTACATTTTTCGGGATAACTAGACATTGAAACCAACACAAATGACCAGCCACTGAAGAATGAATATCTAAGTTGTGGTCTAGTCACACAATGGGATATTCCACAGCAGCAAAGACATATGAACCTCAGCTGCGTGCAACAACATAGATGGCTGTCTCAATCACAATATTGAGCAAAAGAAAGAACACATTAGAGAAAGCATATGCTGTGATTTCTCTCACAGAAAGTTCAAAAACAGGCAAATCTAAACTGTATTGCTCAAAAACAACAACAACAAAATGATCACAAAATAAGAACACTGGTAACTCTGAGGGGTGAGAGAGGGAGGGTGTTGTGATTGCAGAGGGGCACATGGCTGAAGGAGGTTTCTGGGGTGATGGCAATTTCATAATTCTTGGCCTGGGTATGAAACAGATATTTATTTCACAGTTATTTGTTTGAAACACACGTTTTAATACATTACAGGTATATATATGTTTTATAGACTTTTCGGTATAGATTTTATAGCTCACAGTGAAAAAGATCAAAATAAAATAAAGGGCATGGAGACTTGCTCTGAAGAACAAAATGGATTGTAGATTCTGCAGAGGAAGGGAGTCGGCGGGGGCTGGAGTGAGGGGAACTCGTCAGGTCGGTTGAAGGTGGAGAAACAGAAGCGATTTGATAGAATCCGGACAGTGAGAGTTTGGAGTGATAACCAGATAAAAAGACTCCAAAGAAAGTTAATCTCCCTACTAGTTCACAATTCTGTAATTCCATCCATGCCCTCCTAACCACTGTCAGTTTTCTTGTGCTCCTTCCTGAAGTAGTACGTGTGTGTGTGCACATGCTATTACGTACCTTGTTTTCCTTTTCACACCTATTCTGTACTACTTTTATTTTATTTTATTTTGAGATAGAGTCTTGCTCTGTTGCCCAGGCTGTAGTGCAGTGGTGCGATCTCGCCTCACTGCAACCTCCGCCTCCCAGGTTCAAGCAATTCTTCTGCCTCAGCCTCCCGAGTAGCTGGGATTACAGGCGTCCACCACCATACCGGGCTAATTTTTGTATTTTTAGTAGAGATGGAGTTTCACCATGTTGGCCAGGCTAGTCTCAAATTCCTGACCTCAAGTGTTCTGCCCTCCCTGGCCTCCCAAACTGGTGGGATTATAGGCGTGAGTCACCGCGCCTGGACTCTCTACTACTTTTATAATTATCAAAAAACAAGAAAAACAGTTTTAGCTGGAACAAAGCAAACAAACAAATCATAGAGACAAGGTTCATAGGAGAGAATTCCGAACTACATGCCCAAGCTCCTGTGAGGACTTTAGCAACAAGGAAAGGAACATGAGGGTGATTGTCCCAACCCCTGCCTTCCTGACCACTGCCAGGCCAGCCCACCCTCCGGGAATGCAGAGTGTGGATCCAGAGGTCTTGTGGGTGGAAGCCACTGTCACAGCTCTCAGGGAGCCCCTGACAGCCAAGGGGCCGTACCTCGGAGTTGGGAGGTACCACGAACTGGGAGGGCAGGGCGATGTCGGGCATCCGGCATTCCGTGGAGAAGGTCACCAAGTAGGGCAGAGGGTTCTCCAACTTGATGGAGGCTGATGCAACTTGCCGGACTGGGGTCACCATCTCGATGGTTTTGATGATGCCTGAAGGGATGACCCTGAAACTCACATTGTAGTACAAGAACTCATTTGTCACCTCGTTTCGGAAGATCACCTGCATTCACGGGGAGAGAGGGAGGAAACAGGGAAGAGCAGGGGTGAGCCGGAAGCCTCTGCACATTTTCAGGGGCTGCTTCTCTTTGTTAGCATTGTTTGGCATGTGAAGCACGGGTACCAGGCTGACAGGACCCTTGCAGCCTACCCGGATCCCTGCCAGTCAGACTTTCTAGTTAGGAATTCTAGTCCGGCTCCTCCCAGATGAACGATTATTAAATAGCCTGGGCTTGCGTTAGAAGAGGCTAGAGCAGGACTGTCCAATGCCAGCACTTTCCTGGTGGGGACAGCTGGCCGGCTCTGGAAAACAAGCAAGACCTCTGAGGTAAGTTTCAATGGGCTGGGCTTGCCTGCCTCTCTCTCTCTCTTTCTTTCTTTCTTTCTTTCTTTTTTTAGAGGGAGTCTCACTCTGTTGCCCAGGCTGGAGTGCAATGGCATGACTCGGCTCACTGCAACCCCCACCTTCCGGGTTCAAGCGATTCTTCTGCATCAGCCTCCCAAGTAGCTGGGATTACAGGCGCCTGCCTGGCTAATTTTTGCAGTTTTAGTAGAGACAGGGTTTCATCATGTTGGTCAGGCTGGTCCTGAACTCCTGACCTCAAGTGATCTGTCCATGTTGACCTCCCAAAGTGTTGGGATTATAGGTGTGAGCCACTGTGCCTGACCACAATGGGCTTTCTTCCTATTCCTGTTGCTGCTGGGATAGTTTAAAAACAATAGCATCTAACACTTAATTAATGATTACTGTGTGCCAGGCAATAAATAGAAATGCTTACTTAGTTAATTCACACAATTCGTAGGCACTGTTATTATGCCACTTCACCTTTATTTTATTTTATTTATTTTTATTTTTTAAAGATGAGGGAACTGAGGCTTAGCAAGTATCTTTCCCAAGGTCACACGTAAAGAAAAGTCAGGACCAAGATTTGAACCCAGGTTAGACTGACTCTAGAGCTCACACTTGTAACAACACTATATTGTCCCTTCACCCTGCAATGGACTTCTTGTGCTGCTCACCTTTTTAAGTTCTTTTCCCTGGTGACTGATAATGTTCAGCATCTTCTCTTGTTTTTATTGGTCATTCACATAGCTGCTTTTATGCAATAGGGTCTATTCAAGTGGTTTGTCCTTTCTAACACATTGGGTTGTTTATCTTCTTATTATTAGGTGTTAATAGTTTTTTATATAGTCTGGCTTTTTACTTTCAACTTCTTTGTGTCTTGAAGAGCCTCTAACACTCCCTGTCTTTTAATTGGAGTGTTTAGTGTTTTACATTTAAAGTGATTTTTTTTTTTTTTTTTTTGAGATGGAGTCTCACTCTGTCACCCAGGCTGGAGTGCAGTGGCCAGATCTCGGCTCACTGCAAGCTCCGCCTTCCAGGTTCACGTCATTCTCCTGCCTCAGCCTCCTGAGTAGCTGGGACTATAGGCACCCACCACCGCGCCTGGCTAATTTTTCTGTGTTTTTAGTAGAGACAGGGTTTCACCGTGGTCTCGATCTCCTGACCTCGCGATCTGCTCGCCTCGGCCTCCCAAAGTACTGGGATTACAGGCATGAGCCACCACGCCTGGCCTAAAGTGATTGTTTATATGTTTGACCCGAAGTCTGCTTCCTTGCTAGTTATTTTCCACATATCCCTTTTATTTTTCATTTTTCTGTTGTTACTTTCCTGCTTTCTTTTGGATTGATATATAATCTTTTGGAACATATTTTATTTTCTATACTGGCTTCTTAGTCATATTTTAAAACTTTTTTTTTTATTGAGATGGAGTCTCACTCTGTCACCTAGGTTGGAGTGCAGTGGTGCGATCTCAGTTCACTGCAACCTCCACCTCCTGGGTTCAAGTGACTTTCCAGCCTCAGCCTCCCAAGTAGCTGGGATTACAGGCATGTGCCACCACGCCCAACTAATTTTTGTATTTTTAGTAGAGACTGGGTTTCACCATGTTGGCCAGGCGGGTCTTGAACTCCTGACCTCAGGTGATTTGCCTGCTTCAGCCTCCCAAAGTGCTGGGATTACAGGTGTGAGCCACTGTGCCTGGCCTTTAAAACAATGTTTAATGGTTGCTCCAGAGCTAAAAATGAATCCTTATCAATATTTATTAAATGTTAATATTTTATCACTTCCCACTTGACAATGGACGCTTTCTGGTCCCTACCTCACACTTAATAATAACCTTGCGTTAGCATCACTTCATTTGCCTGTCCACCCCATCTTTTGCGCTTTTGTTGTCATATCTTTTATTTCTACATACATAAGAACATCTACCTTAGAATGTTATTATATGCGTTATAAACTGTCAGTTGTCTTTTAAGAAATCGAAGAAAAAACCCTCCAAATATATATTTTGCATTTCCCTAGGTATTGACCATTTCTAGAGCTCCTCTTTTCTTCTTGCAGACTGAAGTTCCCATCTGGTATCATTTCCCTTCAGACTGAAGAAGATCTATTAACATGTTGTGCAGTAAGGTAAATCTGCTGATAATGAATGCTCTCAGGTTCTTTTATATGAAAATGTCTATTTCACTCTCAGTTTTAAAGGACATTTTCAGTGGATAAAGAATTTTAGATGAACTGTTTCCTTTTCTTTCAGCACTTTACAGATAGCTTCCATTATTTCCTAGGTGAAGCCAGAACTCTAGGACAGCCATTGTTATCGCTGTCCCTCTCTCTGTAATATGTATTTTTTCCCTCTGACTGCTTTAAGCTTTTCTCTTTATCTTTGTTTTTTGGCAGTTTGAAAAAGAAACAATGCCTGATGTGTACAGGAATAGTTTTTTTTTATTTTTCCTGCTTGAAGTTTTCCAAGTTTCTTGGATCTATAGTTTTATTTTTTTTAAATCCAATTAGGAAAATTTCTTTTTTTTTTTTTTTTGAGACAGAGTCTCGCTTGGTCGCCCAGGCTGGAGTGCAGTGGCCGTATCTCAGCTCACTGCAAGCTCCGCCTCCCGGGTTTACGCCATTCTCCTGCCTCAGCCTCCCGAGTAGCTGGGACTACAGGCGCCCGCCACCTCGCCCGGCTAGTTTTTTGTAATTTTTAGTAGAGATGGGGTTTCACCATGTTAGCCAGGATGGTCTTGATCTCCTGACCTCATGATCCACCTGTCTTGGCCTCCCAAAGTGCTGGGATTACAGGCTTGAGCCACCGCGCCTGGCCTATACATTACTTTTAAAGACCTAATGTTATTGTACACTTAATAGACTACAGTATAGTTTAAACATAACTTTTATAAGTACCAGGAAACAAAAAAAATTGTGACTCACTTTACTGTAATGTTAGCTTTGTCATGGTGGCCTGGAACTGAACCCACAGTATTTCTGAGTTATGTCTGTAATTTAATTTTCTGCCTCATTCACATTCTCTCTCATTTTCGTCTTCCCAGAGAATGTTACGTTATGTTTAGAACAGTTGCTGTGAAGTCTTTGCCTGCTAAATCCAACATCTGGCCCATCTTGGAGTCAGTTTCCATTGTCTGCTTTTTATTCTTGACAATGGATCTCATTTTTCTGCTTCTCCACAGGTCTAGTAATTTTTGTTTGCGTACTGGACAATGCTGATGATCATTGTAGAGATTCTGGATTCTCTTCCTTTTAACAGTGTTGATTTTGTTCTAGGAGGCAGCTGAATCACTGACTTAAATTTGTGTGGGTTTGGTTTTATGCTTTGTTAGAGCACATCTGTGTAAAGCTCAAGGTATGTATCAGGACCTTCTGACTTGCTGGGATGCAATCTCCAGATTTTGTCCTCCCTGTAGAACTTGTATGTGCTTAGTTTTAGGCTTTCTTAAAGGGCTAACAAAGAGAAGGCCTTATACTAAGGGAATGGCCCCTTCTCCTAAGCCTTTCTTCTGGTTTTTCTAGTATTTTAGCTGGGTTTTCAGGATTTTAACGAGGTATTAATGCAATCTCTTTCCTCTGGCTGGGCCAGACTTCCAATGTTCCCCAGCACTGATTAACACATAGTATTACTATTCCTTTATCAACCAAATAGCAGCTGTTCCCTAGTAAATCTCATGTTGTCTCACCCTGCACGTGTGCAGTCCAACTCTTAGCCAAGGATAGTGAGGGTTTGAACCCCCATGCTGTCTTCTGACCTGTCCTCTTTACTCATGCACTGGTCCTTTCTCTCTGGTGTCCTACCCTCTAGAGACCAGCCTTTCTGACTGCCCCAAACTCTGATTTCTGCCTCCTCAGCTCTTTGGGGGCTGCTGTGCTTTGCGTGGACTCTAGCTCACTGAACTGTAGTCAGGAAATTGTCCTTAGGCAGAGAACCAGGATAATCGTGGGGATTCATGTCATGAGTTTTCCTTCCCTTTGGAGGACTGCAGTATTGTGCTGCCTGTTGTCTAATGCCTGAGAAAAGTTGCCTCAGAGATTTGGTTGAGTTTTACGTTTTTTTTTTAAATTTTTTATTTTTTATAGTGGGAGGAGTATAAAATGGATTATTATAATCATTATAACCAGAAGCAGAAATGCTTTCTATTCTTTAAAAAATGTTATTATTTTAAATTTCAATATATATTACTGTAAGGAGACTGGTGATCTGGGTTCACTCTGTCATTTTTACTCCAAAATCTTTTCACTTCTATTTTAATACATATCTTTACTTATTTTTTGTTTACATCTACAGTTTATGAATATCTCTATTCTCTTCCTACTCTTCTTTCTGAATGAGAAAACTTCTCTTATTTCTCCCATTCAATTCCTCCAGAATGAGGAAATGTTTCTCATTGCCTTATGTTATTCTTCCCCTTGCTATTTCCTATGTTCAGGTCATATGAAATATTTACGTTAGATTGTCTTTCAACAATCATTTAAAATTACCTATCAATTTAATTTTGATACTTTGCTTATTATATCCTTGTACTTTCCTCTTTGAGTCACTTTTTTTTTTTTTTTTTTTTGAGACAAGGTCTCTCTCTGTTGCCCAGAATGGAGTGCAGTGGTGTGATCTTGGCTCACTGCAACCTCTGCCTCCCGGGTTCAAGCAATTCTCCTGCGTCAGCCTCTTGAGTAGCTGGGACTACAGGCATGCATCACCATGCTGAGCCAATTTTTGTATTTTTAGTAGAGATAGGGTTTCACTATGTTGGCTAGGCTGGTCTTGAACTCCTAACCTCAAGTGATCCATCCACCTCAGCCTTCCAAAGTGTTGGAATTACAGGCGTGAGCCACTGCACATGCATCACTTACTTATTTTTGAAGCTTTGTTAATTCAAGAACTTTTAATTTTGTATTTATTTTCGTATGGAGTTTGTGCATATGGGTGGTTTACTTTTTTTTTTTTTTTTTTGAGACATAGTTTTGTTCTGTTGCCCAGGTGGAGTGCAGTGGTGTCATCTCGGCTCACTGCAACCTCAATCTCCTGGGCTCAATCAGTCCTCCTACCTCAGCCTCCTGAGTAGCTGGGACTATAGGCACTTGCCAGCCCCTCTTGGCCTCCCAAAGTGTTGGGATTACAGGCGTGAGCCACTGTGCCTGGCCCTAGGTCAGTTACTTTGAGTCCTTGTATGTCCAAGTTTTGGTGTCAGAAGAGTTTTGCCTGGAAAAAGAGTTCTAGATTGACAATCATTCTTAGACATTTGGATAGCTCATTCCATTATCTTCTTGTGTTTAGTGTTGCCACAAGAAGTCTCATGTTACCATGATTATTAGTTCCTTTTATTTCCTCTAGAATCATTTAGGACTTTCTCTTTCATCCCGGTTTTCTGAAACTTTGCTCTAATGTATTTAGATGTGAGTATTTTTTCATTCATCCTGTTTGGCAACTTGATGGACCCATTCAATTAGAAGACTCGATCTTCTTAAAAAGCCCTGGAAATATTTCTTCAGTTATTTTGTTGAATATTTTCTTCCCTCTAGTATCTTGTTTCTCTTTCAGGAGCTCCTATTACATATATTAGAGCTTCTTGATTTATACATTGTCTCATACTTCCTTTCATTCTTTTTTTTGAAACAGCTTTATTCAGATATAACTCACATACCATACAAACTCTCATTTAAAGTGTTCTATTTAGTGGTTTGTAGTATATTCACAAGGCAGCATAGCCATCACCACAATAAACTTTAATCCCTAAAACCCTACAGCCATTAAATCACTCCCCTTTTCCCCAACCCATCCCCTCCAGCCCTCAGTACCACGAATTGATGTTCTATTTCTGTAGATTTGCTTATTCTTCATATTTCATCTACCTGGAGTCACACAATATGTGAATGGCTTCTTTCACCTACATTTCAAATCACACATTTACTTACATTTCAAATCATACATTCACTTATATTTCAAAGCATACATTCACTTACATTTCAAATCATACATTCACTTACATTTCAAATCATATATTTGCTACTGGCTTCTTTCACTTAGCATAACGTTTTATAGCAGGTATCAATATTTTATTTTCATTTTTTTATTGCCAAATTCCACTCTGTTTATACACTTACCAGTTCACAAAAATTTGGGTTGTCTCTACTTTTTGGCTATTATAAATAATGCTGCTATGAATATTTGTGTACAGATTTTTGTGTGCACATATATTTTCATTTCTCTAGGGTATTACCTAGGAGTTAAATTGGTGAATCATACGGTAACTCTGTTTAACCATTTGAGGAAGCGCCAGACTCTTTTCCAGGGCAGCTGCACCATGTTATACTTCCACCAGCAGTTTATGAGGGTCCCAGTTCCTCCACATCCTTGCTGGTGCTTGTTATTATTTCATTTTGTTCCATTTCTTTGTCCTCAAGGGCTAGTAATATCTGGTGATATTACTGAGCTCCATCTTCTGGCTTATTAGTAATTCCCATTATAAAGTTCATCCCTCCTGTATGGTTTTCTAAATATTCTATTTTTCATTTCTAGAGTCTCTAATTGATTCTTTGTGACAATAGCTTATCCTTATTTCATGAGTATGATTTTCTCCCTTTGGGGATATAAATAATATTCACTTAAAGTTTTCTGTTTGCTTTAATAACTCATTCTTTTCAGAGGTTCTGATTTATTGAGTAGGTGTTTCTATTTTTTTTTTTTTTTGAGACGGAGTCTCGCTTTGTCACCTGGGCTGGAGTGCAGTGGCCAGATCTCAGCTCACTGCAAGCTCCACCTCCCGGGTTTACGCCATTCTCCTGCCTCAGCCTCCCGAGTAGCTGGGACTACGGGCGCCCGCCAACTCACCCGGCTAGTTTTTTGTATTTTTTAGTAGAGACGGGGTTTCACTGTGGTAGCCAGGATGGTCTCGATCTCCTGACCTCGTGATCCACCTGTCTCGGCCTCCCAAAGTGCTGGGATTACAGACTTGAGCCACCGTGCCCGGCCAGGTGTTTCTATTTTATGGTAACATTTTTTTAGATGTTTCATGATTTCTTGATTTTGAGGTTCCCTTAAAATCTTGTCTGTCTGTGAATGCTGATCTGATTAGATGTGATTGGAGCAGCCTACTCAGTTACTGTAGAAAAGGAGATCTTACACTGCTGGATGCATTTTGCCAGTATCCTCTCTCTCTCTCTCTCTCTCTCTGTGTTCCTAGATACTTTCTTTTTTTTGTTTTTGTTTTTTAACTTTAAAATGTTTCCCCTGGTGATTCCATCCCACATCATAGCTCCAAATACTATCTACAAATGAAAAATTCCCAAATGTTATCTCCAATCCTGGCCTCTCCCATGAGCTACAGATCCACACATGCTCCTTTTCTTCAAAACACTTACCTCATTTTGTAATTATACATCCACAGTGCAATTGTTTGAGTAATGCCCATCTCTCTCTGCTAGACTGTGTGTTCTGTGAGAACAGAGATTGTGCCTGTTCAGCTCACTGACGTGTTACCAGCAATCAGTATAGTACATGGCATATGTGCTCCATAGATACTCCTTAAACCACTGAATGGATGAGGTGAAACAACTCATGAATGAGAGACCCTGTGATGTCTTGGAGCAGTGAGTATGGGTGGCCATCTTTACTTGCTAACACCAGGATCAAACTCAGGGTCAAACCTCCTGAGTTCCAGGGTGGTGCCTTTGCCATGTAGATACCTTTGCGGTGTACGTTCCCTCCTTGTGGGAAAAGAAGTTCAGCTTGTAGTCCTTCTTAGAGCCAGACAGTACATCAATGTAATCAAGGCCCTTCATAGTGATGCTTAGGTCCGGCTTCTCTGGTTTCAGTATTTCCACGATGACCCGGAATCTGGGGCAGCATAGGAGAATACAAGACGGGAGACGAAATGAGATCATTAACCCAAAGGAAAGAAGGAAAAGTGCCAGCTGTACTCTTGATTTTATGGGAAGTGCATGGGTCCAGGGTTCTAGTCTTCACCCTGTCACTAACAATAATGGGAACTGCCATTTACTGGCCACCTATTATGTGCCAGGGACTGAGTGAGTGGCCTGTGTGTTACAGGCATTAATCCTTGCAGTATCCGTAGGAGGTATTAATACATATCACTGTCATCTCCATGTCACTAAATAGAGGCCAAGATAAGGAAGATAAGAGAAGGAAGATAAGATGCTCCAAGAGAAGGAAGATAAGATGACTGGTTACTGGCAGAACCAGGATTCAAATTTAGGTCAGGCCTTTACCCACTATGCTAAGCAGGAAGCCTTCAGTACACTGTGCCTCGTCTCCCAGACTTGAGTTCCTTCTCTGTAAAAGAAGGGGACCATGCTTGTTGGCCTTGAGCTCTCCTGGTGCCTGATTTCCACTCTGTTCCTACTGTAGGGACAAGATCCAAGGACTTGCTTCTCTGGCCAGTGGCTTAGGTGATAAGACAGAACACTCAGTAATAACAGTGATGATTATCATTATGATAAAAACAGCTAACATTTATCGAATGCTTATTTCGTGCCAGGCATTGTTCTAGGAGACTTACAAGTAACTAACAGCACAGAAAAAGAATCTCGCGAGAGGCTTAGTGTTCAGGAAATGCCTGGTCACATCAGGGAACTCTGTCTCTGACTCCTCGAGCCCCTCAACATCCTCTAGAGGCCCTAAGTAGGGGAAGGACCGGGCTAGATGGTGAAAGTCCTCCTTCCGTCTCCCCACCCAGACCCCTAATCCCATCCCCTTACCTCTGGGGCTTGTTCAGCCAGTTGGTGATCGGCAGAAGTTCAGTGTAGGGGGTCTTACATGGCACTTCACGGTAGATACTGGCTACAGCTTTGGGGAGCTCGGAAGTCCCATGTAGAGCATACAGCCAGCCAGTCCCATCTGGGAGGGGGAAGAAGAGGGTGCCCTAAGGAGAAGAAGGATGTGATCAGAATGACACATAGCATTCTTTATTAGGTACCTATCAGGCATGTAGAGACCGAGGATTATTTGGAGGATAATGGAGGCCCTGGAAAGAAACATAATACTTTGGAAGGCATCTTGGTGATATATTTCAGGAGATAGAAAAATGTTCATATGTATCTGAGCTAGGAATCCCATCCCAGAGAGCTTACCGAAGAAAAATCCCTCCCAAGAAAAAAGTTATGTGTATATATAACAACCAGTTATAATGTTGATGAAAATTTGTAGATAAACATTCAACAAATGGAAATGTAAAACAAATTGTGGAACTCTCATTCAGTGAAATATTGGGCAGTTATTAAAAATAATTATCACAAAGACCACATAGTTAAATAGAAAAATGCGGCCGGGCGCGGTGGCTCACGCCTGTAATCCCAGCACTTTGGGAGGCCGAGACGGGCGGATCACGAGGTCAGGAGATCGAGACCATCCTGGCTAACACAGTGAAACCCCGTCTCTACTAAAAAAAAAATACAAAAAACTAGCCGGGCGAGGTGGCAGGCGCCTGTAGTCCCAGCTACTCGGGAGGCTGAGGCGGGAGAATGGCATAAACCCGGGAGGCGGAGCTTGCAGTGAGCTGAGATCCAGCCACTGCACTCCAGCCTGGGCGACAGAGCGAGACTCCGTCTCAAAAAAAAAAAAAAAAAAAAAAAAAAAAAAAGAAAAATGCTAGTGCTATACTGTAAAGTGAAAGCAAACTGAATGTATAATTTGGTATGTGATGATGACATTTATGGCTGTATCTGAATAAGGATTGGTAGTGAAGATAGAAGAAAAAAGTTCATTTTTTTAATAGGGTGGAAGATTATGGCCACTTTTCTTTTTTTCGTTTTGTTACAGTCACCATTACGTTATTTATGCAATTAAGCGAAACATTAATTACTTGATGCTTGGTCTGGACCCCATTTCAGAACTAAGCCCCTGGCTCTACGAGAATCCCCTCTACATAAAAAAAAAAAAAGAAAAAGAAAAAGAAAAAAGGAAGCCAAAGCTTGATAATCTGCACAATTCCTCACTATTCCAACATGATCTGGGTGCTCCCTATCTAACATTCTCTGAGCTCTCAGCTTCCAAAATGTCTTTTTTTCTTTTTTGAGACAGAGTCTCACTCTGTTGCCCAGGCTAGAGTGCAGTGGTACGATCTTGACTCACTGCAACCTCTGACTCCTGGGTTCAAGCGATTCTCCTGCCTCAGCCTTCCAAGTAGCTGGGATTACAGTTGTATGCCACCATGCCTGGCTAATTTTTGTATTTTTAGTAGAGACGGGGTTTCCCCATGTTGGCCAGGCTGGTCTTGAACTCCTGACCTCAGGCAATCCACCCTCCTCAGCCTCCCAAAGTGCTGGGATTACAGGCATGAGACACCGTGCCTGGCCCCAAAGTGTCTTTTAACCTCATTCACACAGTGCCACCTTCAACTATGCCAGGAAACCAGTGGGGGTCAGGGGACCTCAGCCTACCTGGTGCTTGCGGTTCTCCAAGTTCATGGTGCGGGGCCTGTAGGTGATCTCGTAGGGCTTGTTTTGCTGGTGGGCCTCCAGGGTGATGAACTCAGGCCCCTCCCAGTGCTCGCCCTCAAAGATGGGGTGCAGATTCCAGGTCTGGTTGGTGCGGTTTGACAGCAGAATGGTCTGCGTGTGCTTGGAGCGCACCTGGCACGTGAAATTCACCACCTGGAAGAAAGCAGGCACCTCATCTTCCATGGCACTTCCCCCTGGTCTGTCTCCAGGGCCAGAGGTACAGAATGTGTGCTGGGGAAGACTGACTTTAACAGTGCTTCCCATCATGAGTTTCAATGGGTCCGTTTCTTTTTCTTTCATTCACTCAACACCTACTTATGGGTACCGTCTATGTGCTAGGCACTGTTCTTGGTGGTGGAGATGTAGCAATGAACGAATTAACAAAAATCTCTGCCTTTGAGCTGAGATTCCAGTGCGGGGAGGCAGACACACAAGTGGAAGGCAGAGCGTGCAGGATAGAAATAAGTGCCAAGGGAAAGACAAAGCAGAGGGGGTGCCAGATTGGGAGTGGGTTGGAGTTTTTACACAGTGTGATCAGGAAGGGCCTAACCGAGCATATGTATTTGATTAGAGACCAAGAAGGATGAAGCAGGGGAGACCTGGGGAAGAGCCTGAGTCAGCCTGAGTGTAACTGGCAAAGGAAATGCCAGTTACAAAGCTCCTGGTTTTGACAAAAGGCAAGAAGGCCAGTGTGGCAAATGTGAAGTGAGTGAGGGGGAGATAATGTGACAGGGGACAGCGCACAGGGCCTTGGAGTCATGGTAGAGACTTTTTTTTTAAATTGAAAAAGGAGGACTTACGAGTGTTTTGAGTAGAGTGACCTGATCTGATCTATGCTCTAACAGAATGGCTCTAGATGCTTAGAAGGGACAGAGGAAGAGAGACGAACTAGAAGACACTTGCAATAGGCCAGGTGGGGGTCGACAGTGGCTTGGGTGGCACTGGTAGCACTGGGGATGGTGGAAAGTGGGTATATTCCAGTTGTACTTGGAAAAGCCAATAACATTTACTGCTGTATGGTATCTTGGGTGTAAGTGGAAGAAGGTTCAAGAATGACACCCAAGTTTTTAGTCTGAGCAATGAGCAGAATGGAGATGCTCTTCACTGATGTGGGGTTGACTGTGGGAGCGGCAGGTTTCAGGGAGAGATCAGGAACTCAGGTTTCATACATGTTAAATTTGAGATGCCTATGAGTCAAGCAGGAAGTAGAATTTACAAATCTGGGGTTCAAGGGAAGAGTCCAGGCTGGAGATAAAGATTTGGGAGTTATCAGTATAGCAATTTCATTCTTGTCGTTACTGTTGTTGTTTTGTAGAGGTGGGGGTCTCACTATGTTGCCCAGGCTGGTCGTGAACTCCTGGGCTCAAGTGATGCTCCTGCCTCGGCCTCCCAAAGTGCTGGGATTATAGGCACGAGCTACTGTGTCCAGCCTAACAGTGTTTTTTTTTTAAGGCCAAGAAACTGGCTAAAATCAACAAGAAATGATTGTATGTAGAAGAAAAAAGGAATCTAAGGACTAGCTCTTGACTGACAAACTCCAATGTTAAGAAAAATCAGAAGGCCAGGCTTGGTGGCTCATGCCTGTAATCCCAGCACTTTGGGAGGCCAAGGTGAGTGGATCGCCTGAGGTCAGGAGTTTGAGACCAACCTGGCCAACATGGCAAAACCCTGTCTCTACTAAGAATACCAAAATTAGCTAGGTGTGGTGGTGGTGGCCCATAATTCCAGTTACTTAGGAGCTGAGGCAGGAGAATCACTTGAGCCTGGGAGGCAGAGGTTGCAGTGAGCCGAGATCATGCCACTGCACTCCAGCGCGGGCAACAGAGTGAGACTCTGTCTCAGAAAAACAAAAACAAAAAACAAACAGAAGATGAGAAGGAGAAGCCGGTGAGTAGGAAGAAACCCAGGAGAGAGTGGTGTGCTGGAGCCAAGTGAAGGAAGTGTTTGCAGGAGGAGGAACGGGTTTATGGTGTCAAATGCTCCCCATAGTTCAAGAAAGAACTGGCCATTGAATTTAACAATGTGAACAGTGTGGTATTGGCATAAAGATGGTCAAATAGATCAATGGATGAGAACAGAACCCACATATATATGATCAATTGTCATTTACAATCAATGACAAAGGTGCCAAGGCAATTCAGGAGAGAAAAGAGTCTTTCAACAAGTGGTACTGGAACAATTGGATATCCATGCACAAAATTTTTTTTGATCCGTATCTCACACTATATACAGAAATTAACTCCGAATAGACTGAAGACCTAAACACAAAACTTATGTTCAGAGTATACAAAGAGCTCTCGAAACTTTAATAAGAAGACCAATGACCTAATTAAAAATAAACAGAAGATTTGAACAGACACTTCAACTAAGATAATACAGGGCTGGCAAATAAGTGCTAGAAAAGTTGTTTAACATCATTAGTCATTAGGAAAATAAAGCCTCCATGAGAGACCCTACATACCAATTAGGATAGCTGAAATTTAAAAAACTGACTATCAACTGTTGACAAGGATGTGAAGTAAGTGGAGATGTCAGACATTGCTGGTGGCATTGCAAAAGGACACGACTGCTTTGGAAAACAGTTTGGCAGTTTCTTACCAAGGTAAACATCTGCCTATCACATGACCCAGCCATTCCACAACTGGGTCTTTATCCAAGAGAAATGAAAGTGTATGTTCCTGCTGAGACTTATAAATACAAGTTGATAGCATACTGTATGTTTCCATTCATATAACATTGTTTAACAAAATTACAGACAGGGAGATTGGGTCTCATTTCTCCCATAAGCAGTGTTGCCAGGTAATACAGCAGACGGTTCAGTTAGGTGTCCAGTAACAAGGCTAGCAGAGGGATATACCAAGGCCTTTTGTTTTAAAACCACAGAAAAGGAGAAAGGTGTTAATGCTTTACTCATAGATCTTGGAATTTCACCTAGCCAGTGATGTCAAAGCAGGCTTCCTAGAGAATGTAATGCTTCAGATGAGAGCTGAAGAATGGAAAGGAATAAACCAAATGAAGAGGGGAGAATGAATATTCCAGCAGTGGAAACGATGTATTCGCAGGCCTCGTGGAGGGAGGGGGCAGGCCTGCATGTTTGAAGGAGGCCCGGCTGAGTTCACTTGCTGGGGTCACTCCTGCCACGGGGCCACCCCGGGCAGCACCTACTAACCTCTTTTATTGAAGGTGGTCCCACGCAGACTCCAGACAGGGTTAGGCTCAGAGGACTGCCTCCCTGGATGAAGCAGAGAATGTTTTTACAAAGGCTCTCCTTTCCCATCTCGGTGGGATGGTAGGTCACTTCGAAAGAAACCTCCATGCCTGAGGTAATATAGCCTTCTTCTGGGCTAATGGAGAAATTAGGCTCAAATTTTTTGACGTCCCATTTAAACCTTTTCCAAGACAAAAGAAGACAAGAAAGAGAGTTTATGGATGTTGTAAGGGTGTCCTCAATGCTACTGAGAACAAGAAACTCTGCCTGGGCTGTGAGGTTCATCTCCCTGAGTCTATCCTAGACCTCGGAGGAGAAATATCTGCCGGACAGAGCAGAAGCACGGGGAAGGTGGGTCAAGGTCACTCCCTGGGTAGGTGGACTTCACTCCCTTGCAGAGCTGAGCCAAGGGCAGGAAGTGGCTGCATCTTATTATCCACGAGTGACACATCAGGGAACATAGGTATCAACACGCATACACATGTGTTGCGTACTTAAGGTCACACAGCTAGGAAGTGGCTGGGCTAGAACAGAAACCCTTCTGGGACTGTGGCCTTAACTGTCCCCTGCCCTGCCTCTTGGTTCAGATCCTGGATGGTGGCGACAATCCCTTCCTGTGAGAGTTGCCTCTGTTCTGGGTGGCACTGGTATCCCATGGCCCCTCTGTGGTTGGGCCCTCGCTTATCTGTGAAATGCGTTGGTAGCAGCCTTGGTCTCATAGAACCGTAGTTGGATTATGACGTGTGCCATGTCAAGGCATGAAACAGGCATTGAGAAAATATCTTCTGTTATCTCAATTGTAGTAATCATAGTAGCAGCAATCACCCCAGTGAGGCCACTGCTGTCACATCTTGAGGGAAGCAGGGGGACGTAGAAGGGAGAGGACAGAAGTAAAAAGCGACTGCTCTTACAGAACAAGTCCAGGGCAGGTACAGGGACAGGGGCCTCTGCTGCAGCCTTCGGGTGGGAGGCACCGCTCCCCTACCTTGCACCCACGTCGCCTGTGTTCAACATGAGGATGCGACGCGTGGCTTGTGTCTGATACACCACAGGTCCGAAGGGAATATGTTCCTGGTCCAGCAAGATCTCCAGGGCCTGGCAGCAGCCGCTAAGGAGGAAGAGGGGGCGCAGGAGCCCCATGCATTCCATGAACACTTCCTCAGAGAAGGGAGGGACACGCTTCTTCGGGGCAAAGCTGACTTCCAGTTTGCAGACTTCTCTGGGCTTCAGTGTGATGTTGTGGAAGGGCACCAAGGTGAGGACCTGAATAAAACAGCACCCAGAGTCAGCAGCTGAGGGTGGGAGGCCCCTAAGGCTTTAGTTCCCAGAGGTCTTGCTGCTGGGATTGGAACAGGGGTCAGATCTCGCTCCTGCTCTCCCATCAGCTGTGTATGCTTTGGTAAATTACTTAAACTTTCTGCGACTTACTCTATGTTGAAGATTAATATCATTTCCCTTTCCTGACTCTTTCCTAACTTACTTTGTGCATTTCCTTCTTTCTTCCTCCTCCCTGATAAAGGAAATAGTAATGGGAAATAAGAAACACTTAGAGCTCTGGCATTTCTCAAGGAGTATTCCCTGCCTCAGTTTCCCTGTGTGGTTGTTAAAATGCAGATTCTGGCTGGGTGCCGTGGCTCATGCCTCTAATCCCAGCACTTTGGGAGGCCAAGGCGGGTGGATCACTTGAGGTCAGGAGCTCGACAACAGCCTGGCCAACATGGCGAAAACCCATCTCTTCTAAAAATACAAAAATTAGCTGGGCTTTGTGGTGCATGCCTGTAATCCCAGCTACTCAGGAGGCTGAGGCAGGAGAATTGCTTGAACCCGGGAGGTGGAGATTGCAGTGAGCTGAGATCGCACCATTGCACTCCAGCCTGGGCGACAAAGTGAAACTCCAACTCAAACAAACAAAAAAAAAAAGCAAAAAAAAAAAAAAAAACAAAAAACAGCAGATTCCTGGATCCTGCCCCAGACCAACTGAATCACAGTCTCTGGTCAGGGCAGGGGTGGGGGGGCCTGGAATCTGCATATTCAAAAGTTCCCCAGGTGACTCATGTATTCTAAAATCAAGGACCACTGTACGAATTTGTTCAGCTTTCTCTTCCCTCTAGTTCTGGTAAAAATCAAATCCAAGTCAGCTTTAAGGAGGTCAATTCCCTTTTCATCCGGAAGCTCTCTTTGGTACAGAGGACTGAGCAGTCACCAGTGAGTGGACGGTGGCAGCAGGGAGTGAGATGATGGGCTGCGGAGCTGTGACAGGAAAGTCACCTTAGAGACTTCTCCAACATGATGTGGGAAGCTAGCCTCAGGGTGTTGGCGCCAGCATGGGGCACTCTGGCAGCTTTAATCTGACCTGCTGAAGAGGCAGACTTGGTATGGCCAAACTATTAGGGACCCTGACATGCTGGAACCAAGGACTTTAATTTGGATTACTAAGGAAAGAGAAGCAACAAGTCTTCCCCATCTTGCCCGGATGGCAAAGTAGGGAACATGGGGTACTGGAATGAGACGCCCACAGGGTCTCTTACCTTGGCTGGCCTCTCACAGCCAGTTTCTCTGTACCCTGCAATCCCCAGATGGCCCACAGTGCTCTTTCCATATGGAGTTCTATCTAGTTTTCAAGTGTATATACCTTTGCCCACGAGGAACGCCCCTTCCTAACCTGTCGAGGGACACCTCTTCACACTGTAAAGTTCAGTACAGGCCCCTCTCCACGGGAAGCCTTCTGTCATCCCCCAAACCCTCCTCTGAGCAGCCCTGATCCTGATTCACACTCTGCCTCTGTAGATTCTGTGCTGCCCTGGGGCTATTTATATGTCTGTGACCCTCAAGGACTGAGATCTCCACCAGACCAAGGTCTATGTCATATTCACCTTTTATTCCTAACACCTAGCATGTATTACTGAGTAAGTGTAAGAATGAACTGCATGAAGGAATGGATGCAGTCTGGTCTTGGAATCAAACATATCTGGTGCATTTCCAAGGGTCATGCAAAGACTAATGACTGTAAGATGAGTAGCTAGCAGCCAGGACTGGTAGCTTCTATGTTCAGGGAACTTGAGGAAGTAGACTTGACAATAAACATGCTTTTCTCTCACTGCTGGTGGCTGTGCAAAGTGAGATAATCTTTCAGGGAGCAGACTGGCCATGCATATTGAAACACACTTTCCCTTTTGACACAATAAGTCCACTTCCAGGAAGGTGTGTGTGTGTGTGTGTGGGGGGGGAATATATATATATATATATATATATGTGTGTGTGTGTGTGTGTGTGTGTGTATATATATATATATTTTTTTTTCTTTCTTTTTGAGATGGAGTCTTGCTCTGTTGTCCAGGCTGAAGTGCCATGGTGTGATCTCAGCTCACTGCAACTTCCGCCTCCTGGGTTCGAGCAGTTCTCCGTCTCAGCCTCCCGAATAGCTGGAATTACAGGCACCCATCACCATGCCTGGCTAATTTTTTGTATTTTTAGTAGAGACAGGGTTTCACTATCTTGGCCAGGCTAGTCTTGGACTCCTGACCTTGTGATCCACCTGCCTTGGCCTTCCAAAGTGTTGGGATTACAGGTGTGAGCCACTGAGCCCAGTGTAGGAATGTATCTTAAGCACAGAGTCATGGATGCACACAAAGGCTTAAGGAGAAACACCTGAAATGAACAAAAATAGAGAACTGGCCTGTCTACACAATGGAGATGTAAATAAACAAATGACAATGAATGACATGGAAAACGAAATGAAAATGCAAAATGAAAATAATGTTCATTTTCACAAAAACAGTATGGGACTAGTGCACCGTGTAAAGCCCTATACTGTTTTTGTGAAAATGAACAGACGGAGCACAGGGAAGGCTCTTAGAATGGTCTGGCACGTTACAGATGCACAAGAAATGTGAGCTGCTTGTGTTGCCAGCATGGCCATCCTCATCATCAGGGAGCATGAAGGGGCCCCTAGGAGCCCCTCTGAGCACCAACCTTGGGTTCCTGGAGTTCTGGAATTGAGAACAGAATGGACTGGTTAAATGTGAGCTGGGCCAGGCTGTTGTTCATGATGGAAACTGTTCTTTTCACAACCTGCCCTGGTAGGACAGCTCCCAACTTCACAATCCTGTTGGGTGGATCTAGGACTAAAATCTGTAGGACAAGAAAGAGTAGGAAGAAGAGTTCATTAGTTAAAGAGAAAAATAAACATTATATGTCTTCTCTGGTGAGGCAAGGGTGGTTCCTTCTCTTTCTGTGCCCTCACTTCTTCATATTGGGTGGGCATTTCCCTGCTCAATAAGCATTTAAGTGCCTAAAGTACCCACTGAACTACTCATCACACAATTATACAAGTACAACTGGGTTAAAATATACGTAGGAAAATCTCAGGGCACCTTGAGAGCATATTACAGGGGGCTGAAACTAGACTAGGGGGCTCAGGGGGCCTTTCTGAAGATGGCATGTGTACATTGAGAGCTAAAGAAAGGTATGAGCTAGTCAATTTCAGCCAGAGTGAGTGTGGAATTGGGGAACAACCTAAGGCAGGGAGACAACCTGTGGCCAGGCCCTGAGCCAGAGGGAGTGGCCCAGTCAAGGCCTGAGGCTGGGAGCTAGGACCTGAGAAGACAACTTTAGAGAGGTGGTCAGGTCTTGCAAGGCCTTGTAGGCCATTGCTGAGTGAGAAGTGGGAGACGGGGCTTCATTCTGGGAGCAATGGGAAGTCAGTGAAGTATGGAGTGTTTGTGAGAGAGCTCTGGCTCCTTTATGGAGAATGGGCTTGAAGAGGGCAAGAAAGAAAGCAGGAGGGAGAGATGATGGTTGTTGGATTAGAACAGCAGCAATAGAGGCAGAGAAAAGTAGTTATGCTTCCAAGTCCTTAGGTAAGACACTGATTAAAATGGTGCCTGGGTCAGGCCAAGGCCAGGCTGAGCCTGCTCTGCAGAATGGCCCTGACCCACAATGGGCAGCACCCCCTGGTTACTGTCATGTGGTCAGTCACTAAACTGCACCCCTCCACTCAACTATCTTTAAACCCAGCCACATGTTTCCATTTTGTTTAAAAAGGCAAGAGAGTCTCTCCCACTAGTCATGAGCTCTTGGATGTCTAAGAACATGTGTAAGTCACTTCTGCATCTTCCCAAAATATCCAATACATAATGGGTGCTAAATAAACAAGTGAAAGACCAATAGGCAAATGAATGAATCAATGGCATCAGAAGAGACCTTGTCTCTGGCTTGGGTCTAGACACATGAGTTGGCAATGTCCTGTTGCTCCTATGGCTTGATGGGAAGGCTGCTGGGAATACATCCCTCCCCTGGTTGCCGAAATATGCTATGCATTCTTGAAAGTCTTGGAAAGATTTCAGTCTTGCAAAACCTTCTATTACAGTACAGATAATCCCACCAGACAAGCACCTTACATGTTTACTAGATATGAGAAGGAAATGAATGAGCAGCAGAATATGACCATTCCCTTTCTATCCAGAGTGCCTGGGTAAAAGGAATGCCTTGAACCAAATATCCAGGGATCTGTGGCTGGCTGGAGAATGCTAATCAATGCGGTGTTAAGGAAAGATGTTCCATCACTGAAACACATGTCTGTGTACATTGCTTAAAAACGTTATTTATTAAACCTGAAAACAAACATGCACTGATGCAGAAGGAAAAGGATATACTTGGGGTACTGAGTCTGAAAGTCTCAAATTTCTCCAAGAAAAAGAATATTTCTCTAGTGTCTGTGATTACCTGTCTCCTTTGATACAGTAAAGTATGGTATTGAATAAGATCTATGACTCAGTGAGTCTGATCTGACGATTTGCCCCTTTGTGTTATTAGGAACATCATCTCAGTGGGACTGGCTGACCTCCAACAGAGCAGCCTGGGGCAGAGAAGCAGAGCGGCTGGAGGGGGGAAGGGGTTCTGGGGGGCAAAGAAGGTTGAGAAGGGTAGAAAGGAGGGTGCCACACCTGAAGGCCTCCCGACTGTCTGTTACCTTCATTTCAGTACCCTTCCCTTTGATTTCGACCGTTTGTTGTGAGAGCCCATTGATTTCAAAGGGGATGAGTTCTTGATAGTTGATACTTTCTCGAGGATAAAAAGTTATCGGAATCTCCAGTGTGTTTCCTGGCTTTACCACATCAACACGGCAGTTCACCTCGAGATGAGTGGTGTTGGTGTACAGACAATCTATGCTGCAGAAAATCAAGACGAACAGGCGTAAGCTCCAAGAAGTCTGACCCAGAGGGGCAGATGCCATCTCCTTGTCTCTTTGGGCTGGATACTGATGGGTTTCCTGCCCTGCTGTCCTAGAGTCACATAAGTCATTTAAGAGCTGGAAGGGAGGTTAGCAATGACCCAGCCCACACTCTCTTAGGCACAACCAAGTTGCTCCAAGTCACATCCTGAGACCCTGGCTGAACTGGGTTTCAAACTCAAGGCTCATCACCCTTTGCCCAATATTCTTCACTAACAGTTCTCTATTTCTTTCTTTTTTTCTTTTTTTTTTTGGAGACAGAGTCTCACTCTGTCACCCAGGCTGGAATGCAGTGGCATGATCTCAACTCACTGCAACCTCTGCCTCCCAGGTTCAAACGATTCTCCTGCCTCCGCCTCCTGAGTAGCTGGGATTATAGGTGTGTGCCACTGTGCCCAACTAATTTTTGTATTTTTAGTAGAGACGGGGTTTCACCATGTTGGCCAGGCTGGTCTTGAACTTCTGACCTCAGGTGATCCACCCACCTCGGCCTCCCAAAGTGCTGGGATTACAGGCGTGAGCCATGGCGCCCAGCCTGATTCTCCATTTCTTGATCATGCATCTCATGGTTTTATACATGAGGGTTTTGTACCCTCTCATAAGAAGGAAGTGCTTCCAGAAGTAATTGGGTGACAAAGCACAGTAGGGAGGAGTATATGTTCTAGAGTCAGGCAGAGAGGAGTCTGGATCCAGGCTCTATCACTGATTACCCAAAGGATCTCACAAGATTTATGTAGCCCACATGGGTCTCTGTTTTCTTATCTGCAAAATGGGGGTAGTGATCACCATTTCTTAGGGCTATTGTGAGGATTAAATGAGATAAAGTGACTGAAACAGTCATTAAATAGGGTGCAGAGGAAATATTCCATAAAGTGAGCTACTATTATTATGACTCATTGTTCAAATAGAAGGGGTCTTAAAAGAGCACGTCCACCCTGCTCCACACGTGGGTAGGAAGGCACTAGGCCTCTCCATTACAACCTCTCCTTGTCTGCCTTACAGTCTGTAGAGAAGGAGTCTAGCTAGGCCAACATATAGAGCTCAATACCTTAAGCAAAGTAAGACTGAGATTACATTAAACATGCAAGGAGTATAGATAGATAAGATTTAAAATTAGTATTTCAAATTACATGACACACTTATGATTTAATATTCAGGGTACTAACAATAACAGCAGCAGCAGCAGCAACTAACAATAATTGGGCATTTCTTATGTTCCAGGCAGTGTTCTAAGCACTGTTCCTAGGTGAATTAATTTAATCATCCTAATAGTCTTATACAGATGGTATTATTATTATTATTTTTTTGAGACAGAGTCTCGCTCTGTCACCCAGGCTGGAGTGCAGTGGCATGATCTCGGCTCACTGCAAGCTCCGCCTCCTGGGTTCATGCCATTCTCCTGCCTCAGCCTCCCGAGTAGCTGGGACTACAGGTGCCTGCCACCATGCCCAGCTAATTTTTTGTATTTTTAGTAGAGACGAGGTTTTACTGTGTTAGCTAGGATGGTCTCGGTCTCCTGACCTCGTGATCCGTCTGCCTTGGCCTCCCAAAGTGCTGGGATTACAGGCGTGAGCCACCGCGCCCGGTCATAGACAGTATTATTATGACTACCACTTCAGGCAAGGAGACAGAGGCGCAGAGAGTTTTAAAAATTTGCCCAAGGTCACACAACTAGGGAAGAGTTAAAATTTGAACTTAGATCTGTGCTATCCAATATGGTGGCCACTAGACACTTGCAGTTATTAAAATTAACATTAATTAAAATAAAATAAAAAATCAGTTCTTTAGTTCCACTAGCCACATTTTAAGTGCTCTGAAGCCACATTCAGCTATAGGCCACCATGTTCGACAATGCAATAATACAACATTTTCATCATTATGGAAAATTCTCTAAAGTACTGATAGACAGATTTGAGTAAACATAGGTCTTTGGGCCAGCCCTTAGAGATTCTATCTCATTAGGTCTTGAATGGGGCCCAGAACCTTGGACTAGAACATCCCACAGAGGGATGGTGCTGAGAGGCTAGATTTGAATCAGAAAGCTTAGGCTCAGTACAGGTCTGCTATTTACTGCAAAGCCACTGGCCAGAGAAATTTACCTTTTAACTCTTCAAACCTCAGTTTCCAAGTCTATCACATGAGAAAATAAATGGAAGTCATAAAAGCTCTCACTAGATCATTTGGAATTGCTCTACGTACTTCACAAAGAGGATTTTTAGCAGGGTAGCTCATGGCTATCCAAGTATTAGTTTTACTTGTGGGGACAGGGACCCAGGATTCATACCCACTTATGTTTGACTCTTTCCCATAATCATTTTTTTTTTTTTTTGTCTTGGCAGGGCTTCACCTGTGTGGAGTCTGTAGGGCCCACAAGCAGTTGCAGAATCATCTGGAGGCTCTGGGAAGCCTGCTTACCTCATAGGTGTTTCTTCCTTGTTGGTAATTACCAGGGTTTGTTTGTATGGGGGCATCCCAGCTTGATAGATAAAGCAGGTCCCAAAGTTGTAGCTGGTGAAGGAGAAATGGATAGCCGGGCTCACAGCACAGCCTGAGATGCTGCACACAAATGTTGGACCATGGCTGATCTGTGGGGAGGAAATGGCAGGGGGATCATAATTAGAAGAAGTAGGAGGCGAGGGCTCTTAAGTCCTCAGGTTAAGCTGGAAAGCAGTTGGTGCTTTAATACAGGTCTCAGGGTGCCATTTCCAGAGATTCTGATTTAGTAGGTTAGAAGCTTGTGTATTGAAGAAAAGTTCCTCTGTAATCAGGCCCTACATTGCCTCCCACTTTGCTCTTGCAGCAATGATTCAGCTTGAAGGTCCAGGGGCATACCAGGCACTGCTAGTTACTACCCAACATCCACTCCCCATTGCTTCCTTCCTAGCAGGACTCTGATTGGATGCCAATGTGCCTAGGTGCAAATGCTTCATTTTACACCTTCCTTTAAAGCTCAGGATGGCCATCAGACATAGTTCCAGTCATTGAGATGTAAACAGAAGAGGACAAGAGGGTGTTCTATCTTAAATAAAGAGGCAAAGCCTTGCTGGGGAAGTTCTTTGCCTTCACGCTCTTCCCCTTTCTTTTCACTCTGAACGCACACATAGGACGTCAGGTAAAATGGTCATCTTGTGACCAGGAGATGACAAGAAGGAGAACAAGGCTAATATGCCAAGGACGAAAGAGTGGAAAGATGAAAAGAGCACAGGTCATCATCTGGACTCTCAATCACAAGGTAATATGTGACTCATTGGTACATGAACTTAATTTGCTCTTCACAAACTCCTCACAATGTGAATTCTCACAAATTGATAATTGATTTCAAATAAATTATCTATTATTCATTCTAAGCATCATTAGAATAAACATTATTAGAATAAACATTCATTTTAAACATTAGAATAAGTCAGCAGTCATTGGTACAAGCTATCATAAACAACTTTATAAATTTAAAAACATTTTCTTATTCAAAGCTTTTATTTTCTTTCTCTTTTCTTTCAACTTTTAAGTTCAGGGGTACATGTGCAGGATATGCAGGTTTGTTACATAGGTAAATGTCCAAGGCATTTAAAGTGTTTACATTTTGTGGCTGATTCAATGAAAAGGATGTAAATTTATCACCTTCAACTCTTCTGCCAACCAGAGTAGAAAGATCTTGTAACATGTTATATTTCTGTTTGCTCTAAGAAATATAAGTTCTGAAAAAGTTCTCAAAAGGAATAGGTCCCTTCTGAAGCCACAAACTGGGCTTTTCTCAGAGAAGATGGCTGTGACTTTGCTGCTGAGTTCCACTGGAGCTTCCTGAACTCTCAATGGCCAGTGACACACCTTGGAATTTTTCATGGCTTGAACGTTTGTCTCCTCCAAAACTCATGCTGAAATTTAGTTGCCATTGTGATGGTATTGGGAAGTGGGACCTTTAAGAAGTGATTGGTCATGAGGGCTCGCCCTCATGAATAGACTTCTGCCATCATCGTAGGAGTGGGTTTGCTATGGCAGGAATAAGTTCACTCCTCCTTGCTCTCTCTCTCTCTTCCTCTCTCTCTCTTCCTCCTGCCCCACCCCCGACCTTTCTTCCCCCAACCATTGCCCTTTCATCATGTGATGCCATCTGCCACGTTATGATGCAGCCATAAGGCCCTCACCAGATGCTGGCAACTTGATATTGGACTTCCCAGGGTCCAGAACCGTGAGCCTAAACATTTCTGTTCATCATAAATTACCCAGTCTCAGGTATTCTGTTATAGAAGCACAAAACAGATGAAGACAGGTTCTAGTGGTTTTACCCCCATCTTTCTATCACCTTCTTCCTGAGGATTTGATAAGGATGATGTGTTAGGCTGGGCATCCCAAATTTCTTTCCATTGTAGTTGAAGAACATACTTTGCATGATTTCAATCCTTTTAATTTATTGAGGTATGTTTTATGACCTAATATCTGGCCAATCCTGGACAATGTTCCAAGTTCACTTGAAAAGAATGTCTATTCTCCTGTTGTTAGATGAAATGTTTTGTATATGTCTGTTAGGCCTAGAGCTTTCATAGTGCTGTTCAAGTCTTCTTATTTCCTTGCCGACCTTCTGTCTAGTTATACCCATTGTTTAAAACTAGGTATTGAAATCTCCAACTATGATTGTTGAATTGTTTATTTCTTCCTTCAATTCTGTCTGTTTTGTTTCATGTATTTTGGGACTCTCTTGTTACATGCATGTTTATAATTGCTATGATTTCTTGATGGAGTGATCCTTTTATCATTATAAAATTATTTATCTCTAGGAATAATTTTTGATCATTATAAAATGTCTTTATTTATCTCTAGGAATAGTTTTTGTCTATAAGTCTATTTTGTTTGACATTAGCATAGGTACTCTAGCTCTTGTTGGCTATTATTTAAATAAAGGATATTTATTTTTCTATCCTTTTACTTTAAATCTATTTGTGTCTTTGAATCCAAAGTGAGTCTTTTGTAGACAGCACATAGTTGGATCATGATTTTTCCCATTATTCTGCCAATTTTTATCTTTTTATTGAAGAGTTTAACTCATTTAAATTTAATGTAATTACTGACAAGGTAAAATTTATGTCTTTTTTCTATTTGCTTTCTATATATCTTATATCTTTTTAAAAAAATTACTAGCCAATCATGCCTTTTTTATTCTTCTATTCCTCCATTACTGCCTTCTTTTGTGTTAAATAGATATTTTCTAGTGTACCATTTAAGTTCCCTTGTCATTTGTTTTACTATATTCTTTTGAGTTGTTGTATTAGTCATTGCAAGGAAGATTACAATTAACATCTACATTTATAACAATCTAGTTTGAGTTAATAACAACTTAATTTCAATAATAGGCAAAACTTTGCTCTTATATAGCTCTGTTACTTCCTCTTTCTTTGTGCTATTACCACACAAATTGCATCTTTACATTAAGCCCACTAATACAGATTTATAGTTATTGCTATATGCAATTGTCTTTTAAATCAGATAGAAAAAGTTATAAATAAAAAAATACATTTATACTGATTTTATATAATCTATGCAGTTACCTTTACTGGTGCTCTATATTTCTTCATGTAGATTTGAGTTATCCTTTAGTGTCTTTTCATTTCAGTCTGAAGGATTCCCTTTATTATTTCTTATAGGCCAGTCTGCTAGTGATGAATTCTTTCAGATTTTATTTATCTGAGAGTGTCCTGGTTTAGTTCCCCCAAATTGGCAGAATAATGGGAACTATTTAGAAATAGTTTTACTAGATATAAAATTCTTTGTTGATAACTTTTTTTTCTTTCAGCACATTGAATATGTCATCACACTGTCTTCAGGTCTCCAAAGTTTCTAATGAGAAACCAGCTGTTAATCCTTCTGCCTTCCAGATGATCTGTCTTTGTCTTTCAACAGTTTGGTAATGATGTGTCTAGGTATGGATTTTTTGGAGTTTATCCTGCTTGGAATTTATTGAACTTTCTGGATATTTAATTGATTTCATTAAATTTGGGAAGTTTTAGGGTGTTATTTCTTGAAATAGTCTTTCTCTTATTTTCCTTCTTCTCTCCTTCTGAGATTCCCATTACATGTATATTGCTATGCTTGATAATCTCTTATGGGACTCTGAATTTCTGTTCATTTTTCTTCATTCTTTTTTCTTTTTGTTCTTCATATTGGATAATCTCAATTGCTCCATCTTCAAATTTGCTGATTTTTTCTTTTTCTTTTCAACAATTTTATCCCATCTGCCACAGCTGATTCTTTCTTTTGCCATAAGAAATCTGCTATTGAGCTCCTGTTGTGAATTTTTCATTGCAGCTATTATGTTTTTCAACTCCAAAATGTATATTTTTATAATTTCTATATGTTTATTGATATTCTCTCTTTGGTGAGACATTGCTCTCATTCTTTGCTTTAGTTATCTAGACATGGTGTCCTATAGTTCTTTGAACATATTTTAAGTAGGTGATTTCAAGTATTTGTCTATTAAGTCCAACATCTGGGCTCACTCAGAGATAATGTTTTTGCTTTTTTGCTTTTTTCCCTGTATATGAGTTATATTTTCTTGTTTCTTTTCATGGCTCATATTTTTTAGTTGGAAACTGGAGATTTAAAAAAATAAATGTGGCAACTCTGAAAATCAGATCACCCCTCCCGCAGGGTTGGTTACTGTTGTAACTCTTAGTTTGTTTAGTAACTTTTTCAGTAAAGTCTATATTCTCACTTATGCATGGCCAATAAAGTTTCTGCTCAGTTAGTTTAGTGGTCAGTTTATGATTGAACAGAGATTTCCTTAAATGCCTGGAACCATTTCCTTAAATGCCTGGAACAGCTTTTGCTGAGGGGCTGTGTGTGGCAGGACATGCCTTTGACACTCAGGCAGGCAGTTGCCAACTCTGCTTTATCTTTCCCGGGACCTAAAGGTTAGTCAGAGGTAAGAGCTTAGGGCCTTCTCAGGTCTCTCCTGAGCAGTAACACAGCCTGGAGGTACACATATCTTATACATGCATGGCTGTCTAGATTCCAGGGAATATGCTGAAGCTTTTCAGAGCCCCCCATGAATATCTTCTTCCCAGCCTCTCCTTTTAAATTTTTCAATGAACTTCTTGTTTGCCCCTAAGGTCAATGCTCCCTCAGTCAGCTGCGGTGTTAAACAATTACAACTGATTGTTTTTGAGCAAGCCTGGAGTCAGGTCAAATAAAAGCTATCCCTGTGAGCGGGGTTTCCATTGAACTTCTAGACAGCTCAAATAGTGACAATTCTTTTAGAATGGGGGTTTTGGGGAGTTCCAATCTGTTCTACCTCCTCCAGGATCTGATTGACTGCTGACTTTCACTTTGATTGCCGAATTGTTGGTTTTCAAGGTTACTGCAGAGCTGGGATGAGGGAGGAGGGAGAGAATAGGGCAAATCAAAATACCACAAAACTCTCTGTCTTTATGGGTATTCAGCCATTTTTCTTGAGTAAGTACTCCTAGAATTGTTCAAAGCCTATTATTAATTTTCAGAGTTCTGAAAAAGTTGACTTCGAAAATTTTTTCCAGTGGTCTCATTGCTGTTGAAGAGCAGCGTTTTGGATGTCCTTCTCTGCCATTCCTGATGACATCACCATTCTTTGTTTTTTTTTCTTTTCATTCAATAATTCATCTTAGAAAATGTTGTACACATTCTTTTCCTGCCCTGCCTATCACTCTTATTTATTTTAATGGGTGAATGTATTGCAATATAATTGCTTTTCAATCCACACTTACTCCCCATCCACCTAACCATTGATGAAGGCTTTGTACTAGACATTGTGAGGCTGTGTCCAACACAGCTACCCTCTAGGAGCTTCTGGATACGTGGAGAAGATAAAGAAAACACAGGAGAATTAACCTGCCAAGGCAGCACGCTGAGAGTACTTTTGGAATTTGGACAATGTTAAATGGACTCACCTTGATTCTGAGTTCCAGGTCTGTCAAGACACACTTCTTTAATGGTTGAAAAGACAGGGTGGCATGTACACTCTGCCCTACATCCACAGTGCTGTCGATGGGTGAAAATTCCAAGTACTGCAGCAAGGCTTTGGAGCCACACAGCTCTGCCTGGAAGCTGAAGGTGAACTTTCCAGTGTTGATAAAGTTGAATTCACACTGGACACATTCATTTAACTCCACCTAGGAGACAGAGAACAGAGCAGGGAATGCAAACCATAGTTCCTTTGTCTGGGGTCAGCATTTGTAACATGTTGATGAAAAATATCCTTTGGGAAATAAGGATGGCAGATGACGATGGTGATTTGACTGTCTTTAGCTTAATGGAGTCAGATATTCCAGCAAGAGCTACTAAGTGTTGGGGTTCTCTCAATATCTCATAGAGAAAGGGGCAATTTAGTTCTTAGACCTTTGTTGGTAGTCAAATACAGGTAGTTCCTGTATGTTTAACACAAGCACTATTTCCTCTCCCCACCATCTCTCCACCCCCCTGAAAATAAAATAAGAAAAGCATTCACATCATATCTACATACATTCTGGGGATAGAGCTGCTCTTGGAGTGTTTCTGTTTTCCTGATCTCTCTGGCATTTGAAGCAGAAAGACTCAGCTCATATTCATTTTTACTACTTTCCCCAGTCAGAATGGAAGCTGAGATAGATAGCAAGGTCTTCTTACACCTTTACCTCATAGAAGTTGACAATGTTAGTCTGGTTGGGAGTCAACAGAGTGATGGAGCCTGTCCTGTCCTTGCACTTGATCTCTGCATTCATAGTGTAGCCCTCGGCCTTGACATTTAATGTCAGAGGGTGGACTTTCTTTTTCACATTGCAGATCAAATTAAAGTTCACATCTCCTTCCTGCTTTGGTGTGAAGAAAATATCAATTGGGAACCTGGTTGGGGAACAAAACAGCAGATTACCTGACTAGGCCAATTTGTTAAAACCTTAAAAAATATGAGTCTACTGAATTAGCAGATTCATTATGAGGAAAAGGAAACATAACTCGAAATTATGATGAGATTTTAAGATTTGTGGCTATAGTAACCAAAACAGCACGGTATTAGCATAAAAACAAACACACAAACCAATGGAAAAAGATAGAGATCCCAGAAATAAAGCTACACACCTACAATCATCTGATCTTTGAAAAAGTCAACAAAAATAAGCAACGAGGAAAGGATTCCCTGTTCAATAAATGATGCTGGGATAGCTGGCTAGCCAGAAGCCAGAAGAATAAAATAGGACCCTTATTTTTCACTATATACAAATATTAACTCAAGATGGATCAAAGATTTAGATGTAAGACCTCAAACTGTAAGAATACTAGAAGAAAATCTAGGAAACACCATTGTAGACATCAGCCTTGGGAAAGAATTTATGACTGAGTCCTCAAAAGTACTTGCAATAAAAACAAAAATTGACAAGTGGGACCCAATTAATCCCGCAAAAAAAAAAAAAAAAAAAAAAAGAAAGGAAGAAAGTTTCTGCATAGAAAAAGAAACCATAAACAGAGAAAAAAATGCAACCTACAGAATGGGAGGAATTATTCGGAAACTATGCATCTGACACAGGTCTAACATCCACAGTCTCTAAAGAACTTAAACAATTGAACAAGCAAAAAACAAGTAACCCCATTAAAAAATGGGCAAAAGACATGAATAGACACTTCTCAAAAGGAAACAGAAAAGTGGCCAACAAACATAAAGAAATGCTTCACATTACTAATCATCAGAGAAATGCAAGTCAAAACCACAATGAGATAACATCTCATACCAGTCAGAATGGCTATGATTAAGAAGTAAAAAACAACAGATCCTGGCGAGGCTGCAGAAAAGGGAATGCTTATACACTATTGGTGGGAATTTAAAATCTTTCTGCCACCGTGGAAAGCAGTTTGGAGATTTCTCTAAGAACTTAAAACAGAACTATCATTCAACACAGCAATCTCATTACAAAAAACAAAACAAAACCAAAAAACCAAAAAACCCAAAGTCATTCTACCAAAAAGACACATGCACTCTCATGGTCATTGCAGCACTATTCACAATAGCAAAGACATGGACTCAATCTAGGTGCCCATCAACTGTCGAGTGGATAAAGAAAATGTGGTACATATACACCGTAGAATACTACACAGCCACAAAAAGAATGAGGTCATTCTTTGCTGCAACATGGATGCAGCTGGAGGCCATTATCCTAAGCGAATTAACATAGGAACAGAAAACCAAATACCTCATGTTCTTATTTATAAGTTGGAGGTAAACATCAGGTATGCATGGATATAAAGATGGCAACAATAGAAGCTGGGGATTATTAGGGGGAGGGGAGGAAGGGAGGCAAGAGTTGAAAAACTAATGATTGGGTACTAAGCTCAGTACCTGGGTGATGGGACCATGTGTACCCCAAACCTATACAGTAAATCCAGTAGAAAACCTGTATGCATATCCCTTGAATCTAAAATAAAAGTTGAAAAAAACCCACAAAGCTTTGACCGAAGTCTCATACCTTATAAGTTAATAAAATAGGGGTTACAACCTGAAATTTAAAGCCATGCAACTTATGGAAAAAATAATGGAAGAACATTTTCTGAATCTAGGGCTATTCAGAGATACAGAACAAACACTAAAAGGACAGTCCATAAAAGGACAAATAGATAATTTGGACTTCATCAAGAATAAAAGGTTTTGCTTTGTGAATGACCTTGTTAAGAAGAGGAAAAGACAAACTACAGATTGGGAGAAAATATTTGCAGACCATGTATCCCCCAAGGCAGCACTACCTAAACATGTAAAGAACTCTCAAAACTCAACAATAAAAAACAAATAGGCTGAGCAGGAAACTGGCAAGAGACATGAGGAGACATTTCACTGAGGAGGATCCACAGAAGGAAAATAAGCACGTATGTGTTGTATGAAAGGAGAGAAGGTTAGTACTCCCCTTGACAACGATGGATGAGGCCCTCAGGCCTGACAACAGGCATATGGAAAATAAGCACATGTAAAGATGCCCAACATTATTAGTCATTAGGAAATGCTAATTAAAACTACAATGAGATATCACTACACACCTATTAGGAAAGCTAAAATAAAAAATTGTTGCCGGGTGCGGTGGCTCATTCCTGTAATCACAGCACTTTGGGAAGCCAAGGCGGGTGGATCACTTGAGGTCAGGAGCTTGAGTCCAGCCTGGCTATCATGGTGAAACCCTGTCTCTACTAAAAATACAAAAAAAATTAGCTGGCCATGGTGGTGCGTGCCTATAGTCCTAGCTAATTGGGAGGCGGAGGCAAGATAATTGCTTGAACCTGGGAGGCGGGGGTTGCAGTGAGCCAAGATCACACCACTGCACTCCAGCCTGGGCAACAGAGCGAGACACTATCTAAAAATAATAACAAAAAAATTGTGACAACACCAAATTTTGGTGATGTTGTAGAGACTCTAGAACATTCAGAGATAGCTGGTGGAATGTAAAATGGTTCAGACAGTCTGGAAAGCATTTTGGCAGTTTTTTCTTTTCTTTTCTTTTTTTTCTGGAAACATGCCATTATCATATGTCCATTAATTGCACTCTTGCTCATTTTCCCCAGTGACATGAAGATACACAAAAATCTGTACATGAAAGTTTATAGAAGCTTTATTCCTAACAGCCCAAACTGGGAACAATCCAGATGTCCTCCAGTGGGTGAATAAACTAACTGTGGTGCATCGCTACTATGGAATGGTAGTCACAAAAACGAAGAAACTCTCAAAACTACCTGGATGTATGTCCAGAGAATTATGAGTGAAAAAAGCCAATCACAAAAGGAATGTATGTGTCTGTGAATACAACATTCCTGAAATGAAAAAATGATAGACATAGAGGAAAGTATTGGATTCCAGAGGGTGAGGAGGTGTTGCCTGGGGGAAGGGAAAAGGGTGTGGCAACAAAAGGGTCACACGAGGCATCCTCGTGGTGAGGGATCTGTTCTGTGTCTTGACTCTGTCAATGTCAATACCAGGTTGTGACATTTTACTGAAGCTTTGCAAGATGTCACCCTTGGAAGAAATTTGGTAAACAGTACAGAGATATCTTTGTATTATTTGTTCTTTTTTTCTTTTTCTTTCTTTCTTTTTTTTTTGAGACAAAGTCTTGCTCTGGAGTGCAGTGAGGTAATCTTGTCTCACTGCAACCTCCGCCTCCCAGGTTCAAGCGATTCTCCTGCCTCAGCCTCCAGAGTAGCTGGGATTACAGGCATGGGCCACCACACCCAGCTAATGTTTGTATTTTTAGTAGACATGGGGTTTCACCATGTTGGCCAGGCTGGTCTCGAACTCCGGACCTCAGGTGATCCATCCACCTTGGCCTCCCAAAGTGCTGGGATTACAGGTGTAAGCCACTGCGCCCGGCAGTCTTTGTATTATTTCTTACAACTACATGTGAATTTACAATTATTTCAAATTTTTAAATTTTATTATTATTTTTTGAGACAAAGTCTCACTCCATTGCCCAGGCTGGAGTGCAGTGGTGCAATCTCAGCTCACTGCAACCTGTATCTCCTGGGTTCAAGTGATTCTCATGCCTCAGCTTCCCAAGTAGCTGGGATTACAGGTGTGTGCCACCACACCTGGCTATTTATTGTATTTGTTTATTTATTTTTTGAGAGGGAGTTTCGCTCTTGTCACCCTAGCCAGAGTGCAGTGGCGCAATCTTAGCTCATTGCAACCTATGACTCCCGGGTTCAAGCGATTCTCCTGCCTCAGTCTCTAGAGTAGCTGGGATTACAGGCACCTGCCAACATGCCTGGCTAATTTTGGTATTTTAAGTAGAGACGGGGTTTTACGATGTTGGCCAGGCTGGTCTGGAACTCCTGACCTCAAATGATCCACCTGCCTCAGCCTTAATTATTGTATTTTTAATAGAAATGGGGTTTTGCCATGTTGGCCAGGCAGGTCTCAAACTCCCAACCTCAAGTGATTCGTCTGCCTCAGCCTCCCAAAGTGCTGGGATTATAGGCATAAGCCACCACACCTGGCCTGAAAATTAAAAGTTTAATTGAAAAAGAGATTTGCCAGGCAAGCCTGAATATTGTACTGTGGATTCACATATACAGTGAATATAGCAAGGAAAAGAATACAAAGAGAAAATATTGAGAGAAAGGGCTTAGAATTCTCAATGCTCCATATTCATCAGGAAAACAGATATCAGGGAGTAAGTAGGATGGAGATGGAATTGTTATGATCTAATCTTAGCGTTGAAAGCAATTATATAAACAGGGCACTGTAAGCACTGGCAGGCTTGGGGACCTGGATATGTCGGGAGGATGCAAACAAAATGAGACCTTTATTTTTGTTTACCTGGACAGTGGTGGGATCCAGCCTTCCATGGGACATACAAGCAGGCTGTTGTTGAAACCTTCAGAATAGCGGGAGTTGTCCTGGAAGGAAAAATCGAACCCCTGCTCCTCCTTGTTGATGATCTGCACAGTCTCCCTGGCTTCTCTGCCTGAGGAGGAAACACCAGCCCTCAGTGGGGGCCTCCTGACTGCCTGCTGGAGTCTCTCAGCAGACACCGCTCCACAGGCAAGACATTTAGAAGACATTCCCCAACCTCTTCCGCCGTTGTCTACCTCACTCCTTTCCTTTTCCTCTACAAGTCACCTTCCTCCTTTCGGGGATTCCATGTCTTTCTTCATCAGTTGCCTGCTTCTGCTGAGTGGCTCCTCTGCCCTGGCACAGCTCTCCTGGGATTCTGGTGACACAGTTTTCTTCCCTTGCTCCTTTAGACCCAATAATTGTAATGCCTTCCTGAATTTGTTAATGGGGGCTTCACTCTCCTTGGCTGACCCCCTTCATTGCCCACGTATCTGTAAATAATCCTTGCATCCAATTCTTTGAAAATAGACCTTGGGTATTGGCCTGAGTTTCCTGCCCAGGGCTCTGACTAATACATATTCTCTCACTATCATCTTTTGCTTTCCTCTTGGCTATTATTAGCACATTTATTTTCCCATATAAACTTTAGAATCATTTTATCCAGTTCTCTCCCCTTCCAATTCTTTTGGGATTTGGTTAACAGATTTAGCAAGTAATTTTTTAGTATAAATATGTCCCGTGCAATATTGGGACATACTCAAAATTATTGTTATTTGAAATTAAAATTTAACTATGCATCCTGTATTTTATCTGGCAACCCTAGTTGGGATTCTAATTGGAACTTGATTAAATTTGCATTTAATTTTAGGAGAACTAACAAATGATCAGATCTCGTTTGGGGCGGATTTTAATCAGATATGCTAGTTTCCTTCATGTAGGTCTTTTCTTGTGTGTGTCTTGTTACATTTATCCTTAGCTATTTTATAGGTTTTGCCAGTACTAAGTGGATGTTTTCTTTGGTTTTCTGTTTCTAGGTGCTAGTACTAAAAAGGAAGACACTATTTTTGCATGTTTGTCTTGCATCCACCCACCTTACCAAATTATTCTGTTGAGTCTAGTAGTTTGTTTTGCTTTTTCTCTAGTCTCTTGTGGTTTTATGTGTATAAAATAATCAGCAAAAGCAAAACAAGATGATTTTCTCCCTTTTCCCCCAATGTTTATGCAAATTATTTTCTTGTTTTGTCATATTTGCTAAAGTCTCTAAGCAAGTGTTCAATAATAATGGTGATGATGAACACCCTTACCTAATTCCTCATTTTAATTGAAGCAGTTTTAGTCGTTTATTACAGGATCACATCTGCCTCTTGATTTTGGTTAATCTTTTTTTCCATCAATGTCCATGTTGCTATTAGAGTTTTTGTTGGGAATGTCTGCTAAATTTTGGCAATGCCTTTTCAGTGTACATTAGTATGATAACATGGTTGTTCTTCTTTAATCTGTTGATGTAATGATTATACTGAAAGGTACCACTGTTGAATTCCTGGATTAAACTCTGTCTTACAGTTGTTATATTTATGCTACATTGCTTATTTGTTCAAAATCTTAATAAATGCCATAATTCCCCCTCCCACCTACTTATGTGTATCAGTAAAATACACATTCAGCTGTTAACACTGCTTTCCTTTGGGGTTGAAAGAGAAAGATGAGACAGGATGAATGTAGAGAGATTAAACTTTTTCTTATGCAACACCCAATTGGTGTATTTACTATTAAAAATATTAGTTTATAAATAAAAATCTAATGTATTATTATCATTATTACTATTTTTTTTTGAGATGGAGTCTCGCTCTGTCGCCCAGGCTGGGGTGCAGTGGCTGGATCTCAGCTTACTGCAAGCTCCGCCTCCCAGGTTTACACCATTCTCCTGCCTCAGCCTCCCAAGTAGCTGGGACTACAGGCGCCCGCCACCTCGCCCGGCTAGTTTTTTGTATTTTTTAGTAGAGACGGGGTTTCACTGTGTTAGCCAGGATGGTCTCGATCTCCTGACCTCGTGATCCGCCTGTCTCGGCCTCCCAAAGTGCTGGGATTACAGGCTTGAGCCACCGCGCCCAGCCAAATCTAACATATTATTAAAAAATACTCTGGCTTTAGTTATATTTTATACACAGAGCGAAGATGTCACAAGTATGGGAAAGATACATGGGGTTATAAGGGACATGACAATTACTTCCTTTGTTTCTTTCAGGCCTCTGCTTAAATGTCACCTTCCCACTGCCTCCTGGCCTTCCTTATTCTCTCTACCCTGCTGTCCTCTTCTCTAAAGCACTTATTACCATCTGACATGGTGTAGAGTTTACTTATGTTTCTTTTGGTAGCCTGTTTCTTATTTCTAGAATGTAAGCATCAGGAGGGTAGGGACTTTGGGCTTTATCCATTAGTGTAATCCCAGCCCACAGAAAAGTACCGAGGCCATTCTACAGACTCAGTGATATTTGTTGAACCAAATAAATGCATGAAAGGATGAGAGAGAAATCTGACCACTGCAGCACAGACTAAGAAGCAGACAGATACCCCCCATAATCTGGGGGCAAATGCAAGAAGGCTGGGCCAACTTGAGGCTCTAGAAATAAACAGTCAGCCCATGCCTTAAGGGAATCTGCCAAGTAGGATCTTTAACAAGGCTCCTAAATTTCCTTAAGCTATTAATTGTCGGTTTAAAAGATACTTGGTGGAAATTAGATTGAGAGATAAATATTTTGTGGCTTTTAAAAAACTGATTGAGACCCTCTGATATGCTTCTGGAAGGGACCAGGGGAGGTTTCTTATGCAAGGCTGTTCCGGGAGCTCTCGATGAGCTTACCCAGATCATGCCAACTCTAAATACACACCAGCAGGGCAGCCTTACCAATGAGGAGAGAGCTGAAGTTGAGGTGTGACTTGTTCAGAGAGATGAGAGGGTCGGTAGTCTTGCCTACAAGCAGGAAAGGGACTGTGATGTTGTGCTCAGGGATTAGGAAGGTCCATGATGATTCAGTGATGCCCAGATGGAAAGGTGTGAACTGGAACACGATCTAAGAAGACAGTTTGAAACAGAGTGGTGAGAGACACTTCTGTATGCTTACTCCACGTGTCCCTGGAGACCTGTCAGCATGAAGGTCATGGGGGTTGATATTACCAGGTTATTGCTACCTTTCTATAGTCTATGTAAGGGTATGTAGGTGTGGCTGTACCAGAAACGTCAATGTCTATCTGCCCTGCCCACATGTCCTTCTAAGGGAGTCTCCGCCATCCACAGCCTCTGCTGGCTAAGCTGTTGTGTTTTGTGCCAGGTCTTTGGATGGCATGGCTGTGCCATAGCTGACTGGACCAAAGAGTTGGTAAGCATCCCAAGGAAAGACAATCCCCATACTTGTCAATAGCTGGGCACACAGCCAAAGACAATATGATTAGATGGCCAGCCAGATTTCTCTCTCGGAAGTTTGGAATTAGAAAATGAGTGGCCAGGCCAGCTGGCAGTGGAGCTGATGGTGAAAGGTACCATGCAGGTGAGCTGGGCTATGGCATGCCATAACCAACTTGCTAAGTGATATTACAAAGCAACTAAAGACTCAATCAATCAATCAATCAATCACCAGTGAAGAAACTGGTCAGTGGAGAGAGAATGGAGTAGATGGGAAGAGAGAAGCGGGCAGTCCCAGGAGAAAAGTCCAACCTCAAAAGCTGCTCCTGGTTCTCTCTGTCTGTTTTTGAGAAAACCTGAGTGAGTCTCTTTGCAATCAATCAATCAGGACTGAATGAAAGAATAATGGCATTTGGCCAAAAAAGAACCACACAGGTTAACATGCATGGTCCATACCACTGCCAGAACAATGCAGGCAGGTCCTCTGGAGATGTGTCACCTCAATGATACGACTGTCACTCAAAGACCAGCATGACCTTGGATGACGGATTTTGGAAGTTGCCTCTTGGAACTGAGCTCACATTTGAAACATTTCTGGGCTGAAGTGGGGGCCATGATCCAGGTAGGATTGTGTCTATGGTGGGCCCAGCTCCTGGACCTTATCACATTTAACTAGATGGCCTGGGTACTGAAATTATGCAGAGTTCAAAACCAGGTGGAGAGTCTACAAATACGTTTTGTTTGGTTTGGGAATTGTTAAAAAAAAAAAAATTGAACCAGCTACCAGCATATAAAATAGGGAGCTTCACATAGAAATTTGGAATTTTGGCCAGGCACGGTGGCTTACGCCGTAATCCCAGCACGTTGGGAGGCCGAGACGGGCGGATCACGAGGTCAGGAGATCGAGACCATCCTGGCTAACAGGGTGAAGCCCTGTCTCTACTAAAAATACAAAAGAATTAGCCGGGCGTGGTGGTGGGCACCTGTAGTCCCAGCTACTCAGGAGGCGGAGGCAAGAGAATGGCGTGAACCCGGGAGGCAGAGCTTGCAGTGAGCCAAGATTGTGCCACTGCACTCCAGCCTGGGGGACAGAGTGACACTCTGTCTCAAAAAAAAAAAAAAAAAAAAAAAGAAATTTGGAATTTTGTCTTTTCCACAGTTTGGGTGAGTTGGCCCCCTTGGCTTCCCTTGTCTGCAAAGTGGTCATCTGCCGGAGAAGCCCTGTGGCCAGTGGTCCTGGTGCCCCGTATTACCCACAAATGTCTCCTTGGCCCACTTTATTCATTTGTGTCACCCTCCTGAGGGCACTGGGATTCATAATTTTTGTTTCACAGATTTATGTCTGTCTTCAAGATTCTCTGCAACTGGCTGGACATGGGGCTCACAGATCTGTTTTGGCCAGCAAGTCTGTATTTCTTTGATTCTGCCCCATATCATTTGTGTAAACATTTAGGGCGAAGCCACAGGACATGGCTCCACTCTACTTTGCCCTTTGGCCTAACCAAGTAAAAACACATCAGAGTCCTTTTACCATTTTTGGTCCTTTTGACAAAGATAACTTTTTATGCTACTGTATGAGTCCTAGGGTCCCCAGGCATTGGTGTCCAGTGACCTTTTGCTGCTTACATATTCTGTTTTAAAAAATTGCAAATATTAGAGCTCTCTGCTTCTTCATGGCTAGCCCAAGAGAGCTCAGGTCTGTCTTGTCATCAGGATTGCCCAGCGCATATGGTGGCCATTCACTAAGTACTTATTGATTGACAGACCCTCAGGCAGTTCTTCCTAATTCCACTTACTGTCTATGGCAGACTTTCTACGCAGCAATGGCTAGACTGATCTAAGCCTTGGGTTGAGTGGTTCTCATTTGCACATACCTCAGCTTTCTTTTCAGGGTGGATGAAGCCCTTCTCTGTAAGGCATGTGAATGCTGCAGGGTTCTGGAGACTTTCAATTTCTTCAGAGATCCAGGAGAAGGAGTAGGTGCTATTGGTTGGGTTTAGGATTGTAAAGCTCCTGGCCAGGGTGGGGATAATTGACAGAAGAGAGTGGGACAGAGGATTAAGGATTAAGAGATGTTTCTTAGAACCTGGGCCTAACCCAGTCCCCCATCTGGGAAGCAGAACTGTTCAGAGCACTTTGTTACTGTGGAAATGAAAACTCCACTCCTCTAGTGATCCACAGTCAGGGTAGGGTTCTGGACTTTGGAATAACAGTGCTGCCAAGGGCACAACTGTGCCAATGATCCTCTGTGGTTAAGGAGGTGGTCAGGGATTATACTTTTGTGTCTTCCATATTTTCCTCAGTGGCAAAACTAAGGAGACAGAATTCAGCTTTCTTAATGGAACGGTTCTCTAAAGTCAAACCTCTAAAACTCAGGTCAAACCCCAGGATATCAAGCCTGCTTATAGGAATAGGTCTAGCTCATCTATCTGAATTCTTCTCGAGTTCTTTAGGACTGATGTGAATTCAATCAATGCAAACCTAAGCAACTCACCGGAGATTCTTTCCTCCTATGCCCACAGTGATGAACTCAATCACCCGGGTGTTTGGATCTAGAGCTCCCCCACTGGACCCTCGGAGCTCTGGGCTGCGCTGATGGCCACTGATGTAGTCTGAGTCTTTCAGATCAAAATGGCAGATGGGCAAGGTGCTCCGCCCTTTGGCTACCAGGACCAGACCTTGCTCTCCAGGTGGCAGGTTGGGAATCCTGAGAGGATAAGGTTATTTTTATTTGTTTTATTTTGCCATCAGTTGTTGCTTTCTTAGTTAGTTGGAAATGAATTAATTATATCCGCTAGAATGTGGGCTCTATGGGAGCAGAGGCTGGGTCTCTCTTGGTCAACAGCATCACTCAGTGCCTTGAATGCATGAGTGGGCTGAGCATAAGCAGCCTGAACTTGGCTCCTTCTGTGTACCTACGTATGGCTGCAGGTTATTTCCCCCATCAATGTTGAGAAAATATTCTTGTTGTAAAATGAGCACAATCTTACCCTCTGGTCTCTCTCACAGGCATTTAGTGGGATATGGAAAGTGACCTGGAAATCCTAAAAATGTATCCTGAGCTCCTCAGAGAAGGTGAACTGGATATGAGCAGATGCTCAGCTCCAGGACCAAGCTGAGGTGGCCTAGGTGTGGGAGGGGTCTCAGTGGTATGACTGCAGGGGGTCAAGGAGGCTCTGGCAGCTCACTTAGGTTTCTGCCACCCTAGGCCACAGCCCACAGGATTTTTCTATAAGGTGGTTGTACTCCTTCAAGCTTTCCTGGGAGCAAGTACCACATCAGGGACTTTCATTGTCAGATGTCATTGGATTAGCTTTTCTCTCACTGCTATGTACCAGGTCCACCAACCCCATGACCACCACCACCACCAGCATCATCATCACCTAATGGCTGTTGTGCTTGTTGTGTGCCAGGCACTGTTGTGAGCTTTTCATCTGAATCAACTCATTTAACTTTCCCCACAATCCCACCAGGTGGGTATTACATTTACATTTTCTGTAGGAGGAAACTGAGTCTCAGAGAAGGTACAAGAAAGCTTTCCCAAGTTCATGCTTGCACAAGGACCGAAACCCACCTAGCCGTCACCAGTCTGTTGCTCAGTGGAATCCTCCATGCAACTGGGAAGGGGAAAGTAAGCAGGGGAAGCATCTGGAGAGGTTGATGAGCAGGACAAAGACCAAATTCTCTTTGTTCTCTAAAGGGTGGACCCTTTAGATCCTTCCAAAGGGAAAAGGGATAATTTGGGGCTGTGCAGGGATCGAGGGTCAGAAAGGATGGTGGCAGTGGTTGTACAGAAGAGGGGGTAAGAGTCACAGAGCTTTGTGCCTGCCAAGAAGGGTGTTGTGGCGAGCACATTTTCTTACTGGCAGAAAAGGTTGCTCTCGAAGTCTCCAATGTCCAACGGGGAGAATTTCACCTTGAACTTCTGAGTCTTCCCCACGGGCACGATTCCCGAGGAGGGCTCCACAGAGAAGGGCTGTGGGGAACCCTCGGTCCAGTGGTCCGTGGCGCTGTCCAGGGTGCTGCCCGTGTGCATCGTGCCCTGACTAAGCTGATCTTTTTGAGGTGAACCTGGGGACAGACAGGGAGTGGGCGATATTCTGCATTCGCAGCGAGAGGCAGGTGGAAGGCAGCCCACTCACAGGTCCTTAGGGGCCCTCTGTGGATATGGTGGACTCACCTTTTGTAGCAGCTGTACATAACCTTGGGCACTAGAGGTAGGGAATTGCTCATATAGCTTACAGGAGACTCATGAAAAATGTTTCTATTTATTCCATAGGGTTTTCAAATTCGTTTCCTTTTGGTTCAAGGGGGTGGTTCAAGAAGATGTTTGTGCCCCAGAATAATGGGCTGTGAACATATTTTTTGGAGAATCACTGTTCTAAAGTAGGGCTTTACAATCTGGGGACCCATGGATAAGGGCCCATTCAAAAGGTCTGTGCATCTCCAAAGTTGAAATAATAACAACAACAACAACAACAACAACAACAACAACTTGCCTACCAAGTGTTGGGCCCTTTTCTAGTGCTTCATATGTACCAAGTGAGATCTTGGGTATGCGTGTGTATCTTCCTGGGAAAATGATTAATAACTTTCAACAGTTTCTCCAAGGGATCTATAATCTCCCACAAGGTTAAGACCTAAGAGACAAGATTCCTAGTTATCTTGAGATGGGACATCGGCCTTGTGTGGGGACAGAGTCCAGACTCCAGGAGGGTGGAAGTAAGTTTTGGAGTCCCTCAGGCCCATTTGGCTCTGCAGACACCACAAGGTCTCTGCTTTGCTTTTCTTTAGCTACTTAGGAGACCCTCTGAGCAGTGCTGGTCTCTCCATGAACAAGGCTCTTCTAACTGGTGGCTCAGGCCAGGCCCTGGGTTTTACCTGTCATTAAATTTACCTTGGTGATCTGGTTTTGCAAAGCTGACTACCTTTGAGGTATCTTCTGAGACCCAGCTGAATTCCAGCTGCACATGTCCTGAATTAATCACGTCAAACCTGCGAATCGATCAGGGAGCAGATGTGAGAAATGTGCCGCAGGTGGTTTTGGTCCTGGCTGCACATCATCTATACTGTACTTAACCTTTTGAAGTCATGTCACTTTGTTTCTTAAATCTTTTTTAAAAGGCACATTTTAAGTAATTTTATCAGAAATCATGCATATGATATACTCAAACAATAAAATATATACATAGTGATTAAAAGTACAAATATAAAAAATATTTAGCACTTAAAAGCATTTTGCATTCTTCCAACACCCTGTGCAATGAGCTCTCAGCATGCATCGCAGTAATCCTAAACCTCCATGAGAGAGGAAACAAAATCTATTTCACATGACAGCACCTCCCCCAGGAACAAATTCTACAGACCCTCCTTTCTGAATCACCTCCCATCAGAAATAATGTCCCTGGCCGGGTGAGGTGGCTCACACCTGTTATCCCAGCACTTTGGGAGGCCAAGATAGGCAGCTCACTGGAGGCCAAGAATTTGAGACCAGCCTGGCCAACATGGCGAAACCCCATCTCTACTAAAAATATAAAAATTAGCCAGGTGTAGTGGCACACACCTGCAGTCCCAACTACTCAGCTACTCAGGAGGCTAAGGCACGAGAATCATCTGAACCCAGGAGATGAAGGTTGTAGTGAGCCAAGATCATGCCACTGGGCCACAGAGTGAGACTCTGTCTCAAAAAAAAAAAAAAAAAAAAAAAAAAAAAAAAAAAGAGAGAGAGAGAGAGAGAAAGAAAGAAACAATGTCCCTGTGATCAGAAGCCATTTGACCCCCGCCTGTGACCCCTTTCCTGACTGAGGCACAGATATGAATTTTAGTTACTTCAAACTCAAACTCTGAATCAGCAGAGGCTTTTCCTGCCTCAAATTTTCCTGCTTTAAGACATGAACAGGGCCAGGCATGGTGGCTCATGCCTGAAATCCCAGCACTTTGGGAGGCCAAGGCGGGTGGATCACGTGAGGTCAGGAGTTCGAGACCAGCCTGGCCAACATAGTGAAACCCCGACTCTACTAAAAATACAAAAATTAGCTCGGTTATAGTCCCAGCTACTTGGGAGGCTGGGCAAGAGAACTGCTTGAACCTGGGAGGTGGAGGCTGCAGTGAGCTGAGATCGCACCACCGTACTCCAGCCTGGGTGACAGAGCGAGACTCCGGCTAAAAAAAAAAAAAAAAAAGAGACAAGAACAGGGAGGCAGAGTTTTTTTCTGGAATCACTTTTAAACTTGATCACAGTTAACAGCAGAAAGATGAAGCCTTGGTACAAGAAAATGATGATGAAATAAATCCACATGCCCTTCTTGGTTTCAGGGGAGTAGTAAGAGTTAGGAGTTTGGGTGAGGAGTAGGTCTACAGTGGGATGTAGAGATTAGATTCCCACTCTCTAGTCCAGGTAGACAGACCATCCAGTTATGCCTGAAATCAAGTGCTTTGACCACAGTGGCTTGTGTTTATTTTGTAAATTTATGAGCACTTGTATTTATTCTAAAGATAATTTTTATAACATGGAGAAATCTCAGCGGCACAGAGTACTTTTTATAAAAAGAGTTCTTAGTTTAGGGGTTGGCAAACTTTTGTAAGGGGTCAGATAGTAAGTTTTTTGGCTTTGTGTCCCATATGGTCTTTGCAATGACTCAGCTCTGCCTTTGTAGTGGGAACGCAGTCACAGACAGGTCATAAATGAATGGGCATAGCCACATGCCAGCAAAACTATCTACAGAAATAGACTACAGGCCACAGTTTGCGGACCCCTGCTTTGGGTGAAATGACCATCAGCAGAAGATCACACTTACTGATATTTATCTTTTGGTTCTATCATAATTTGCAAAGATATTTAAAATTCAACAAATGCACGAAGAGTTGAATGAGCTAATTACTAATTTGTATGCAGTACAAATGTCAGTGGCTTATGTTTTTGTCCTTGTGTATGTTGCACATGTTGCTCTCTCTGCCTAGAGAGAGTCCTTCATTCTCACTTCTTCACTTGGCTACCTCCTATCTGTCCTCTAAAGTTCAGCTGGGGAACTACCTTGTCCAGGAAGCCTTCCTTGACTCTCTTGATCTGCCTTAAATACCCCTTTGCTCCATGCACATGACACCGTGCTGTAACGAACAATTCTCCTGTTTCTATCCGTCCCCCGGCTGCCACCCTCAGATTATGAGCTCTTTGAAGGCAGGGCCCACGACATCCTTGAGTCCCTGCATCTGAGTGTGGGTGAAGGGTTAACATAACCTTTTCTTCTTCTCAAAGATGAATTTGACTCTGAAATAGCTTTCTAGGTCTGTTCCCCTGAAAACTTGATAAGGGAGGAAAGTCAGTTGTATTATTAGGTGACATTGTTTATACTAAAAATGGCCCCTGATGAGCAAATAATATGTGCACTGGGAGGAACTATGACCACCTAGAGGGAAGCCATAGCTGTGGGGTTCTCTGAGTGTAGTGACTCTTGTAACTGGGCATATTCTCTGCAGGGACCCCAGAAGACATATCTATGGAGTGGTTAGGAGAAATGGTAGTCTTTTGGGCACAGGCTTCTAAGCTTAGATGGACCCTATACCCTCTTGGGTGGATATTGTCTGGGTAATCACTTGGTGCATGGGCAACAAGAACAGATCCTGGGTGGCTGTGTAGACTGCTGCAAGGACTGTTCCCACTAAAGTGGATTGCCTGATGCTGCCCTCCTGGTATACTACATTTCCTGGCCTATATCTTGATTTCAAGTGTGAATTTCAATAGCTCTGTGGGCCTGAATGTTTCACTGGACCTGAATGTTTCACTGGTGCATGCTACACAGATACGATGCCTAGTAGATGCTGTTGTAGATAATAGATGTTTGATGAGTGAGTGAGTGAATGATGGAATGAAAGAGCTTTTCCATCTAGTGTCATGAGACTTTTGATGACTCACTCAAACACTCGGGTCTGGTAAACCAAGGTTTCCTTAAAGCGCACATCTCTTGCTTGGCAGTGGTATGAAGCGAAATCCACATTGGCACTGATTTGAAGCTGCAGTTCTTGGTAGTTTTCTTCTAGTACTGAGTGAGCAGGCTCTGGATCCGTCTCTATCACCTGTAACAAAGGCAGCTGTGTCCTCAGAGATGCAGAGCACAGGGACAGAAAAACTGACAATGGAATAGAATAGAGAAACCAGAAACATTCTAGGCATATATAAAATTTAGGTACACTATGTAACAATAAAGTCCTGGCAGATCACTAGGGAACAGAGAGGCTAAATGAAAAAGGGATCTAGTAAGATTAGTCATCTAGATGAAAAATATGAAATTGGATCCTTGCTTCACAACATACATAAAATCCAGGTGGGCTAAGAGCTGAACTATCAAAAAAATAAAACTCTTAAAAATATATAAGTGAACATCTTTCTGGGAGGAAAGAGTTTTAAAAATAAGACACAAAAAGTAATAAATATAAAATAAGGGATTAATAAACTTGATGATATTAAAATTAATAACAGAAAAGATAAACTAGGCCAGGCATGGTGGCTCACACCCGTAATCCCAGCACTTTGGGAGGCCGAGATGGGTGGATCACTTGAGGCTAGGCATTTGAGACCAGCCTGGCCAACATGGTGAAACCCTGTCTCTGCTAAAAATACAAAAATTAGCTGGGTGTGGTGGTGCATGCTTGTAATCCCAGCTACTTGGGAGGCTGAGGCATGAGACTCTCTTGAATGTAGGAGGTGGAGGTTGCAGTGAGCCAAGATTGTGCCACTGTATGCCAGCCTGGGCGAGAGAGCAAGACTCTGTCTCAAAAAAAAAAAAAAAAAAAAAAGATAAACTATCAATTTGGTAAGGATATTTGCAGACAAATAATATGAACAGAAGAGTTTATAAAAGATAAAATAACACACAAAGTATAAGTATCATAATTGAAAAATGGGCAAAAGGCATGAAAAGGCATTCATGTAAGGGATAACTTGTATGACGAGTAACCATATGAAGAAATACTCAGCTTTATTTGTGATCAGGGATCAGGACAATGCAAAATAGGCTCATAATGAGACCATTTCCCATTCATTCAAATGATAAAAATCAGGAAGTCTGACAATGACAAGTGTTGGAGAGGACACGGATCAACAAGCTCTCTGCTGTAGGAGTACAAGTTGGTACAGCTACTCTGGAAAATAGTTGGGCATTATCTTGGCAAGTTGAACATTCATATATCCAATGAGTCAGCAATTCCACTTCTAGGAATATAAACTCTTACAAATGAACACCATGTGAACAACATGTCTGTGATAGCAAAACCCCAAATAATTTTCAAAAGGAAAAAGGGTAAATAATAATGGAATCTTATGTAGAAGTGAAATGGATACACTACAGCTACAAGCAACAATATGGATGATCACATACAATAACATTTTTAAAAGTTAAAACTGCAACTAAACAATATATGTTTTATTTTTATTTTTTGAGAAAGAGGCTCACACTCTGTCTTCCAGGTTGGAGTACAGTGGTGCGATCATGGCCCACTACAGCCTTGACCTCCCAGACTCCAGATGATCCTCTCACCTCAGCCTCCCAAGTAGCTGGGACTACAGGTGTGCACCATCACGCCCAGCTAATTTTTGTATTTTTAGTAGAGATGGGGTTTTACCATGTTGACCTGGTTGGTCTCAAACTCCTGGGCTCAAGCAATCTGCCTGCCTCAGCCTCCCAAAGTTTTGGGATTATAGGCATGAGCCACTGTGTCTGGCCTGATATACCTTTTAGTATGCATAGGTTAAAAAAAGAACAAAAAGCGAAAACCAAGAGAGTAAACAAGTCAAGTGAAGATAGTGATTACTTCTAGGATGGCGGCAGAGGGATGGAAAGGCTAGAATCACACAGGTAGTCAATGTTCTACTTCCCATGTTGGGTGTGGGTTTGTCTCTGTGTGTTATATTGTTGTTAAAAAACCTAACCAAGGAATGAATAAAAGAGGGGCACACATGGACGATCCTGTCATGAACCAAAGATTATGACAAATGTGATTCTGGATACCTGAGGGAAAAGGGAAACAACTAAAATATTAGCATTGACATTTTGGAAGAAGAAAAAGGTGGGAGGACTTGCTCAACTACTTATCAAGACTTAAGCTAAAGGTCTACCAATGAAGATGTGTGGTACGTGTAGCATGGATGGCAGGCAGCATGTGTAGAAGTTTAGTTTGTCACTTTTGGAATCAAGGTCAAGTAGAATGGGAACCTTTTCTTTTTTCTGTGAAAAAAGGAAACGATGAGAGACTTGAGACCAGTAGGAATCCAAGCATGGAGGTCTGGTCAGATTGGTGCTTGATGTCCACACTTACTTTTCGTTTTGTAGTGAAAGTCCCAGGCATGTTTCTGGGCACATCCACCCACTTGACTGTGTGCATGCGGTCATCCCAGTCAGGGACCTGGTCTGCAGGGAGCTGAAACATAATTCTGGAGAGCTTGCACTTGATCCGCATATTCTTCAGGTTGATGGGTACGTCTGACTTCATGGTCACCACTATGTCCTTGGCACACCCAGGGTGGAGATGGCCCATCTAGGGAAGAGCCTGGTATTAGTATTTTTGAGAATCTAATCTTGAGGACTCTTGATACCTGTTGGTGATATTCTAGAGAAGGGAAGGAGCCAAAGGTCTTGGCAAAAAATGCATCAGTCAAGCCTGTGTATGTAGACAGAATTAAATACGTACAAGAGGTTCTCAGGTAGAAACATGATAATAATAATAATAATAACAACTAATATTTATCAAACTTACTTGCTTCAGGCACTATTCTAAACCTTTACACAATTCTATGAATCCCTACAACAACCCTATGAGGGGTACAGCTATTATTCCCATTTTACAGACAACGAAACTTGTAACTTGGTTGAGGTCATTAATTTTTGAGGAGTTAGATTCAGACCCAGGCAGTTTGGCTCCAAATGCCACACTCTTAATCAACACAATCTATACAAATTATGGACAGAGGAATACAGTACACTAGCAGTTCTCCAAAGGTGTTCTAGTGACCTTGGGATCCCCAGGACCTTTTCAGGGGATAAATGAGGTCAATACTATTTTAATAGTAATACAAAGATATTATTTGACTTTTTCACTCTCATTTTTCTTGTAAGTGTACGATGGAGTTTTCTAGAGGTTATGTGATATATGGTGATATGGTCTGGCTGTGTCTCCACCCAAATCTCATCTTGAATTGTAGATCCTATAATCCCCACATGTTGTGGGAGGGACCTGGTGGGATATAATTGAATCATGGGGGCAGTTTTTCCCATACTGTTCTTGTGGTAGTGAGTAAGTCTCACGAAATCTGATGGTTTTATAAGGGGTTTCCCCTTCCGCTTGGCTCTCATTTTTCTCTCTTGTCTGCTACCATATAAAATGTGCCCTTTGCCTGCCATGATTGTGAGGCATCCCAAGCTATGTGGAACTGTGAGTCCATTAGTCTCTTTTTCTTTATAAATTACCCAGTCTCAGGTATGTCTTTATCAGCAGTGTGAAAATGAACAAATATAGTAAATTGGTGCTGGTAGAGTGAGTGGGGCACTGCTGTAAAGATACTCGAAAATGTGGAAGTGACTTTGGAACTGGGTAACAGGCAGAGGTAGGAACAGTTTGGAGGGCTCACGAGAAGACAGGAAGATGTGGAAAAGTTTGGAACTTCCTAGAGACTTGTTGAATGGCTTTGACCAAAATGCTGATGATATGGTCAATGAAATCTAGGCTGAGATGGTCTCAGATGGAGATGAGAAACTTGTTGGGAACTGAAGTAAAGGTGACTCTTGCTATGTTTTAGCAAAGAGACTGATTGCATTTTGCCCCTGCCCTAGAGATCTGTGGAACTTTGATCTAGAGGGAGATGATTTAGGGTACCTGGCATAAATAATTTCTAAGCAGCAAGGCATTCAAGTGGTTACTTGGGTGCTCTTAAAAGCATTCAGTTTTAAAAGGGAAATAGAGCATAAAAGTTCAGAAAACTTTCAGCCTGATGATAGAAAAGAAAAAACCATTTTCTGAGGAGAAATTCAAGCTGGCTTCAGAAATTTGCATAGGAAGGGAGAAGCCAAATGTTAACGGCCAAAACAATGGGGAAAATGTCTCTAGGGCATGTCAGAGACCTTTGTGGCAGCCCCTCCCATCACAGACCCAGAGGCCTGGGAGGAAAAAATGTTTTGTGGGTGGCCCAGGGCCCCCTGTACTGTGTGCAGTCTAAAGACGTAGTGCTCTGCATCCCAGCCACTCTGGTCATGGCTACAAGAGGCCGAGGTATGGTTCAGGCCATGGCTTCAGAGGGTGTAAGACCCGAGACTTGGCAGCTTCCATGTGGTGTTGAGCCTGTGGGTGCACAGAAGTCAAGAATTGAGGTTTGAGAACCTCCACTGTAGGCCGGGCGTGGTGGCTCAAGCCTGTAATCCCAGCACTTTGGGAGGCCAAGACGGGCGGATCACTGGGTCAGGAGATCGAGACTATCCTGGCTAACAAGGTGAAACCCCGTCTCTACTAAAAAATACAAAAAACTAGCCGGGCGAGGTGGCGGGTGCCTATAGCCCCAGCTACTCGGGAGGCTGAGGCAGGAGAATGGCGTGAACCTGGGAGGCGGAACTTGCAGTGAGCTGAGATCCGGCCACTGCACTCCAGCCTGGAGGACAGAGCGAGACTCCGTCTCAAAAAAAAAAAAAGAAAAAAGAAAGAGAACCTCCACTGTGCCCAGCCTCTCTGCCTTCTTTGATTAAGGCTTTGGTAATAAAAATAATGCACAAAAGTAGATTACCCTATTATATTATACTGTGTTTGTTTCTTCACAGGTAAAATGCCAATAATAGTGGTATCTATGGCTGGGCACAGTGGCTCATGCCTATAATCCCAGCACTTTGGGAGGCTGAGGCAGGTGGATTGCTTGAGCTCAGGAGTTTGAGACCAGACTGGGCAACATGGTGAAACCTGTCTCTGCCAAAAATACAAAAAAATTAGCCATGTGTGATGGTATGCATCTGTTGTCCCAGTTACTTGGGAGGCTGAGATGGAAGAATCACTTGATCTTGGGAGGTAAAGGTCGCAATGAGCCAAGATCGTGACACCGCACTCCAGCCTGGGTGACAGAGTGAGACTATCTCAATAAACAAACAAAAACAAAAAAGTAGTATCTGCCTTATAGGGTTGTTGAGAGGATTAACTAAGGTCTTAGAACTATTTTTGGCATATAGTAAGCACTCAATTTACAAATAAAATGGTATACTAGCTCTATTCAGGGTTGGATTTGGACCATGATGAAATGGAGTGGTCAGATTCCTAATGAACTTTATATCACTTCAAAAAGCAAAATTTATCCCTAATAGCACTCAAAGATTTAAAGATGACAAAGTCCCCAACCCCTTTGCTCCACCCCCCTCAAGTACTGTGCTTGAGAAGACTCAGTGGCTGTATGTCAACAGAGCAGGAGGCAGTGAAGACACTGGGGTGTGCCAGTGTTCTGGGAACTCAGAAGTGAACTATCTACAAAAAGCAACCACTGGCCAGAGGCAACAATCTGCTAGAACGTTATCCTAGGCCTTGTTCAATGTCAAGCTTTAGTCGGCAATTCCAAAAAATGTGTGCTGTGAAGATGTTAAAAGAAGAGGTTAGAAAATTCCAGGTAAAACAAAATTAACTAGGTTTTAACATGCCAAAGAGAACCAGGAATCTTTAAGAGAAGGATGGAGCTTGGAACATTTTCTAAATCTCAGTTATCCACAGAACTCATCACCCCCATTCTAGCTTTTGGTGAAGTATTTTGAAGGACTGATACTCTAAAGGACACACATCTAGGAGGACACAGCTCCACAATCTGGGATAGGAAGACTAGGACCTATATTCATCTATACAGGCCTCCACAGGACCCCTTGACAGCGGCCTAGCAACAGTCTTGGCCAACTTCATTCTCTGTCTTCCCCTCTTAACCAGGGGAGACATGAACAGTGTTCTTTGCTACCAGATATGAGTGAGGGATGATTCCTGGGCTGTCTCTCAGCTTGAGATGTATTAATTCCATCCCATGCATCCATGGGAAAGGGCTGACAATCAGTCTGTGGTTGGCTTAGGCCTAAGGGATTCCAGAAAAATGATGAACGACTTTTATTTACCTGTGGGGAGAAAGCAATTGTAGCCAAAACAGGCCACTCAAACCGTATCACGTTCACTTGGCTGTGATTTGTGACTGTGAAGCTCACATTATAGCTGTGTCCAATGTGGCAGTCCCCAAACTGGATGTGGTCCACCAGAGCAGCTAGGGATTAGAAGCAGAAGGCTGTGAGTCTTCCCTAGCCTCCCTTGAGGCTCTTCTTCCTTAAGGAGCCATAGTGCTTCACCCACATGCTATCCTTCCACCCTTGGATGGTTACATTTGAAAAACCTAGAATCTCTGAGTAACAAGATTTCTATCCTCAAGGAATCTATTCATCCATCCATCCATCCATCCATCCATCCTCCACCCACCCATCCATCCATCATCCACCCACCCATCATCTACCCATCCATCCACCCATCATCTACCCATCCATCCATCCATCCCTCCCTCCCATCCATCCATTATCCACCCATCCATCATCCACCTATCCATCACCCACCTATCCATCCATCATTCATCCATCCATTATCCATGCATCCATCCATCCTCCACCCACTAATCCATCTACCCATCATCCACCCATCCATCCATCCATCCATCATCCACCCTCCCCCATCCTGCCATCATCCATCCACCCACCCATCCAGCCATATCCACCCATCCATCATCTCCCCACCCACCCACCCATCCACATGTCCATCCATTATCCACCCATCCATTCATCCATCCATCATCCACCCACCCATCCATCCATCATCCACCCATCCATCCATTCATTTATCCATCATCCACCTACTCACTCACCTATCTATCCATCATCATCCACCTATCCATCTATCATCTACCCACCCATCCATCCATCCATCATCCACCCATCCATGCACGCATGCATGTATCCATCCATGCATCCATCATCTACCCATCCATCCCTCTATCCCTTCATCCATCCATCAACTATCTATCTACTCACCCATCATCTACCCATCCATCCATCCCTCTATCCCTTCTATCCCGCTGCTCATCCATCCATCCTTCTATCCATCCATCCGTCATCCATTCACCCACCTTAGCCCTCACATCCATTTGTACAAGACAAAACATAGGTCCCCAACTCCATTTGTTCGGTGAGAAAATATTATAAAGGATTGGGATTGCCAGATAAAATACAGGAGTCCCAGTTACATTTGAATTACAGATAAGTAATGAATAATTTTTAGGATAGGTATATCCCATGCCATGGTTGGGATATACATATACTAAAAATTATTCAGAGTTTAACTGAAATTCCAATTTATTGGGGAGTCTTGTATTCTGATTTGCTAACTCTGGCAATCCTATAATGGGCATGAAATCTGAGTTCTGAACTTAGATTCACTGCTGGCTCCTGCTTGATCCTTCATAAGAGAGATGTCACCCTGTAGCCTCAAACAGAGCTGAAACACCAGGTATATGAAGAGTGTTGATTTCAACCCATGTTGTGTAGACCACCTAATGGTACATTCCAGGACTTTAATTAAGCTTCTAGAAAAACTATGAGACTCTGTTTATAACTCACTTTTTAGCAACCAACCACGTAATTAGGGTGCTTAACCAATGCTTTCTGATGATAACAATTCGATGATAAATTTTTCCAACCCCTAAAAATGTCAATTAAATGAAGCTTTAGTGCTTGATAGATTGCAGCACAACATGTCTTAAGCTTTAGTATAAAAATACATCACCTGGGATCTTGTTAAAATGTGGATGCTGATTCCGCAGGGCACGGTGGGTCTGAAACCCCCATTTCTAACAAGCTCCCAGGTGATGCTGATGCCATAGGATCTCAAACTGCTCGTTGAATAGTGGGGCTGTGCAGAGTGATATTCTAGAAGTGCCCAAACCTATACTCTCTCTAATTAAACAAGACGATGCCAACACAAGCCAGCTAATAAATGCAGACAGGAAAAACTGCAAGACATTTATTTGCTTATTAGTTGAACTGGAATTTGAATATCAAACTATAAGCTCCCTAAGAGTAGAGACTTCCTTGTTAATTTTGAAACTCCAGGGATCAGCATGCCTGGAACATGTACTTGGTGCTCAATACATGTTCATCAAGTGAACACATGAATAAATGGAAGGATGGATGCCATGACTGAGCCAGGCACACCAGCGCATAGCGTAGTGAAAAGGTCAGTCAGTCCTAAATTCTCAGGGAGTTAACCAACCCGTTATTTAAATTTAACTCTCATTTAAAACAAATGACCCAATAGCCAACACTTGTCAACACCTCACTACTGTTTCTCCCACCTGCCACTAAGTCTTCCATATCATTGTCCTCGACTATCTCTGTGAACTCAGAGATACTTATGTCTTCCTGGCTGGTGGGGGCCACCAGCCCGTGGATGTTGTCCAAGGTGATGTCATCCTCATAGCCCTCTCCCACCATGTGGATGGTGGTCTCCTCATACTGGTTGTTGATCACTGACAAGTGGATGATACCTCTCATCCTCCCAACCTTCTGGGAGTGGAAAAAGACATCAAATTCAGCTGTATCTCCAGGAGAAACAACCAAGGAGGCTGTATGAGCTTTCTTTGCTGCAAAGAGAAGAGAGAAGGTATGATTTAGAACCAGTTTCAAGAAATGTGTATCTATAAAGACCCCGGTTGAAGGGAAAGTAACCGTAGAATGGGAACGAGCCTTAGCCAGACGCCAGTGGTGACCAGACTGGACATTCCCCTCTGGTTGGGCCTTGAGCGGTACCCTAATGAAGCAGCTACTGAGATCCATTGCCTTCTAGAAGCACTCTCCCCACACTTACCTTTTTCATGTGGTTTGTTTTCCTCTGTGATGTAGATGTACGAGGTGGTGGGCCTCCCCTTCAGGGAAAAGACTCCTAGCTCATCCCGCAGGTCAACATGCAGCTGGCAGAAGGAAAGCAGGGATGAGTGCTAGGCTTACAGGCTGCTCATGGGCTTTGAGTCTGGGGTGAGATACTGTACTGTGTTTGGGGCGGGACCCCAAAAAGTTATTGTGCCCAGTATTCACGTTTTTGAATTTCTTTTGTCCTGGAGAGCACAAAAACATTCAGTCAAATCAGCCCTTGTTATCTGAGTGAGGAACTGCAGGTCCAAAGAGTATGCAGAACTTTCCAGATCACGTAGGTACATAGTGTCAAAATGTGGTTGCCAACACCTCTGTCATTAACAGAGGCAGTTATAGAATATACGCTAGGGTAATAAAATGGAAATGAATACTTATAATTCTAAGAGGGCCTGCATTGATGTGAATTCCTAAAAAAACAGTGTCTCCTAGGTGCTATGCATTAGTTTAGTTGCCTGATAGTGTCATGTTGAGCATCCTACCACGATAAGAGAAAAAACAAGGTGGGCATTTGACCTACTTGGAGAAAGTGGTGGTTTCTGGCCCATTGTAAGGAAGATAAGACTAAAGCTATGCATCTGATTTCAGATATGAGACATCAGCAGGCATTGTTAGAAGACAGTAATGCTGGCACCATCGTGAAAAAGATTGAATATAAAATATGAGGCACGGAGAAGGCAGAAATAGTGGTATCACATGGGAAGCTTCTGAGATAAAAAATTACGTATTTAGAAACAACTTGTAATAAGAAACTATATGGAAGAATTATATGTAAGAATATTGACGTAAAAGATCTAAATAAATGAGTGGAAATCCTAAATGTTTCTGGTGGAGAGTCTAAATACTCTGCAAGTAGAAATCCTCCTGAATTGAGAGGCTTCCTGATGGGATTTTTAAAGGAGCATTATAAAATAATTATAAAGCTCATTTGAGAGATTAATAGGTGAAAATTGTTAAGAAAAATGACAAAAACAGGGAGTGGGTGGGTAGGAATTCACTGAACTAGAATGCTAAAACATAAAGCCACAATAATGGAAACAATGCAGGGTAATGGTAAACTAGGTAACCTGAGCTAAAGGCAACAGTAATTGCTAGACTAAATATGTAAAAAAAAATTTTTTTTAAGTATCACAGAGCTATGAAGAGAATGAGGAATAAATAGACCAGGATCGGTGAGAGTATAGAAATCCAGCAAGGTCAGTCTCACTTTCTGGGCAGTTTTTGTCCAGAGCATTTGCCAATCAGGAAAAGTTAGACAGGAGGCTTGTCTGCACTTTTTTTTTTGATATGGAATCTCACTCTTTCACCCAGGCCAGAGCGCAGTGGCGAAATCTTGGCTCACTGCAAACTGTCTCCTAGGTTCTGATGATTTTCCTGCCTCAGCCTCCAGAGTAGCTAGGATTACAGGCGCGAGTCACCATGCCCAGCTAATTTTTGTATGTTTTTAGTAAAGACGGGGTTTTACCATGTTGGCCAGGCTGGTTTCAAACTCCTGATCTGCCCACCTCAGCCTCCCAAAGTGCTGGGATTACAGGCGTTGTCTGCACTTTTGATGGTCTTTCGGTGCTAAGAGGGCAAAAATTCAAGGTCTGTGGAAGGTGAGAATGCTTTCTTCTGGTCTGGGACCTCATTAAGATGAAAGGTGAGCTGGATATGAACCAGCTTTCCCAAGGATGGCAATCCTGCTCTAAGTCTTCTGGGTAATACAGAAAATCTCAAACCCTAACACTGGCTTAAGGTGATCCTGAATTTCTAGTGCCCCCATGTGTTGGGCAGAAGCAAATGAAAATTGCCTCAAGAAAAATATGATCCTTAGTTTAATGATTTCTAAATAACTTTTACAATGTCATACCCAAAACATAAACAGAAGATAACTAGGCACGTGACAAGGCAGGGCAACATGGGCAAAGATGAGTAGAAATAGTAGAAAAAGATGAGTAGAAATATCAGAAAGAGCCACAGTGACTTTGGATTTTGGAATTATTGGGTACAGACTGCAAAATGGCTACGATTACTGTGTTCAAGAAATAAAAGTCATGTCTGACAATTTCAGCTAGAAACTGTAAACACGAATTATTCAGATTTTTAATAGAAATTCTAAGATTGAAAAATATAATAACTTAAGGGCTTAATGGAAACTTTAACAGTAGATTCAATACAGCTAAAGGGAGAGTTAATAAACTGAAGACAGGTCAAAAGAAATTATGCAGAATGAAGCCCAGAGGAAAAGTGAGTGGAAAATATAGTGAGACTGAGAGACACAGAAGATATAGTGAGAAGGTCTTCCATGTATTTAATTATCATCCCAGAAGGAGAGATTAGAGAGAATGAAATAGAAACAATATTTAAAGACATGTCTAGAAAATTTCCAAAATTGACTTAACTTTAATCCACAGAATCAAGAAGTCTATTGAATTCTAACAAGGATAAATTAAAGAAGTCCACTTCTGGACATATCATAGTAAAACTGTAGAAAACAAAGTGAAAATGTAAAAGGCAGTCAGAAAAAAAGAATGCCTTAAAGTAGCAGTCCCCAACCTTTTTGGCACCAGGAACTGGTTTCGTGGAAGACAATTTTTCCATGGACCAGGCACTGGGGAATGGTTTTGGGTTGAAACTGTTCCACTTCAGATAATCAGGCATTAGATTCTTATAAGGAACATGCAATCTAGATCCCTCACATGTGTAGTTCACAATAGCTGTTTGCACTCCTATGAGAATCTAATGCTGCTGCTGATCTGACAGGAGGGGAGCTCAGGTGGTAATATGAGTGATGGAGGGTGGCTGCAAAGACAGATGACCTTTTGCTCATGGGTCTGTGGCCTGGGGGTTGGGGATCCCATCTTAAAGAACATTTTAGACTTACAGCTGACAACTCAGCAGTAACAATGGAAACTGGAATACATTAGAATAATATCTCCCATTTGCTGAAAGAAAACAACTGCCAAACTGGAATTCTGTAGCCAGTAAAAATGATGTTAAAAATGAAGGAGAAATACAGACTTCACTACCAGCAGACTCACATTAAGGAAACACTAAAGAGTATTCTTCATTTGGTAGGAAAAGTGTCTAAGATGGTGATATGGTTTGGCTGTGTCCCCATTCAAATCTCATCTTGAATTTTAGCTCCCATAACTTCCACTTGTCGTGGGAGGGACCTGGTGGGAGGTAAATGAATCATGGGGGCGGGTCTTTCCCAGGCTGTTCTTGTGATAGTGAATAAGTCTCACAAGATCTGATGGTTTTATAAATGGGAGTTCCCCTGCACAAGCTCTCTTGGTTGCCACCATGTAAGACATGTCTTTCTCCTCCTTTGCCTTCCACTGTGATAGTGAGGCCTCCCCAGCCATGTGGAACTGTGAATCCTCTTTTTTCTTTATAAATTATCCAGTCTCAGGTATGTCTTTATTGGTAGCACAACAACTGACAAATACAGATAGAAAATTGGAGACCCAGGAATAAAAAGCAATAAAAATGATTAATAAATGAATAAACCTAAATGAGCCATAAAAGGGTAAATAGTAAGAACAGTAGCAATAACAACAGTAGCAATGTCTTGTAGGGTTTAAAATATTTAGAGAATCCCAAGCCTTCCACACAAGTTGCTCCATTACTGTATCCTTTCATTTTTATCTTCCTTGCTCTTCTACCTATACCTATGCTTTCATGAAGCTGGGTGCTTAGCAGCTCCTGCAGTAGCGTGCATGTTTTTTTTTTTTGGCTTCTGCACCTTTGAAGCTTTCTCTCTCTTTCTGGTTTGCATGGACTGCCAAATGCCCACTGAAGGCATTGCTGAAACCCAGCTCCTTCAATGAGCCCTGTTCAAATGTCATTTACAGTGAATTTTCCCTTTATTGTCTAGATGGGAATAGATCTTTTTCAAAAGTCCTACAGTCCCTTGCAGAGCACAATACATCACTTTTTTTTTGTAAAATAAAACCACAATTTAATCATCGAATCAAAATACATTTGGATGTTGTATTTCTCACCCCTACTGAAGTTTCTTTTTTGTCTTATTCTTATTGCAAGTGCAATGTTCATTACAGAAAACAATTAAAAACTAAAGAAGATATTAATACCCATAATCCTGCCCACTCAGCTTGATGCACGTCACTGCACGCTACCTTGGACAGTAGTTAATGATATATTGTGGAATCCGGTTTCCTTCTTTCCTTGAGGACAAATACCATGCCGGATTCCCCTCTGCAAGTCCGTGACACACAGGTTAATGCGTGCGGATCAACAGAGAAGTCCTCATACATTAGGCATGGCAGAGGCCCCAATGGCAGAAGTGTAACTTCTGGATTCTTCTCCCTTTCAGCCTCATGCTTCGTCCTCCAGTATTACCTGGGCAGGGAGGACGCCATTGTTCTTGAGGATGAGAGGCAGCTTCTCTGAACGACCAAGCAGAAGCCTCTTAAAGAGGAGTAAGGGGTTTCCACGTTGGTTATGAAGAATTGGCCGCACAACCGTCACTCGAGGGAGGTTCCCCTCACCAGCGATGTCAAACACGAGGCCTCGGCTCTTGGCCAGGGTGCTGTGGGGAACAGGAAGATTGTAGCCTGTCAGTCTGGCGTGGTGGGAATGACACTCCCTAGGGAGTGTGGCCTGCAGTCCTGCTGCAGGAGAGGGAGCTGGGAGCTGGGAGCTGGTACCTGGGCAAGCCATCCAAGGTAGCCTCAAAGATGCACTGGTAGTTCTGCATGATCTGCGGGGTGAAGGACACCGTGGCAAAGGCATGGGAATGACTGGCAATGCACATCTTGTTGGGTTCCACTTCAAAAATGTCGGTGATGCGGGCAAAGGGCTGGTGATGGGGGCAGAGACCAGAGTATGTCAGCGCCTTTGGATTCTCACCAGGCATACTCCTTATTTCCAAGAGCCCCCCCCCGCCTCTCATCTAAGTGCCGTGGTGGACATGCTCCACTGCCTGCAGGGTCAGGGGCCCTGGAGGGGACAGCCTGGGACCCAGCCCTGAATGATGCCTGGCCAGATTTGGCTAGACCTGTGATTTGTGACTCAAATTGATGAACTAAGCCAGGAATCCAGATATTGTCCCTCCTACCCCACCCTTGTCAACTAAACTGGGATGCCCAAAGATTGGTGTTGGTTGGTTTTTAAATTCTTTTTTGACAGGATCTTGCTCTGTCACTTATGTTGGAGTGCAGTGGCATGATCATGGCTCACTGTGGCCTCGACCTCCTGGACCCAGGCAATCCTCCCACCTCAGCCTCCCAAATAGCTGGGACTACAGGTGTGTGCCACTATGCCCAGCTAATTATTATTATTTTTTTGTACATATGCGGTTTCGTCATGTTTCCCAGGCTGGTCTCAAACTCCTGGGCTCAAGTGATCTGCCTGCCTTGGCCTCCCATAGTGCTGGGATTACAGGTGTGAGCCACCGTGCCGGGCCGGTGCTGGTTGTTAAAATGTGGAGCTGAGCTGCGAGCTGGCTGAATCATATGCAAGATGAGAAAGCTAGATGAGAGAGTGAAGCAATGGAAACCCTGTGAGAGAGACATGTGGCCACTGACAGACGGACAGAGCATCCGCTGGTCTTCTAAAGGGTGGGCCTCAGGTGATGGTGCCAGTCCCAAGGAGTCCCAGCCATGTGATGTGTTCTGACCTGTGTCTGAGGTGTCTGATTTGCTGCAGTAAGCCTTGCTTTGTTTGGGCTAATCTGAGAGGATTTCTGCTCCTTGTAACTCCAAGAGCCTTGGCTAGAGCAACCTCCCACAGCAGTTTATCTGTTCCCATCTTGTGGCAGTGTTTTGGGACTGTAGGGAGCCCTGGCATGGCCTTAAAAGGATTTTTCATTCTCATGGGAAGTAGGTGGGATTCAAGACTGACTATTCCCTCTTGTTCTTAAACTGAGGGTCCTCGGGTTTCTCTTTGCTTTTTCCGAGGGATAGCCTTCAAGTCTGCGAACTAGGGTGGAGGAGAACATGTAATTTCTGCAAATCCTCTTATACAGTCTCTCTTTAGAAATCAGGCTTGCGGCTGGGTGTGGTGGCTCACTCCTGTAATCCTAGCGTTTTGGGAGGTGGAGGTGGGAGGATCGCTTGAGCCCAGGAGTTCGAGACCAGCCTGGCCAACATGGTAAAACCCCGTCCCTACAAAAAATACAAAAACTAGCCAAGCATGGTGGTACGTGTCTGTAGTCCCAGCTACTCAGGAGGCTGAGGTGGGAGGATCACTTGAGCCCAGGAAGTCGAGGCTGCAGTGAGCCATCATGGCAATGAGAGTGAGACTGTCTCAAAAAAAAAAAAGAAAAAGAAAAGAAAAATCAGTCTTGCTCTTTTTGTTTTTTTGAGACGGAGTCTCGCTCTGTTGCCCAGGCTGGAGTGCAGTGGCTGGAACTTGGCTCACTGCAAGCTCCGCCTCCCAGGTTTATGCCATTCTCCTGCCTCAGCCTCCCGAGTAGCTGGGACTACAGGCGCCCGCCACCTCACCCAGCTAGTTTTTTTGTATTTTTTAGTAGAGACGGGGTTTCACCGTGTTAGCCAGGATGGTCTTGATCTCCTGATCTGGTGATCCGTCCGTCTCAACCTCCCAAAGTGCTGGGATTACAGGCCTTGCTCACTTTTTATGTTTTTAGTACAGAATAGGGAGAAAGTTGCTCCTTAGTATCCCAAATAAGATCAGAGAATAGGCCAGGCGTGGTGGCTCACGCCTGTAATCTCAGCACTTTGGGAGGCCGAGTTGGGTGGATCATGAGGTCAGGAAATCGAGACCATCCCGGCTAACACGGTGAAACTCCGTCTCTACTAAAAATACAAAAAATTAGCCAGGCATAGTGGTGGGTGCCTGTAGTCCCAGCTACTTGGGAGGCTGAGGCAGGAGAATGGCGTGAACCTGGGAGGCAGAGCTTGCAGTGAGCTGAGATCGCGCCACTGCACTCCAGCCTGGGCGACAGAGCAAGATTCTGTCTCCAAAAAAAAAAAAAAAAAAAAAAAATCAGAGAATGAATGGGTGTCACCAGGGTCTGAAGGAAGTCATAAAAGGGATTATGTAGTCTCCCCAACCACACCTCTCTGCATTGACATTCCCCCAGGAATGCACACTCCATATGTAGCTCTAGGCTGACACCAACACCCTTGGTGACTTCCCCACCACCCTCAGCTGCGAACAATGCCAGCTCCAGGGGCTGAGGGCCTCCTGGGCCCAGATTCGACTTTTGGGCAGAGAACTGAAGCAGCCACCATAAAACTAGAGTATTTGCTACACACTGGATTGGAAATTAAGGGTGACGGAAACCCATTGATTAAGACCTCTCTTGGTATCCTGAATTTTCTGTTCTGCTGTGAAAAAAAGTATGATCTGACTCAGAGAGAAAAGGCAGTTTCGAGCCTGGCAGACCCCTGAATGGGCAATTATTTCATCTTGTATGTGGATGAAGCTTGGCTTTAAGCCCAGCCCTATATTCTCAGGCTCTGGGACCTAGGGGAAGGATTTAGCTTTTTAAGCCTCAGTTTCCCTAACTGTAGAATTGGGATAATAATACAAAGTTGGAAGAGTTGTTGTGAGGGCAAAAGGAGGCAATAAATATAAATCACTTAGCACAGTGCTTGTCACATGGGAAGGGCTAAAAAGTGCTCACCATTTCACCTTATCCTCAGAATCTGGTGCCCCCAAATCTCCCTTACCAGCAGAATATGCAGCTGGAGGCAGGCCTGTCTGGAGCTGGTGCTCACTTTAGCCTCTCCCCACCATGCTTTCTCTATTTTAGGCACATAGTGAGCGTTTAATGGAGGAATGCGGTTTGCTCACTCATGCGTACCCATTTATCACAAAGGTACCCGGAGGAGACACCCACTGGGACAAATGTATCACCACTGGCCTAGGGGAAACCCCCAGTTACTTCACATAACTTCCAGCAGGGCCAGATAATTTCCACTCACACATACAGGCTCCAGAGCCGAGGATGCTGAGAGCCCTTCTTCCAAGTTTATGTCAATCACGGTGGGCCAGGGGCCAATGGGAGCGTCTTACCTTATTGGAGATAGGCCTGACTACAATGTTGACATCACAGGCGATCTTCCCCACGTTGCTGATCTTGAAACGAGCCTTGGCTCGGCGGCCCACGAGGACATTGCAGAAGATGAACTTGTTCTCGTCCTCGACGAACAGCCCCCCGCTCTCTATGGTCTGCAGGATGTGGTGCAGGGTGGCGCTGGTACATATCTGGTGCTCTTCAAATATCAAGGCATTGTTTTCGGTCACAAAGGCTGGGGAGTGAAGGGGAGACTATGAGATGCAGCCTGATCGCTGGATTCCCTCTCTGTAATTCCTAATTTGGAGCTCTGGATTCTCACAAAGGAGAATCGTGGAGGACACATAGGGGAGGTCACGCAAGGGGGTGTGAGGGATGGGAAACATTCTGTCTGGCCTTCCTCTTTTGTACTGCCCTTGCTGGTTGCCATACTCCAGTGAGCGTTTTTCTCCCAATGGCAAGATCCAAGATCTGGGGTGGGCTGTGGAGGGAAGGAGGCAACTGGCCCACTATGCTTCAAGGCTCCAGTGATCCTATCATCAAAGCACGAGGCATTCTCTTTGCACCTCATGTGCCCTCCTGCTGGGTTACAGATTTTGTATGCTCAGTACCTGAAAATTGTTCTCTGTGGACATGCTGCCCACCAGGAGTGGCCTGGCCATGAGCAGGACTCAGTGCTCCTGGGTCCTGTGCTACAGCCCATCCCACCATGATTCTCAGATAACACTATTCATCTGGGAATCCAGGAGCAGCCTCCTGGGAGTGTGAAGCTGCACCTCCTCCCTTAGGTATATGCCCTGGAAAAATACAACTAAAGACACTAGAGGAAGTTCCAGGACCCCAAAGGAAGCAGCCCAGCCATGTCTGACAGACATCTTTGGAAAAACTTGCAAGAAAGAGGTAGAAGTGTTACAGATAAAGGCCTCTTATTTATATATTTATTTTTTGAGATGGACTCTTGCTCTGTTGTGGAGTACAGTGGCGTGATCTTGGCTCAATGCAAACTCCACCTCCTGAGTTTGAGTGCCTTCTGAGTAGCTGGGATTACAGGCATGTGCCACCACACCCGGCTAATTTTTTGTATTTTTAGTAGAGACGGGGATTTGCCATGTTGGCCAGGCTGGTCTCAAACTCCTGATGTTAGGTGATCCGCCCGCCTCGGCCTCCCACAGTGCTGGGATCACATGCATGAGCCACTGCACCTGGTCTCAGACAAACATCTTTTAAGTGGTGTTGTCCAATGTGAGTGGTGAGTACCTGGTAGACAGGCTTCAGCCAGCAAAGTGTAAGGAATGCCGGCAGGCTGAACTGTAGGGTCTCGGCCGGAGATATCGATGGCTATAAACTCCTCACACTTTCCCACGGGGTCAGCCACACAGTCAACGTTGATGACCTGCTGTCCTCCGGAAGGGATGGAGCCAAACCCAGGGTACACGGTGAACATGCCATGGGCGAAGCGGGCCTGCAGGACAAGGGTGGGAGGGATAGGAGACTTGGAGGCAGAGTGAGTGACAGCCAGACCATGGGGGCTGTGAGATGGTGTGGAGAGGGCGAGAGACACGTGGGGCTTCTTCTCACAGGCACTCTCTGGGCCCTCACTCCTCTCCTCCTGGAGGGACAGAGGGCCTGGGATGGGCAGGGGGTCTTCAATGACAGGCTGCTCTCTCAGAGCTTCCTTCTATGCAAATTCCTTCAGACTAATCGTGTTTCAACTAAGGGTTTAAAGGAACAGACAGACTCCACATCATATAGCACTTATTCAGCTGAATCAGATGGGTGCAGAATGGAGTAGTGGGTGAGGTTATGGGCTTCTGAGTGAGACACACCTGGGTTTGAATCCCGGCCCTGCTAAATATTGACTGTTTGACCTTAAACAAATGACTTCTCTGAGTCTCAGTTTATTTATCTATAAAATGGGGCTAAAGCCGCAACCCCAGAGATTGCTGGAGGTTTAAATGAAATAACAGGTGTGAAGCATGTAGCATAGCATCTGGTATAGAATTAGTGCTAAAAAACAAGCAAACAAACAAACAAAAACCCAAAAAACCCAGGATGTTGGTGCAATCCTTAGGTGTGCCTGCTCTTCTCTCTCCTGCTTGTAGTTTTCTGGATGACCGTAGAATGTGCTGACAATGCAGTGGCCTGAGATAAGGGGAGGGTCTGGAACAGCCCAGGCTCTGTTCTCATCCTTCCTAGAACAGAATGTCCTTCAGCTCAGAGATCCACATTTCCTCTGGAGCACAAAATCCAGGACAGAATGCTTTTGGTGTCCTTCAGCTGCAGTGTGAAGTGGGGCATGCATAGGCAGGACTTCATTTGGTCAAGGCAGCTTTCTTGAGCCTTGGGGGACCAGCTGTCCATGAATACGAAGTTTCTATTAGTTCTTGCTACCTATCTGTGACTGATAACTTGCTTTGCATGACTTGTGTGAGTGTTCTGCCACACTGGACTCATACCCTGGCAACTGGATTTGTGCAAAACCTCTGGCAGCTGGGGTTTGTGAAGGACCTCCTGCCAGATCTAGGAACCACAGCAGAAATTAGTGCTGAGTCTAGTGGCACTCTTCACACAGGCATCTGTGTGGATGCAGCCCCTAGCATTGTGCAGTGTGACTGCAGAAACATATGTGGAAGCTGTTATTAACTAATTTGGTCACTATTTACTAAATACCTACTATATGCTAGGAGATGTCCTGGGCACCGGTGATTCCCAGATAAACCATCCTGACAGAGGAGAAGGTTGGAGAATAGTAGAAAATGGCATGATGTTGTCTCAAAGGAGCAAGGTCATAGTAGGGGCAAAGAACAGCTGAAATGAGTAGAACTGAGGTAGCAGAAAGTTAGGAGAAAGGGAAGCAGTCAGAGAAAGAGGTCTTGGAAATCAAGGATTCAGAAGCACCTCAGTTTCTTGTGATGCAAGATCCAGGCTGTGACCATTAAAATAAGTTGCCAATGTAGAGGAGAGGATAAGTTCATTGCAACTGAAAGGCAGAATGCTGGAGAGGCTGTCTCACTGAAGGCTGAGAAGATATGGTAGTCAAAGAAGGAAAAAAAAATTGTAGAAGAGATGAGAGTTACAGAAACATATGTAGAAAATTATGTATGTTAATGAAACAGAAGCCTTTGCTTGACAAGAGGAAACCACTTGAAAAGACATAAAAACCAACATGTAGAAAACCCAGTTCACTTCAATCAATAATTATTGCTATTCACAGAGTGCAGAAAACTTGCTTCTCTCATTGCCTTCAATGCAGAGGTTGTGGCTGGAGCTGCAGCAGCCACCTTGGAACCATGAGGGAAAGGCCAAGAGAATCACAAGCAACAATAAACTGTGAAACCAACACCAGCAATTGCCTCCCCCATTTAAATATGCCATATTTGTTTAAACCACTAACGTTGGATTTTCTGCTATCTGCAACCAAACATGATTCTGATACACAAATCAAGCACCTCCTCCTCCGTGAAGCCTTCAATAACTGTTCACAGCTACCCAGAACAGCAAGACTTCATTCTTCCATTTTTCTAGAGTCTATCCATGTACAAGCACCTCAATTATAGTATTTACCATCTTGCTTAACAACTGCTCATTCACCTGCTTTTTATAAAGAATTCCTCTTGTCTGTCTTTGAGTTCACTGATTCTTTCCTCCACCCTGCTCTAAAATATTTCCTCTACATCCATTTAAAACCATATCAGACAGTATTATAGTTTTGCTTCCATTGACAAACATAATTTAGAAAACCCAGGAAGAGAAGTAAGGTCTACTGAATTTACCTACATTATTGCTTACTATGTTTTTTTCTTCCTCGTTGATGTTCCATGATTACATCTTCTGTTATTTACTTTCTGTTTTGAGAACTTCCTTTAGCCATTCTTTTAGGGTAAGTCTACTAGTGACAAATTCTTTTAGCCTTGTTTCATTTGAGAAAGTCGATTTTCCATTTATCCCTGAGAAATATTTTTGCTGGATATAAGATTCTGGGTTCACAGTTATTGATTCTCTACACTTGAAAATATTATGCCACTTTCTTTTGGGTCTCTATGGTTTTTGTAAGAAATCTGCTGTCATTCAAGGTTCATTTCTCTCCTGATGTGCTCAAGATTTTTTTTTCTTTTCTTTAATTTTCAGAAGTTTGACTATGATGTGTGTTGGTAAGGATTTCTTTTGGTTTCTCCTATTTGGGTTTGCTCAGATTCTTGAGTCTGTAGGTTTACATCTTTTTCCAAATTTGAAAAGTTTTCTGTCATTATTCCTTTGAGTACCTTTTCAGTTCCACCCTCTTTTGTAACTCTCTCTGGAACTCCAATGAAAACAGCATTAGATCTTTTGTTATGGTTCCACAGATCCCTGAGCATCTATTCATTTTTTATCATTAGACTTAAATAGACTTTCAAGAGACTCAAAACAGAGTCTACTTTCTCTCTTTTGTTTAGACTGGGCAGAATAATGGCCTCCCAAAGATGTCCACATCCTAATCTCTGGAACCAGCGAATATGTTATCTAACACAGCAAAAGGACTTGGTTGACATGATTACATTAAGAAGCTTGTGATGAGGAGATTATTCTGGATTATAATGGGCCCAGTGTAATCACAGGGGTCCTTAGAAATGGAAGAGAGTTAGAAGGAGATATGACTGTAGAGGAGGTTGGAGTAACATGATGTGAGAAGGCTTCGATCCACTGTTGCTGGCTTTGAAGAAGATAGAAGGGGACTACAAGCCAAGGAATGTGGGCTGCCTCTAGAAGCTAAAAAAACAATGAAAAGGATTCTTTCCTGGTGTCTCCAGAAAAGAATACAGCCCTTCCAACACCTTGATTTTAGCACTTCTGACCTACAGAACAATAAGATAAAAAATGTGTAATACTTTAAGCTTCTAAATTTGAGGTAATTTGTTGTGAGAACAATAAGAAACGAACACAGGAATTCCTATTGTCTGTCTTCAAGTTCACTGATTCTTTTCCTCTGTTCCCTCTGTGTTGTTGAGCCCATCCATTGAGTTCTAAATTTGTTTATTTATCTTCAATTCCAGAATTTCCATTTGCTTCTTCTCTACATCTTCTTTCTTTGCTGAGACATACTGTTTTAAAATTTTTCCAGGCATGCCTATAATTGCTCATTGAAACATTTTCAGATAATTCTAACACCGCTGTCATCTCAGTGTTGTCATCTAGCATTTATCTATTCTCCTTCAGTTTGAATTCTTCCTGGTTCTTGGTATGATGAGTGATTTTCACTTGAAACCTGGACATTTTGGGTGCTATGCTATGATACTTGCGATCTGATTTAAATCTGGTTGAGCTGGCTTTCTTTTGACACTATCTTGGCTGGGGAAGGTAGTGCACTGCCTTGCTACTGCCAGGTGGGGGCAGTAGTCCAGATTCCCCACTCAGACTCATCATTCCTGCTGGGCAGGGGTGGGTGTCCCAGCTATCCACTAGTCCTCAACTGATACCTTCCTGGTGGGGATGGGTGAGTGCCTGTTACTGTTCTGCTGATGCTATGGGAGATGGAGGGGTCCTCTGACACCATTCCAGCAGGGGACGGGGGAATGTCTCATTTCCACTAGGTTGGGGTGGACGTCATGGTTTCCCATGTGGTATCTCCACAAACAGCACTGGAGGTGGTGGGGGATGCTTGTTACCACCCATGGGAATGAAAGTCTTGGCTTCCTATTTGACCTTCTCTGATGCCACCCTTGCAAGGGGGTGGGGCACCTCATGACAGCTTGGAAAGGGTGGAGTCTAATATCTCTATTCGGCCTTTGCTAGCAGAGGTGGTGTGGGACCAGATATTTTTCTTTGGTGTTTGGCTGGAGTAGAACAGTTATTATCTAGAAGTTTTCTGTCTTACTAGGGGCAACCTAGGAAGGCAGAAAGAAAGTAGGAGTAGGCTTCTGTTGGGGCTTGCTTTTTGTCTGTGTCTGTTGATGTTTTAGGGTTGTTGGCTGCTTCAGCACCCAGTCTGGGAGATGTGAGGCAAAAAGAAAACTTGGGAACTCACCACCTTGATCTTCCTTGGGTCCCAAGGACCCTGGGGCTGGTCTGGTTTCTTCTCTCTACCTTTCAGAGTCTGAAGTCTGTCTGTTTTATACACAACGCCCAGGGTTTTTAGTTGTACTTAGTTGGGAAGAATAGGGAAAAGTACATCTAGCTGATCTTACCAGAAACAGCAAGCCTCAAATCTCCTTTTGTTTAAGCCTGTTTGAATGGGCTTCTCTTTCTTATAAACAAATTATTCTTGATTAAAATACATTTCATGAAGAGGAGAAACAATTTTAAGGCAATGGCAAGCCAATGAAGGTTTTAAAGCAAAAGAGGATATCCAAATTAATGGCTCTAACATCTTAGTTTAAAATGCAAGTGATATTTCAGTATAATTATTTCATATTCCTGCCATGATGGATTCAAATCCTATTATCCTAGGGAGGTATTTGGGAGCTAATTGGGAGTTGGCTTTACTGGGTATCTGTATGAACAGGGAAAAAGACACGCACCTGGCCTGTGGTGGTGATTTCTCTCTGAATCGTGTCAGAGAACTTGGCTGCTCTGGAAGGGCCAGTTTTGTAGAAGCTCTCACTTTCTCGGGATCTTGCATGTCTGACGTGGCTGGCTCTGATTAAAGAAGCAAGAATATACCCTTAGGTTGTGGGGTGGGGGGTAACATTAGATACCACCTGTCTGTTTTCCTGCAAGGTCCCTTCTCCTAGGAATGGGGGAAGGGGCCTGTCTTTGCCCAAGAGGACATTGGAGTGGCATAATTAGCTAGTTAATCACTGACCAAACTCATTTAACAATTGTAAGGAAACTAGGCGGTAATTATACTTATTAAATATGATTTATAGGGACACTGAAAATTACTGCAAGAAGATAGTAATTTTTAAATGCCTACTTGAGTTCACTGGAAAGCAGTCTGTAGAAAATTACTTGTGGATGTCAAATGTTTTACTTAATCTCATTTAAAAAAGTGAAATGGCAAATAAATTAAGCTCTTCTGTATCTTCACATTTATAGTCGTGATGTTTTTAAGGTTTAGTATAAGCAGTAGTTCAAATATAGGTCTTGGTAATTGTTCACTTGCCTTGAAACTAGTTTATCCAATAATTAGTTTGCCTAGAGACCAGTTCACCTAAAATATTCAAACGTATCTGAAATGCATCTTAAACTTTTGAGAATTTTATATATTTAAGCATTCACTTGCTTAATGACCAGAACACCTGAAGTTCAACCCCCTTTCGTGTGTTTTGCATGAACTTGTGCATGCTAAAATAAAAAATAAATAAAAAACAAGGCAAAGCAAAACAGAATTAAGTTATAATCGTTATAGACATTAAATTGTTATAAAACAAATTGTAAAAAAATTCGGTTGAAAGTAAATGAGGAAGAAAGAGACTTTACACAATTTAACTCTGCACTTTAAAAAATGTTCAAACTTTGTCAAAACAGAAAATAATAGCTACAGAAATATAAAACAACTACAAACAATGTAAAGCCATATATCCTATTTAAAAGAATTAACTAGAAAGTCAAAATTAAATCAGAAGTGTCTCAGGAATCAGTAAAAACCTCTCAATTTGCCCAAAAAGAGTATGTTAGCCCAATGGAAGCCAAAAGCACTCAAAAGACCAATTGTTTTGGGTGAATTGATTGACAGCCTCCTTTTGAAGAACATGGAGTTTTGCTGTTGGGACAACTATGAAGGTAGCTTTGTGATGGTGTCTGCATGGGCAGAAGGCAGTAATAGTAACAGGCAGTAACAACAACAGACCCTGGTAGGCTGAAGGCATCACCGCACTTGCTCTCTTCCACGCTTCCAAGGCAGCCCCACCATGAAGCACTGCTATGATTTCTTTTGATTGAGCTTGCTGTGATAATAATTTCTTGGCGTTGTACAGAATGACACATAGGACAATGATCTAATAAGTCCTTTATCACACCAGAAGCACCAGGACAACAGAAAAAATTCCAGGCAGAAGACTGTTTGTTCAACTAAAATTTATGATATATTCTATAGGAAATCTATGAAACCTGGAGTCAAAAGATGTGGGCTCACACCAAGATCTACTGGTAATTCCGTGTATAATATCTTTTAAAATTTTTTTATTTTTTATTTTTTTGAGATGGGGTCTCACTCTGTCACCCAGGCTGGAGTGCAGTGGCTTGATCTCGGCTCACTGCAACCTCTGCTTCCCAGGTTCAAGCGATTCTCCTGCCTCAGCCTCCAGAGTAGCTGGGATTACAGGCATGCGCCACCACACCTGGCTAATTTTTGTATTGTTAGTAGAGATGGGGTTTCACCACATTGGCCAGGCTGGTCTCGAACTCCTGACCTCAGATGATCTGCCCGCCTTGGCCTCCCAAAGTGCTGGGATTACAGGTGTGAGCCACCGCACCCAGCTTTTGTGCATAATCTAAATGAGCCATTTCTAAATCTTACAGACCTCACTCACAAAAGGGGATTGGATGAATTTAAGTAAGATATAGGAAAGCTCTTTATAAAATATAAAGCACAAATTAAAGAGGGAATGCAGTGAGTTAAGTAAATATTTGTCTTACGCTTTCTTTTGATGAATGGGGCTCTCCCCTGTCAGCTTATAAAGGGCAAACTTGAAGTCAGTAACACCTTGATTTTCTATGGTGAAGGTGGTACTTTTACGAGCGCCACAGATCAAAGCTCCAAAGTTGATGACAGAGGAGGGGGTGATGTTGTATTTGGAATATACTGCATTCACGGAAAACTTAATTGGGATGCTGGCAATGATCTCACCTCCTTCTGAAATATTGGGCTCAATAATCTAGAAAGGGAAGAAGAATGAGCAAGTCAGCCACTGTTGTAGCTACAGAATTCTTATTATTATCTACCCCGTTCCCTATTTTCATCATTGACATGAAGCCATGTTATTTCACTGTCTTTGTATTATTGCATCAACAATGATATTAGCAAACACTAAAACGGAGCTTACTGTGTACCAGCCAAGGGTCAACATAGCCAAATTTTCCTCCTGTTTTCAACTCCCTGCTCATCCTTTGCACTTGATGATGGGACTCAGCTTCCCTGCCTTTGATGCTCCCTGAAGACTTGGGGGCACATTTCCTCTCTGGCTCTAATTCTGATGACTTTGCCTGCTAGTTAGAAGAGAATCCCGGTGTATCCTATCCGGTTGCCACCCAACCCTCCCCTTTTCTTCCTGGAGCATGGATTAGGTCATGTATCCTTCTTTGCAACGGGAGTCCCATGATCCTGCCATTGAGGCAGCCCCTCCCTTTGGAGCTCTCTTACCTGACAGCGCAGAACAGGCTGGTGCTCGATCTTCACTTCCTTTTTTGCACGGAAGAAAACTTGGACATTTGTGGGTTTTTCTGTTGGGGTCAGTGAACCTTTTCTGGGTTGGACTGAGATCATGGAATTTATATTAGGTGTTGAAATCCCTATAGAGTCCACGGAAAAGCTGAAAGACAAGAATAAAAAGTCAGCCTAAGTCATTATGCCGGGAACTCAAGATCCAAGAGAGGAGACTCTACATGGTTGAGTGCCTGCTGTGTCTCCAACCCTGTTTAACCACTATGTCTGGCAGAGTCCACTGTGCTTTGTACGCTGTGATCGCCTCTCCTTAGCCAGGACTGACAAGGTCAGGAATTAATGCTCAAGGCAAAGACAGCCATACTGTATCCCATGGTCAAGAGAGGCCATTGCAGGAGATCTCTGTCCAACAGGGACACTGGATACCGAAAAAGGACCAACTAAATTAATTCTCTCTTTCTCTGTTTGTGTGTCTGGCTTTCAGTACATGCAGAGCAAACAGTGACACAGAAACCAGGGAATCTGGGGAGAGAGAGCAGGGAGTGGGCAGGGGCCCTGCAACAGAGGTACTAGGGAAGGAAGCCCATGGCCTACTGGAGGTGAGGCAAGAACCACAGGAAGAAGCTGGCTCATGAGACTGACAGAGGGACTGGCGTAGGCTCAAGGTGTATCCCACCTAGGCAGAGGTGGGATACTCGGAGTTGCTGTGGGGCTCTGAATGTCACCCCCATGCTCCAGGAGACCCTGGTTGCCCAATTACTTGCACCCCTGTGCTTCCTTACTTCCCTGCACATTCTTTAAACAAACCCTTTATCACCTGTTCCAACCTGAGAGTGACTCCATTCCATGCAACCTCAAAGAGCACAGCTAATGCCCCTGTCTTAATCTAAAAGAAAACTCACCAACAGGCAAGATTCCACTTAGCACTAATTCCAAAGTGACAGGGGAAAAGTCTATTTGTCAATTGTGAATTCTTGGGGAAGGAGAACCTTCCAAGGAATGAAAAGTGTGGGCACTGCCATGAAGGGCTGTGTGGCCCTGTCTGAGGGGTGTTTCCCTCCTCCCCCGCTGTGCCACCCTTTCCTTGCTGAGGAACCTCCCTGATTTCGTGTTTCTTCTTTTTTTCTTTTTCTTTTCTTTCCTTTTTTTTTCTTTTTTTCTTTTTTTGAGACAGGGTCTTACTCTGTTGCTAAGGCTGGAGTGCAGTGGCATGATCATGGCTCACTGCAGACTTGACCTTTCTGGGCTCAAGTGATCCTCCCATCCCAGTCTCCCAAATGGCTGGGACTACAAGTGATACGACCACCATGCCCAGCTAACTTTTTTTGTATTTTGTAGAGGCAGGGGGGCGTCTCACCATTTTGCTCAGGCTGGTCTCGAACTCCTGGGCCCAAGCAATCTGCCCACCTTGGCCTCCCACAGTGCTGGGATTACAGGCATGAGCCATGACACCCAGCCTCTTTGTTTCCTTTTTAATCTCAGGGGATGAGCACAAGCTGGAGCTCTACTCCACCAAGTCACTATTTGGATTGTATAATATCACGGTTCTCAGAATGTAATGAAAAAGGAAAGGCCTTTCTTCACATGAAATCTGCTGATTTTCTTTATCTCCTTGTAAAGCAGATAAGAGCTGGCAGAAGGCAGGACAGCTTGAGGCCAGGTCACCCATCTCCAGTCTCTCCCTCCACCCCGGGACCTCTTCTCACCCCTAGAATCTCCCCCTCCCAGCCTCTTCCCCAAGTCTCTTCCTCCACTCCCAGACACCCACAGTTCCAACTGGCCGGGTACATCCGGGCCACTTAAAGGCCCCTGTTAAGCTGCAGAGTTGAGAGCAATGTGAAAATCTCTGCTCCCTTAGCAGGTGGAATTCCATTCATTTGAAGCCAAGGGAGGCAAAAAAGCAGAGACGGTTCTTATGATTTCCTTGACTGACTGATAAGAAAAGTTTCCCAGACCACATTCCTCCCAACGGTGGACCTGATGGCCACAAACCCCATGGGATTCAGGTTACCTGAATGTGATCTCGTATTTCCCTACATTCCTCCCCACGGTGGACTTGATGGCCTTACACCCGATGGGATTCCAGTTACCTGAATGCGATCTCGTATTTCCCACGGTTCTTCAATTGCAGGGGCTGCTTCACCTCCTCTGTGACCCTGACAATCCCAAAATCCAGGCCCCCTTCAGCTCCTGCAGAGACCAGGGGCCAGGGCAGACAGGGGTGAGCGGGCATGAGAGTGGGAAGCAGGGGAAGTGCCTGTTGAAGTTCATGTGGAAAATGCATGGTGACAGTTTAAGAGAATTTGTTTTCTGAAAGTATTATGGTTAGAAAAGCCTCTTATAATTGAGTCTGGGCAAACAAACAACAGATGCTGCTCTTGATGCACTCTACAGGGCTGGTCCCTCTGGATTCCATCCGTCCTAGGATTATTGTCTTTCACGTCTACCATCAGCTAAAACTTCCAGTATTTAAAAAAGTCTTGCATAAAGTTGGGATATTACACATACATTTATGTTGCTTTACTTAGCATTAACATCATAAGCATTTCCCCCAAATAATTAAAAACTCCCCATAGGTGTGGTCTTAGTGGCTGCATAATATCCCATGATATGGCAGTTCCGTAATTCATGATATTATTCCTATAATACTATTATTTCATTATTGATGGGCATTTAGGTTATTTCCAACTCTTCATTGTTATAAAAATGCTGCAATAAAAGATCTTTGTACATGAGACTCATGACATCTAAACTAATACGTGGCTCTAACATTCTGTGAGTTTTCATGAAGAGACCTCTTGGGGAAAGGAGGGAAATGGAGAGCTGTAGGCTAAAGGGAGAGCTGAAACTCGGGTGTTAGGGCAGCGTGGGGACAGATACCAGCCTCACCTCCACCCCCCAATCCCTGGAATCTGTGAATATGCTGTCTTACATGGCATAGGGGAATTCAAGAAGCAGGTGGAATCAATTCACTGACCTACAAATACAGAGATTAATTTGGAGTATCTTGGTCAGCTCAATATAATCACAAGGGGGCTTAAGAACAAAAGAAGAAGGCAGGGTGGGAGAACCAGAGAAAAGGCAACGTGAGAAGGAGTTGGCCCAACCTTGCTGTCTTTGAAGGTGGAGGAAGGGGACCACGTGGGTGGCCTCTAGGAGTTGGAAATGGTATGGAAATGGATTCTCCCCCAGAGCTTCCAGAAGGGAAGGCAGCCCTGCTGACACTTTCATTTTAGCCCAGTGAGACCCATTTTGCACTTGTGACTTCCAGAACTGTAAGGTAATATGTTTGTGTTGTTTTAAGCCAGAAAGCTTATGGTGACATTTTATGGCAGTGATAGAAAACTAATACAGGAAAGAGGAGAGGTGTTTACTGTCAAATGACTGCTCTGAAAAGAGCTCTGCAAATTTTACATCCATGACCACCCGCTTTCCATCTCTGGTTGGAGAAATTACGATTTGTAGTCATGTTGCTAATATCACTCTGGGGCTCACATTATTATTTATTAAAATTGCCCCATTCCCAATCTGACAATTGCATAAAGTTGGGATATTACACATACATTTATGTTGTTTTACTGACAACACACTAGCCTTTCTCTACACAGAAATACACTATACAAAAGACCCAATTTCCAAACACCCTTTTCTTGAAGGGCCCAACAGACCTTTGGGGAAGGTGATGTCCAAGGCGATGTCATATGCCTCTGCAAAGACCATGATATTTTCAATCTGAACAACACCAAGAAGATTTTCTGCATCTAAAACCTGGCAGAGGAAGAGAAATTCTTCAGTAAAAGCAAGACCTGTAGGTGCTTGGAGTCTGAAACATGTAACATCCTAAAGGGGATATGGCAGGGAACGTTTTTGAAATGTAGTCCCCTGTAGGTATTTTATGTCTACCAAGCATTTGGCAGGATTTGTGCTCCTCTTAACACTCTCTGGGGAATGCTGGTATAAAGAATACAAGAATGGGGAAAAGGGACTGACTTTTCTTATTGTTGCTACATTACTGAAGTTTGGGCTTGGAGTAGACATTACAGGAAAGTGGTTTTCTTTTTTGAGACAGGCTCTCACTCTGTCACCCAGACTGGAGTACAGTGGCGCAATCTTGGCTCACGGCAGCCTTGACCTCCCAGGCTCAAGCCATCCTCCCATCTCAGCCTCCCAAGTAGCTGGGACTACAGGAGTGCACCATTATGCTCGGCTAATTTTTGTATTTTTTGGTAGAGATAGGGTTTCATCATGTTGCCCAGGCTGGTCTTGAACTCCTGGACTCAAACAATCCTCCTGTCTCAGCCTCCAAAAGTGTTGGGATTTGTGAGCCATCATGCCCGACTTTTTTTTTTTTTTTTTTTAACTTCTAAATCAAATGAACCTGGTGGGCATTGCCCTGACAGTTGAAACGGAAAACCTTTATGCTCCAAGTCATCCTTGCTCTACTCATTTTATAAATTTGAATCATTCTGTTCTTTGTTTGTGGCTCGACCTGTGGGGAAAGTGCTAGACTTTTCATAGAAAGCAAGTGTTTAATGTTTGGAAATATCAAATGTTTTATTTCTGTGAATATCGTGGGGATTGGGACCCCTCTGGTGTCATGCTTGTGGGGGGCCCCTCCCTCATTATTCTCTGGCACCTCTGAACTGCTGCAGCTGTCAGCCTGACCTGATTGTTGACTCCTTTTTCCTCTTCTTTATATATACATATATTTTATTTTGATAGCTTTTGGGGGTACAAATGGTTACACTGACAACCCACAGAATGGGAGAAAATATTTACAAACTATACATCTGACAAAGGACTAATATCCAGAATACACAAGGAACTCACTCAAATCAGCAAAAAATCCCCAAATAATCCTATCAAAAAGTGGGTAAATGACAGGAACCAACTGTTGCCTCTTGAGGCTAACTAGGAGGGGTAAAGGGTCCATCTGTCCAGGAAAAGAGCTGGTGGGCAGTGGGGAAAGCTCTCCTGGGTCTGCTCTGGGGAGTCCACCTCTGTCTCTGCTCCAGTTTAAAGCCCAAGCCCCCCACTCCCAATTGCATGTGCTTTGGGTGCCAGGAGAAAATTTGCAGCTGTCACCAAACTCAAGTTTTAATTCAGAATTTCTGTCTTCTCTTTCATTAGATGCTTGCCAATGTTTCTCGGAGCAAACTGGACCGACTTGAGTTTCGCCTTCTTTCTCTGACTGCTTGCCCTCTGACACATGACAAGATGGGCTGACAGGATTTATGCAGCGCCTCTCTCCTGAGGGATGCCAAGTGCCTGGAGCCTTCTATTTCTTGACTTCCCCAGGGTGGGTCGGAGGCAGTGGGGAGATTGAATTTTGAATTGAGGAAAATAGGAAGGACAATTGAAGGTTATACAGATGAAATAAAACAAATTCACCAAGTGCTTTCCAAAGGGACCAGAGATGAAGGCATTTCCTTCTGTGGATGTGGAAGTGAATATAAGTTCACTTTGGGGGGCTCAACGGAGGTCCATGCTGCTTTGTTCAGAGCCCTAATCAGGCTGCTGTTCGGCTGGGACACACAGAGATAGTCACAACAGTTGGGAAAATACAAAACGTGGCCAGGTGCAGTGGCTCACGCCTGTAATCCCAGCACTTTGGGAGGACGAGGTGGGCAGATCGCTTGAGCTCAGGAGTTTGGTACCTGCCTGGGCAACATGGCAAGACCTCATCTCTACAAAAATTACAAAAATTAGCTGGGTGTCGTGGTGCACACCTGTGGTCCCAGCTACTCAGGACGCTGAGGTGGGAGGATTGCTTGAGTCCAGGAGGTGGAAGTTGCAGTGAGCCGAGATTGCACCACTGCACTCCAGCCTAAGCAGCAGAGTGAGACCCTGTGTCAAGAAAAATAAAACAAAATAATAATAAAAACAAAAACCTTTCTGTACCAGTTGGTAAGCAACTGTCATGATGACCTTTCCAATATTCCCTTGCTGCCTGCCTCCTGTGCATCCCCACCACAGAAACCCCTGGACTCCCCATGATCCAGCAACTAAAAGACGAAGCTGGCACAGCTGGGGGACTTCAGGCCCTACACCAGCCAGGGGTCTGGGTACCTGGTTCAGAGGTCTGTGCCTGTGCAGAGACTGGTGCTAAAAGCATTGACCAGAACCTCTGGGCTTCTACACATTCATGGAGTGAATGCATCTATCAATATCTGTTTTCAGCCCTTTCAGTGAAGGGCTGCCATTGATAAGGGAAAAGAGAGTTTAGATCCACTGGGTGGCCCCAAAAGGTAGAAACATGATTCATGCATGTAATTGACAGGGAGAATTCTGAGCTCCACCCAAAGAAGAATTGACAGACCTGTTTAAAGGGAGAACAGGCTGCTTGAAGAAGTAGTGGTAAATTTTGTATTCCTGGAAGCATTCAAAGAGAAGCTGGGATGATCCCTTGAATGTCGAAGAATCAGTTTAAGTACTTTTTTTTTTTTTTTTTTGAGACAGAGTCTTGCTCTCTTGCCCAGGCTGAAGTGCAGTGGTGCGATCTTGGCTCACTGCAACCTCCACCTCCAAGGTTCAAGTGATTCTCCTGCCTCAGCCTCCCGAGTAGCTGGGGTTAAAGGTGTGTGCCACCACATCCAGCTAATTTTTGTATTTTTAGTAGAGATGCAGTTTCACCATGTTGGCCAGGCTGGTCTCACACTCCTGACCTCAAGTGATCCACCCACCTCGGCCTCCCAAGATGATGGGATTATAGGCCTGAGCCACTGTGCCCGGCCTAGTTCAAGTATTAAAACTCAATGGCATTCATTCATTCATTCATTCATTTGTTCATTCATCAGGTTCTACTGAGTGCCTACTTCATCCAATCCCATGCTAGACACTGGGAATACGATGGTATGGGGGGTTGAACAGTGGTTCCTCCAAAAAGTATGTCTACTTCTTAACTCCTGGGAGCCTATGAATATGACCTTATTTGGAAGAAAGGGTATGTGCGGATTTAATTAAGTCAAAGATCTAGAGATGAGATCGTCTTAGATTATCTGAGTGTGCCATTGATATATATTCTTATAAGAGATGGAAGAGAAGGCACAGACAGAAGAGGTGTTGTAATAACAGAGGCAGAGACTGGATTGATGCAGCCAGAAGCTGAGAACACTCACAGGAGACCCCAGAAGCCAAAGGGGAGAGAGAGGAAGCGTTCTTCCCTGGAGCCTTCAGAGAGAGCATGGCCCTGCTGGCACCTTGATTTTGGACAACAGTGAGAGGGGAATGTCTGTTTTTTCACATCACCCAGTGTATGGTAATTTGTTATAGTAGCCCTGGGGAACTAAGACAGATGTTAAGTCAGGTGAGATCCTGCCCTGATGCAGTTCATATAAGAAGTAAAGGAAGAAGCAGGATAATGTTAGGAAGAGGGGGTGCTCTGAAGGATGGAAGACGGGGTGGGTTATTGCACATAAGGGGGATTCTCTCAAAGGGATGGTGAGAGAAGCCCAGTTGAAACACCAATGTTGGGGGGCCCTAAAGCAGCAGCCTAAGGGCAGATTCCCAGCAGTTGCAGCAAGGTCAGGGGCTTGAGCCAAGAAAGAGCCAAGACAGTGCATGGGAGCCAATGAATGAGGGTGAGGGTGGAGCAAGTTGTGATGTGGAGGCAGGCATTGCCTCAGAGGCAGGTGAGGACCCCGGGCTTTATTCCTACTGCAGTGGGAAGCCAGTAGAGTAGATTAGGAGGGGGCATAACCTGTCTGAATAACATTGTAAAGATCCCTCTGGACACTGTGGGGAATGTCAACAGGGAAGTCAGTTAGGACACCTCTGAAGAAGTCCAGGTGAGAGAAGCTGCAGGCGGCCTGGACAAGGTGGTGGCAACAGCAGGGAGAAAGAAGTGGATGGGAAAGATACATTGGGAGGCACCATGCCTGTAATCCCAGCACTTTGAGAGGCTGAGGCGCGAGGATCACTTGAGGTCAGGAATTCGAGGCCAGCCTGGCCAACACGGTGAAACCCCGTCTCTACCAAAAATACAAAAAGTTAGCTGGGTGTAGTGGCGTGTGCCTGTAGTCCCAGCTACGCAGGAGGCTGAGGCAGGAGAATTGCTTGAACCCTGGACGTGGAGGTTGCAGTGAGCCGAGATCGCGCCACTGCACTCCAGCCAGGATGACAGAGTGAGACTCCATCTCAAAAAAAAAAAAAAAAAAAAAGATACACTGGGAGGTAAAATTAGCAACCTTTGTTGGAGGCCTGCGTTGGAAGGGAGGCCATTAAGAAAAGGGGGAATTAAGGCTGATCCCTAGGTGTCTGCTGGGGGCAACAGGGTGGAGGGTGACATTTACCCAGATAGGAATCCGATAGGTGACTGGGTTTAGGTGTGTGAAATCAGGACTCTGATGCTTACCTAGGTACAGAAACTCCATTTGCTCATTTGTTCATTCATTCTTTCATTCATTTATTTGTTCCTTCCTTCCACATTGATTGCTCTGTTCCTGGCACTGGGAAATCAGCCATAAGCAATATTGCCTCTATGGAGCCTGCAGTTGTGTGCACAGCAAGATATTGTGGACTGGGGATATCGAAAGGGGATCAGATGGGAGCATGTAACAGGGAGACCTCTGTGTGTGTGTGTGTGTGTGTGTGTGTGTGTGTGTGTCTGCGTACGTGCTTTGATAACCAAGTCTGTGGAGGTGTGAAGCCTCACCTCCAACCGAATAGCCTTCTTGATGTTGACAGGCTTGGTGGGTTGAAAGTACAGGTGCAGGCCATACTCAGCCTCGGGGGGGATGGTCCCCTGCATCATGGATGCGGTGAAATCATCACCCAAGTGCTCGAGGCTGGTGATCCGCCAGGCCACAGGCAGGAGCGTGACATTGCGGAGAAGAACTACCCTGGATTCCAGTCTGCAGAGACAAAAGGAAGTTGAAATTCCATTTCAAATTTTGTAGTTGCACATTTTTTTTCTTTTTAACTTTTATTTTAGGTTCAGGGGTTCATGTGCAGGTTTGTTGTATAGGTAAACTTGTGTCACAGGGGTTTGCTGTACAGATTATTTCATCACCCAGGTACTAAGCCTAGTACCTGACAGTTATTTTTTCTCCTCTTCTCCCTCCTCCCACCCTTCACCCTCAAGTGTCTGTTGTTCCCCTCTTTGTGCCCACTGGTTCTCATCACTTAGCTCCCACTTGTAAGTGAGAACATGCGGTATTTGGTTTTCGGTTCCGCATTAGTTTGCTAAGGATAATGGCCATATCCTTAGCATGTAATTTTTTTTCTTTTTCTTTTCTTTTTCTTTTGGAGACAGAGTCTTGCTCTGTTGCCCAGGCTGGAGTGCAGTGGTGCAATCTCGGCTCACTGCAACCTCTGCCTCCCAGGCTCAAGCAATTCTCCTGCCTCCGCCTCCTGAGGAGCTGGGATTACAGGCGCCTGCCACCACGCCCAGTAATTTTTGTATTTTTAGTAGAGACGGGGTTTCACCATGTTAGCCAGGCTGGTCTTGAACTCCTGACCTCGTGATCTGCCTGTCTTGGCCTCTCAAAGTGCTGGGATTATAGGTGTGAGCCACTGCACCCGGCCAAGCATATGATTTTTAAAAATCGTAGTTTCTCTTTAATGTGTGGGTGTTGAACAACATTTCTTAAACCTTTTTTGAATTGTTTTATTTAGGTCTACCATATTTTCAATTTGTGTTTCATTGAAAACAAAATTCACATATAAGCAGACCCACCCAGTTCAAACCTGCATTGTTCAAAGGTCAACTGTATTTTCCTTTAGCACATTAAAAATGCCATTCTCTTGTCTTCCAGCTTCCTTTGTTACTGATGAGGAGTCAGTCATATTGCATTTCATTTTCTCCTGGCTGTTTCCAAGATTTTCTCTTAATTTCTGCTTTTAAGTAGTTGGACTAAACTTTGACTTAATGTGGGTTTCTTTCTTGGTTATTAATCTATTAAACAAAATAGGTGGAGTTGATATTATTAACCCCAGATGACCTATGAAAAACCTGAACCGTCCAGGTGGGGTGGCTCAGCCTATAATCCCAGCACTTTGGGAGGTTGGGGCAGGTGAACTGCCTGAGCTCAGGAGTTGATACCAGCCTGGGCAACATGGTGAAACCCTGTCTCTACTAAAAATAAAAAAACACAAAAAATTAGCTGGGTGTGGTGGTGCACGCCCACCCATAATCCCAGCTACTTAGGAGGCTGAGGCAGAAAAATCGCTTGAATCCGGGAGGCAGAGGTTGCAGTAAGCCGAGATCGCACCACTGTACTCCAGCCTGAGTGAGCGAGGGAGACTCTGTCTTGAAACGAAACAAAACAAAAAAATCCCTGAAGCTTATAGAGGTTAATTGATGGCCCCAAAGTCACAAATTTAGGGCAAGACTTGGGCTATAACTATATTTATCCAGTGTAAGGTTTGCTAAGCTTCTTGGAAAGGTAAGTTTTTGCTTTTTCACCAAATTTGGGAAAGTTCCATCTACTCTTCAAATACAGACTTTTTGTCCCATTCTCTCTCTTCTCCTTCTGGGACTCCAATCACAAATACGTTAGACTGCTTGATGTTGTCCCACTATTTACTGGGGTTCTACTCATTTTTACCAATATTTTTCTCTCTCTGCTTTTTTTTTTTGAGACAAGGTTTCGCTCTGTCACCCCAGTTAGAGTGTAGTGGCATGATCATGACTCACTAGAGGAAAGAAAAAGCACTTTTGGTTACTTCAATTATTACTTAGTTCTTTAACCGGTGTTTATCAGGAAATGGGGCTGGTGGTGGTGATTAAAGAATGCAGGACACATATCATGACAATCATAACAATATTCTCTCCCAGAAGCCCCAGAAATAAACATTTTTTCTATTTAGAATAATAATACCAATTCCAATAATAATTCCAATTAATGAATATGTAAGTTCCAGTTTTGGTCTAATGTTCTGCTTTTACTCTAACTTCTAGAGCAAAGATTCTTAACCTCTTGGGCAATAGACTGCTTTGAGAATCTGAAGAAAGCTCGTCCTTCTTCTGAAGAAACACAGACATATGCCTATTTTGGTAGTTCATCTTAGGTGGGGTCCTTGGCCCTGCTGAAGTTCATCCACTGAACCCAAGTTAACAATCTGTTGATTAAATAGGTTTACATCCTGGTTTGCATAGACCAAGGAGTTTCCCAGGGTGCAGAACTTTCAGTGCTAAAACCAAGAGAGTCCGGAATAAATCAGGATGAGTTTGTTACCCTAGAACTAAACACTCTTTAAATTCCATTCCAGTCCTGACATGATCTAGAACTCTGACCTGTGCAGCAAGAGCCGGTCAAAATGTAATTGCCTGGGTTCCAGCTCTAGTTCCGGGCGGATCCCCTGGCAGCTTAATTGGAAGATGGCTGGCTCTGGGTTATCATTGATGCAGCAGACAATGCTGTCTTCAAAGACACCAACGGAAGTAGGGTAGGCCCATACGGTTAATATCTGATGGAAGGAAAAGTCAAAAGAAAGTACATTTACACCAAGGATGCCAAGGCCTCAAATTTCCCAAGAAAGCCTTGCCCTGGTGACTTCTGTCCATATGACCGTACCTGCTTCTCATTGGGTTTCAGGACCATGGTGTTGGGTTCCAGGAAATATGTGTTTGCTTTGACATCGTTCTGAAAACAGAAGGATGCCTCCACCACCATTAAGGAAGTGTTCAGGATTGTTAGCGTCTCCATGTTGCCTGGGAATAAGGATGACTTGTACCTGGGGATGAACAAGAATGGGGCTAAGGGTATGAAGACTGAATGAGAATGCAGGTGGAGAAGAAGGCTGTGACATGAAAGGCAATTCAGAGGGACAGTGTGGCTGCATGGAGGCAGTGGCATGGTGGCTAAGAACATGAGGTTTGTAGTTGTGCAGACTTGCCTTGGAGAATAAATGCTACACTGTGACTTGACTCCCTCAAGCCTTGGTCTCCTTATCTCTAAAACGGGGTGATAACACCACTTAGAATTGCTGAATAGGAAGTGAGATCACACATCTAAAGCTCTCAGGACAGCTGTGCATAGCAAATGCCCAATGAATGTTAGCTATGATTATTGCAAAGAATTCTGAGAAATACGTAAATCTATCCTTCCACCTGCTTATGTCCCTGAGAGAGATGATCACTTGAGTAACTTTTGTTTTGTTTTGTTTTGTTTTTGAGAGGGAGTTTCGTTCTTGTTGCCCAAGATGGAGTGCAGTGGCACCATCTCAGCTCACTGCAACCTCCGCCTCCTGGATTCAAGCAATTCTCCTGCTTCAGCCTCCCAAGTAGCTAGGATTACAGGTGCACGCCACCATGCCCAGCTAATTTTTTGTATTTTTAGTAGAAACGAGGTTTCATCACGTTAGCCAGGCTGGTCTCGAACTCCTGACCTCAGATGATCCGCCTGCTTGGGCCTCCCAAAGTGCTGGGATTACAGTCATGAGCCACCGTGCCTGGCCTCACTTGAGTAATTTTTTATTTCACATCTGTTTTACAGATGACCTCATTCACCTCCTTCTCTCAAACCCTCAGAGAATGTTACTGTTCTGACATGAATTCATTTGGCCTTGTTCCCTGTTAGGAGGCAGTTTCTGTTCCTTTGTACCTTAAGGAGAGATCTTTAGAGTTGAGCACTGTGGGCATTGAGGGAGACTCAGTTAATAGTAACTGAGCGAAACAAACCAGAAGGCCCAAGGGGAAAAGGGGTACATCCTCAGAGGTCACAGCACAGGCTAGGAAAGCAGAATAACCTGAAGAAGGTTTTAGACAGGCCACGATGGAGGATGAAAGGAGAGAGAATGACAGAGACCAAATGAGAGTCAGAGAAACAGAGAACTCTCCATGTGAATATTTGCCAAAGGGGCGCGGCCTTCTCAACCACTAATCACTTCCATCCGGCACTGTGCTAAGGGCTCCATGTGCGTTACCCAGTTCAGTCCTCATGAATCTGTTGCTTTCCCATTTTGCAGATGAGGACACTGAGGCTCAGCACGGTTTAAAAGAATAAGTGAACAGGCTTGGCACAGTGGCTCACGCCTGTAATCTCAGCACTCCGAGAGGCTGAGGTGGGCAGATTGCTTGAGCTCAGGAGTTCGAGACCAGCGTGGGCAACATGGCGAAACCCCATCTCTACAAAAATTAGCCAGGTGTGGTAGCACATACCTGTAGTCCCAGCTACTGGGGAGGCAGAGGGGGGAGGATTGCTTGAGCCTGGGAGCTCAAGGCTGCAGTGAGCCGAGATTGCACCACTGCATTCCAGCCTGGGTGACAGAGTAAGACCCTATCTCAAAAAAAAAAAAAAAAAAAAAAAAAAAGAAAGAAAAAAGACAAGAAAAGAAAAAGAATAAGTGAATAATACCCAGTTGTACTAGAACTTGTTTTGGCTAACCATAGTCACTGTCCTCCCAGATCAGTGTCATCTGGCCCCACATCCTGGTTAATTCCAGTGCTGCCCCAAACATGTACCTCTTTGAATAACCATCGTTTCCCTGACTCCCACTCCCAGACTGTTCTGTACCTCATATCCATCAACCTGACCATACTTTTCCCTCCTAAGCCCTCCTGTTGGGCTTTGAAGATCCTCTCCAGCATCAGCAAATTACCTTTACCTTCACTTTTTAATCCAGCGTCTCAGGGAATAAAGTGGAGGTAATTAGGGAATGGAGGACAAAGATGGCCCATGAGCTGCACCGAGAAAGCCAAGAAATTAACACCCTCTACTTAGCACACGAAATGTTGTGTTGAGTAAAGTCACGGTGGAGACCTTGGTTCCAGTTTTGGTTTCATTCCCTGCCTATATGGTAAGAAATTTGTATATAACTGAAAAAACGAGTATCGCTGAGAATGTCTGATCATCAATCTCACCTATGGGTCCCCAATTCTGCCTAAAAATTTTAGTCTGTTTCTCTAACACACTCACTCTCCTACTTTCCACAAAAACTGTTTTTCATACCCCCTCTATTTCCTCAAGATTTTAAACTTCCTCCACTGCCCTCACTTGCAAGGGATGACCACACAACACTTGTCAAGGAGAAAAAGACATGATTTCGTAGAAGCCTCCTCACCCTTCCAATCAAATTGTAAACCTACCTTCTGCGATGCCATCTCGCCTTTCTCCCCGCTGGCATGCAGTGACAGGCCCTCTTCCAGGCACAAGCCAGCCTCCCCACATCCCACTGTGCTGTCTCAGGGAACTATGCCATTGACAGCCCTTCCTGACTCCTGAAATTCCAACCTCTTCCTTCCATTTCCTCTCGGCATGCAAGCATCATAAGAACAACATCGCACAAACAGCCTGCCCTGTGCTCCAGGCTTTCCTCCCATCTCCCTTCACAGCCAAGCTTCTCCAAAGTTATCTTTCATCTGACTTCTCACTTCACTTTGCTTGGGTACAGGACTCTTGCTAAGGCCCCTAGTGACCTCTCCATGTTGTTGAACCCTGTGGACATCTGTGCCCTCATCTTTCTGTCCTCTCTGCAGCATTCACTGTAGCAACCATGTCCTCTTCTCATGGCTCCATGACACTGGTCTTTTTGGCTTCCCCAATAGCGCTGGCCTCTTTCTCACCTCCTGGCTCCTCCTTTTGCACATATTGTAGTTATTTAGGACTCCTTTTCTTCTTACCTGTATGGTCCTCTCTCAGGCAATCTCATCTATGTCTGTGGCTTTTGTTGCCTTGAAGAGTGACCTCTCCTTTGAGAACTGAAGCTGTATAACCTATTCTCTGCTTCATGTGACTACAGAAATATCTTCCTAGCCTCTTAAACCAAATATAAGCCAAAGCGAACCCTTGATCCTACGCTGATCAAGCCTGAAGTCTCTCCTAGGCTTTCCCACATGGGAAAATGGCACCCTCATTCCTCTGGGTGTCCAGCAGGGAGTTGGGACACAAGAACCCAGTTCTCCTGATTTGTGGTTGGGGCTAAAAGAGGCAGCATTAGTAAAAGTCACATCTATATACATAGGAATCCTACTTATACTGTTCATGAGCCCAACCCAGGAGTCTGAAATCTGCTTTAAAATAATGGAACACTTACTTATCTCTTGATTTTCCACAAAGCAGTGGCCCGAAGTAGTATGTCTCCGTGCTCATAACATACTTCTTAAAGATGATCTCATTTGCCTTCATGTCTGTCTTCCGCTGAGGAAATACCACTCTGAGCACAGAAGAGGAAGAGGTGAGGACAGGCTGCCCGAACAGAAGTTCGGTGCTGCCACGTGATGTTTACATAAACTCAATATTCCCTGCTCAACACAGGGTCCAGGCGTCTGGAGACAGAGTGACTCTTCTTTGTCCCAGCTCCTTCCCACCACCAGAGAAGACAGTATGATGTGAACTTGAGAAAAAGACTCCCCAGTGGTGTCTTCCATAATAAGGAGTGGTGACAGAGCTGAGTCAGACATTCCGTCCCAGCGCACCCCGCTGAAAACATTCCTGAGAATCCCTATGGAAAACTAGTTCTGGGAGATATGAATTAGCTTCTGAGTCCCTTGGTCTAATGTGGCCAGTTGCTCAGCCAGGTGCTTTGCTGTGTAGGAGCTGCACAGTGGTGTTCAGTAGCTTGGAAAAAGTTCGCCCATGCACAGTCACACATGGTTTCTACACTACAGGATAGAACTGCTTTAAATTTGCTTAATAGTTAAATAAGCAAACTAATTTGCCAAAGGAAGGCTTTTTTCCTCCCCCTTTGCACCTATGATCATTCTCTTTATTGCAGTCTGGGAATCCTGGTAGTATCATGTCCTCCCTGTGGCTCTTAGTCAACAATCAAGACATGGAAGCTGATACGACAAGAGGGGCTGGGGTGCTGCCCCAGCTCCACGTTATGGTAAGAACCACCTTGTTCAAAGTGCCACAGAGGAAAACGAAAACACATCTGTCAACCTTTTCTTTTAAAATGAAACACACTTACTTCGGGTCTTGGCAAATGTATGGGTAAGTGCAGATGCCTCGGCAATAGAGCTGGTACTGGCAGCAAGTTCCTAGGATCTCAAAGTTAAAAGTTTGGTCAAAGTTTCCGAACTCATCAGAAGAGAAGTGCACCTGCAACGTTACCTCGCCATTGGCTGGCACGATCCACCGGAAGTGATTCAGTCTGCAAATGACCACACAGGTTTGTAAAGTGAGAGGCTCCCCTCTGGCCAAGAGAAGACAGGAGAGCTGCCTGGAAGTCCTGTCCTGTTGGGGTAGGCATGGTGGCCCCTGGAGCCCCACAGGCAGGACAGCTCTGTTCCCCTCCAGTGCTGTGACAGCCACACCCTCAATGTGGGCTCTGGCCCACATTCCCCTCCTTGGGTTGCTGGGAGGCCCACCTGGTGAATTTCTCTTGGGAGTGCTGCCCGTTGAAGTTGTTCAGGTCTGTATCTGACAGCTGGGAAATGGTTCCTGCTGGTTCCCCAGAAATGACTTTCCTGTTTAAGGCCACGCGACGCTTGTCTTTCTGAGTCTCGACAACTTGGTCCGTCTTTTCTTTCACTTTCTGTTTGCCCCCCTTAGATGAGCTGGTCTGCTCCTCTTGAGCCTTAATTAAAAATGAGCACGAGGTCTTAAATATTCACTTTTTGAACACACAAACAGAAGGCAGAGATGGCTACATGTCTGTCATCTCGGGAGATGGTGCTGCAGGGTCAGGAAGCCTAGAGCAGGGCAGGGTCTAGTCTTGGGTAGTGACAAGAGCAGTGCATTCCTTGGCTCCCTAGTCCCTCAAACGGAGGATGAAGATGAAACCCTAGAGAAAGCTTGAAGCTGGAGGGTGTGTGTGGAACTCAAGTATTAGCTCCTGGCAATACCTACCATGGCCAGCGGGGCTTGTAGCCTTTTTGGCACCACTAAGCCAGTTATCCCCATCTGCTTGCTGTCTAATTCCTAATACTTTGTGGGCCTATACCCCTCACCACCAGCTCTCTCTCCTTCTCTTTATTCTTAGAATTATACGTGAATAGAAAATCTGACTGTTTTGGGAGAGGCAGAGAAAAACGTGTTTAATCTGCTGTGTTTAATAAGTTCCCATTTTTCTAGTGGTATTTTCATGTTTCCTGATCAAAAAAATGTTTTGCCTTTAATTTATTTATCATTTCCACCGTTTTTTAAAAAAGAAAACTTTAAGAGTTGAAGGCCTAGTACAGTAATAACTAGTTTTAACAGTTGCCACTTTTTCTCCTGAGCCATTTGCAGACATGATGACTCTGCCTCTAAATACACCTCCTCAAGAAAGGACCTTCTCCTGCAATCCTGCACACTACTATCATCACACCTAAGAAAAGGAACAATAATTCCACACCATTGTTCTGGCACACAGTCTGCATTAAAATTCTCCTGTTTGTCTCAGGCATGTCTTTTTTTTTTTTTGAGACGGAGTCTCGCTCCATGGCCCAGGCTGGAGTGCAGTGGTGTGATCTCGGCTCACTGCAAGCTCCGCCTCCTGGATTCATGCCATTCTCCTGCCTCAGCCTCCCGAGTAGCTGGGACTACAGGCGCCTGCCACCACGCCTGGCTAATTTTCGATATTTTTAGTAGAGACGGGGTTTCACCATGTTAGCCAGGATGGTCTCGATTTCCTGACCTTGTGATCTGCCTGCCTCGGCCTCCCGAAGTGCTGGGATTACAGGCGTGAGCCACCGTGCCTGGTCTCAGGCATGTCTTTTATAGACATTTTTTCCCAAATAAGCATCTAATCAAAGTTCCTATATTGTATTTTGGTGTTATGTTTATTTTTTATTTTTTATTATTTTTCTATCTTTCTATAGGTTATTGGGGGTACAGGTGGTGTTTGGTTACATAAGTTTCATGAGATTTTGGTGCACCCATCACCCGAGCAGTATACACTGCACCCTATTTGTAGTCTTTTATCCCTTGCCCCCTTCCCATTCTTCCCCCCAAGTCCCCAAAGTCCATTGTATCATTCTTATGCCTTTGCGTTCCCATAGCTTAGTTCCCACATATCAGTGAGAACATATGATGTTTGACATTCCTGAGTTACTTCACTTAGAATAATAGTCTCCAATCTCATCCAGGTAGCTGTGAATGCCCTTAATTCATTCCTTTTTATGGCTGAGTAGTATTCCATTGTATATATATACCACAGTTTCTTTATCCACTCATTGATTGATGGGCATTTGGGATGGTTCCACGATTTGGCAATTGTGAATTGTGCTGCTATAAACATGCATGTGCAAGTATCTTTTTTGTATAATATCTTCTTTTCCTCTGGGTAGATAACGCAGTAGTCAGATTGCTGGATCAAATGGTAGTTCTACTTTTAGTTCTTTAAGGAATCTCCACACTGTTTTCCATAGTGGTTGCACTAGTTTACATTCCCATCAGCAGTGTAGAAGGGTGTTTCTTGATGCACTGGATCCATGCCAACAGCTACTGTTTTTTTATTTTTTCATTATGGTCATTCTTGCAGGAGTAAGGTGGTATCACACTGTGGTTTTGATTTGTATTTCCCTGATCATTAATGATGTTGAGCATCTTTTCATGTTTGTTGGCCATTTTCATATCTTCTTTTATGAATTGTCTACTCATGTCCTTAGCCCACTTTTTGATGGGATTGTTTGTTGTTTTCTTGCTGATTTGTTTGAACTCATTGTAGATTCTGGATATTAGTCCTTTGTCAGATGTACAGATTGCGAAGATTTTCTCTCACTCTGTAGATTGTCTGTTTACTCTGCTGACTGTTCCCTTTGCTGTGCAAAAGCTCTTTAGTTTAATTAAGTTCCAGCTACTTATCTTTATTTTTATTGCATTTGCTTTTGGGTTCTTGGTCATGAAATCCTTGCCTAAGCCAATGTCTAGAAGGGTTTTTCCAATGGTATCTTCTAGACTTTTTATAGTTTCAGGTCTTGGATTTAAGAGATTTAAATCCTTAATCCATCTTGAGTTGATTTTTGTATAAGGTGAGAGATGAGGATCCAGTTTCATTCTCCTACATGTGGCTAGCCAATCACCCCAGCACTATTTGTTGAAAAGGATGTCCTTTCCCCACTTTTTTTTTTTTTTTTTTGCTTTGTCGAAGACCAGTTCGCTTTAAGTATTTGGGTTTATTTCTGGGTTCTCTATTCTGTTCCATTGGTCTATGTGCCTATTTTTATATCAGGAACATGCTGTTTTGGTGACTATAGCCTTATAGTATAGTTTGAAATCAGGTAGTGTGATGCCTCCAGATTTGTTCTTTTTGCTTAGTCTTGCTTTGATTATGTGGGTTCTTTTATGGTTCCATATGAATTTTATAATTTTTTCCTAATTCTGTGAAGAATGATGGTGGTATTTTGATGGAAACTGCGTTGAATTTGTAGATTGCTTTTGGCAGTATGGTCATTTTCACAATATTGATTCTACCCATCCATGAGTATGAGATGTGTTTCCATTTGCATCATCTATGATTTCTTTTAGCAGTGTTTTGTAGCTTTCCTTGCAGAGGTCTTTCACCTCCTTGGTTAGGTATATTCCTAAGTATTTTATTTGTTTTTTTGCAGCTATTGTAAAAGACGATGAGTTCTTAATTTGGCTCTCTGCTTGTTCATTGTTGGTGTATAGAAGAGCTACTGATTTGTGTACATTAATTTTGTATCCAGAAACTTTACTGAATTCTTTTGTCAGTTCTAGGAGCTTTCTAGAGGAGTCTTTAGGGTTTTCAAAGTAAATGATCATGTCATCAGCAAACAGTGATGGCTGGACTTTCTCTTTGCCCATTTGGATACCCTTTATTTCTCTCTCTTGTCTGATTGCTCTGGCAAGGACTTCCAGTACAATGTTGAAGAGGAGTGATGAGAGTGGGCATCCTTGTCTTGTTCCAGTTCTTGGAGGGAACATTTTCAACTTTTCCCCATTCAGTATTATGTTGGCTGTGGGTTTGTCATAGATGGCTTTTTTTACACTGAGGTGTGTTCCTTGTGTGCCGATTTTGCTGAGAGTTTTAATTATAAAAGGATGCTGGATTTTGTTGAAAGCTTTTTCTGCATCTACTGAGATGATCATATGATTTTTGTTTTTAATTCTGTTTATGTGGTATATCACATTTATTGACTTGCATATGTTAAACCATCCCTGAATCCCTGGTGTGAAAGCCACTTGATCATTGTGGATTAACTTTTTGATACGTTGTTGGATTTGATTAGCTAAATATTAAGGATTTTGGTTAGCTAAATGTTAAGGATCTTAGCATCTATGTTCATCAGGGATATCGGCCTGCAGTTTTCTTTTTTTGGTTGTGTCCTTTCCTGGTTTTGGTATTAGGGTGGTGCTGGTTTCGTAGAATGAATTAGGGAGGGTTCCCTCTTTCTCTGTCTTGTGGAATAGTGTCAATAGGATGGGTATCAATTCTTCTTTGAATGTCCGGTAGAATTCTGCTGTGAATCTGTCTGGTCCTGGACATTTGTTGTTGGTAAATTTTAAATTACCAATTCAATCTCACTGCTTGTTATTGGTCTGTTCAGGGTATCTAGTTCTTCCTGATTTAAGCTAGGAGGGTTGTATTTTTCCAGGAGTTTATCCATCTCTTCTAGGTTTTCTAGTTTGTGAGTGTAAAGGTGTTCATAGTAGCCTTGAATGATCTTTTGTATTTCTGTGGTGTCAGTTGTCATATCTCCTGTTTTGTATCTTATTGAGGTTATTTGGATTTTTCTCTCTTCTTTTCTTAGTTAATCTTGCTAATGGTCTATCAATTTTATTTATCTTTTTAAAGAACCAGCTTTTTGTTTCACTTATCTTTAGTATTGCTTTTTTGTTTGTTTGTTTCAATTTCATTTAGTTCTGCTCTGATCTTGGTTATTTTCTTTATTCTGCTGGGTTTGGGTTTGATTTGTTCTTGTTTCTCTAGTTCCTTGAGGTGTGACATTAGACTGTCAGTTTGTGCTCTTTCAGTCTTTGTGATGTAGGTATTTAGGGCTATGAACTTTCCTCTTAGCATCACCTTTGCTGTATCCCAGAGATTTTGATAGGTTGTGTCACTATTGTCGTTCAGTTCTATGAATTTTTAAATTTCCATCTTATTTTTGTTTTTGATCCAGTGATCATTTGGGAGCAGGTTATTTAATTTTCATGTATTTGCATGGTTTTGAAGGTTCCTTTTGGAGTTGATTTCCCATTTTATTCCACTGTGGTCTGCAAGAGTGCTTGATATAATTCCAATTTTCTTAAATTTATTGAGGCTCATTTTGTGGCCTATCATATGGTCCATCTTGGAGAAAGTTCCATGAACTGTTGAGTAGCATGTGTATTCTGTGGTTGTTTGATGGAATGTTCTGTATATATCTGTTAAGTCCATTTGTTCCAAGGTATAGTTTAAATTCATTGTTTCTTTGTTGACTTTCTGTCTTGATGACCTGTCTCGTGCTGTCAGTGGAGTACTGAATTCCCCCACTATTATTGTGTTGCTGTCTATCTCATTTCTTAAGTCTATTAGTAATTGTTTTATAAATATGGGAGCTCCAGTGTTAGGTGCACATATGTTTAGGATTGTGGTATTTTTCTGGTTGGACAGGGCCTTTTACCACTATATAATGCCCCCTTTGTCTTTTTAAACTGCTGTTGCTTTAAAGTTTGTTTTGTCTGATATAAAAGTAGTTGTTCCTGCTCTCTTTTGGTGTTCATTTGCATGAAATGCCTTTTTTCCACCCTTTTACTTTAAGTTTATGTGAGTCCTTATATGTTAGGTGAGTCTCTTGAAGGCAGCAAATGGTTGGTGAATTCTTATCCATTCTGCAGTTCCGTATCTTTTAAGTAAAGCATTTAGGCATTTACATCCAATGTTAGTATTGAGATGTGAGGTTCCATTAATTGTGCTATTTGTTGCCTGTGTACCTTGGTTTTTTGCTTTTTTGTTTTTTAATTGTATTTTTGTTTTATAGGTCCTGTGAGAATTATGCTTTAAAGAGGTTCTGTTTTGATGTGTTTCCAGGATTTGTTTCAAGATTTAGAGCTCCTTTTAGCAGTTCTTAGAGTGCTGGCTTGGTAGTGGTGAATTCTCTCAGCATTTGTCTGAAAAAGACTGTATCTTTCCTTCATATACGATGCTTCATTTTGCTAGATACAAAATTCTTGGCTGATAGTTGTTCTGTATGAGGAGCCTGAAGATAGGGCACCAATCCCTTCTAGCTTGTAGGGTTTCTGCTGAGAAATCTGCTGTTAATCTGATAGGTTTTCTTTTATTAATTACCTGTTGCTTTTGTCTCACAGCTCTTAAGATTCTTTCCTTCGTCTTGACTTTAAATAACCTGATGACAATGTGCCTAGGTGATGATCTTTCTGTGATGAATTTCCCAGGTGTTCTTTGTGCTTCTTGTATTTGGATGTCTAGGTCTCTAGCAAGGCTGGGGAAGTTTTCCTCGATTATTCCCCCAAATATGTTTTCCAAACTTCTAGATTTCTCTTCTTCCTCAGGAACACTGATTATTCTTAGGTTTGGTCATTTAACATAATCTCAGACTTCTTGGAGGCTTTGTTCATATTTTCTTATTCTTTTTTCTTTGTCTTTGTTGGATTGGGTTAATTTGAAGAACTTGTCTTTGAGCTCTGAATTTCTTTCTTCTATTCTTCAATTTCTTGTTCAATTCTATTGTTAAGACTTTCCAGAGCATTTTGCATTTCTCTAAGTAGGTCCAATATTTCCTGAAGTTTTGATTGCTTTTTATTTATGCTATGTATTTCATTGAATATTTCTCCCTTCACTTCTTCTATCATTTTTTGGATTTCCTTGAACTGGGCTTCACCTTTCTCTGGTGCCTCTCTGATTGACTTAATAACTAATCTCCTGAATTCTTTTTCAGGTAACTCAGGGATTTCTTCTTAGTTTGAATCCATTGCTAGTGAGTTACTGTGATTTTGGGGGCTATTAAAGGGCCTTGTTTTGTCATATTATCAGAGTTCATTTTCTGGTTCCTTCTCATTTGGGTAGGCTCTGTCAGAGGGAAATATGGCTGAAGGCTGTTGTTCAGATTCTTTTGACCCACAGGGTGCTCCCTTGATGTAGTATGCTCCATCCTTTCCTATGGATGTGGCTTCTTGAGAGCTGAGCTGTACTGATGGTTATCTCTCTTCTGAGTCCAGCCACCCAGCAAGTCTACCGGGCTCTGGGCTGGTGCTAGGGGTTGTCTGCACAGAGTCCTGTGATGTGAACCATCTATGGGTCTCTCAGCCATGGACACCAGCACCTGTTCTGGCAGAGGTGGCAGGGGAGTGAAATGGGCTCTGTGAGGATTCTTAGCTTTGGTGGTTTAATGCTCTATTTCTGTGCTGGTTGGCCTCCTGACAGGAGGTGGCACTTTCCAGAGAGCATTAGCTGTGGTAATATGGAGAGGAACCAGTGGTGAGTGGGGCCCTAGAACTCCCAAGAATATATGCCCTTTGTGTTCAGGTACCCGGTTGGGTAGGGAAGGACCATCAGTTGGGGACAGGGCTAGGCATGTCTGAGCTCAGACTCTCCTTGGGCTGGTCTTGCTGCGGCTGCTGTGGGGGATAGGGGTGAGGTTCCTAGATCAATGGAGTTATGTACTTAGGAGGATTATGGCTCCCGCTGCCGAGTCATGCAGGTTGTCAGGGAAGTGGGCAAAAGCCAGCAGTTACAGGCCTCACCCAGCTCCCATGCAATCCAAAGGGCTGGTCTTACTCCCACCGTGCCCCCACCAATAATAGCATTGAGTCTGTTTCCAGGCAGTGGGTGAGCAGGGCTGAGAACTTGCCCCAGGCTACCCACCTCCCAGCTGTGAAAGCAAGTATGGCTTTAGTTCTTCCCCTGCCTGTAGAGTCTGCATGCTGGATTTGTGCCCTCCCCAGAGTCCTGCCCAGGAGGCTTCTTATCCAGTTCAAATTGTTACAAAGTTCAGCTGGAGACTTCCTTTTCCCTGTGGCATTTTCCCTGGGCCTGTGGCCGTCCTCCTGAAGCATCCCTGTGATGCCAGACGGGAATGGCCTGCTTGGGGACCTAGGGAGCTCCCAGGGCCTTTCTTGCTGCTTCCTCTAACCCTGTATTTCACTCAGTTCTCTAAACTGACTCAGCTCCAGGTAAGGCTGGAATCTTCTCCTGTAAACTAGACCTTCAGTTTCCCTGGTGGGAAATCAGTGGTGGAGGAGCTTCCTTTCCCACTTCTGCAGTTTGGGCACTCACAGTATTCGAGGTGTCTCCTGGGTCCTGCAGGAGCAATCTGCTTGCTTCAGAGGGTCTGCGGGTCCCTTCAGGTTTCTTGATATATTCCTGCAGTTGTTCTGAAGCTAAAATTCACAATGTGAGACACGCTGCTCTATCGATCCAAGTTGGAGTTGCAATCTAGTCCTGCCTCCCGTCCGCCATGATCTGTTATGTTTCTTTAGTATCTTATAATCTAGACTCTCCTGCCCTCCTCTCAATCACATTGCCGTTTTAGAGAGACCAGATTTGTGTTCTTACAAAATACCCTATAGTCGGAATTATTCTGAGCATTCTTACAGTGCCATTTCTTTTTCTTTTCTCTTCTCTTTTCTTTTCCTTTCTTTTCTCTCTTCTCTTCTCTTGTCTTCTCCTTCTCCTTCTCCTCTCTCCCTCCCTCTTTTCTTTTCTCTTTTCTTTCTTTTCTTTCCTTTCTCCTTTTTTCTTTTCTCTTTTCTTTTCTTTCCCCTCTCTCTCTTCCCTTCCTTCAATCTTTCTTTTCTTTTTCTTTTGAGACAGGATCTTACTTTATTGTCCAGGCTGGAGTGCAGTGGTGCCATCTCGGCTCACTACAACTCTTCCCCTAGGGCTCAAGCAATCCTCCCACCTCAGCCTCCTGAGTAGCTGTGACTACAGGTGCGTGCCACCATGCCTGGCTAATTTTTGTATTTTTTGTAGAGATGGGGTTTCACCATATTCCCAGGATGGTCTCAAACATCTGGGCTCAAGCAATCTGCCCACCTCAGCCTTCCAAAGTGTGGGGATTACAGGCATGAGCCAAAGTGCCCAGCTGGCTGATTTCCAAAATAAGGGGTTGACAGCAATTTTTTCTTCTTTATCTTTTTAATTTGAAATTTCACCAGGGACTTTCTGCTCGGGTGAGGCATGCCCACCAATGCAACTGATCTCAGATGTTGATTTCCTACTTACTTGTAAACTGAGGTTTGGGGTAGTCTCTGTCCCCAGTTTACGTGTAAGCAGGACTTATAGGTGAAGTTATGAGCTCTCTTTGCTGATGTGCATGGTTTGTAGAAGGCTGTGTGCAGAGATTCAAATTGTGGGCCACCCTTCTCCTCTGGGAATAAAAAAACCTTCTATAATTTTAAATATACACTTTCTGCATATTATTGGTCAAATTTATTTTTCTTGTGATTTATTCTATTAATTGCATATATGTTCTTCTATTTCTGCACAATTTTATTTTGATTATTTAATTTTAATCCAGCTGGAATGTATTTTACTATATTGTGTCAGGCTAGGACATAAACAATGACTTTTACCCCAAACATCCAATCTTCCCATCCTAATTTCTTTAATAATTTATCCTTTCTGTAGTGGCACGTGTCCCCTTGTGTGTGTTGATTCTTATATTCTTACACACTGTGCAATCACCTTAGCTTCAAAACATATTTTTACGTTTTAAAAAAGATTAGATATCGGCCGGGCGCGGTGGCTCAAGCCTGTAATCCCAGCACTTTGGGAGGCCGAGACGTGCGGATCACAAGGTCAGGAGATCGAGACCAGCCTGGCTAATACGGTGAAACCCCGTCTCTACTAAAAAATACAAAAAAAACTAGCCGGGTGAGGTGGCGGGCGCCTGTAGTCCCAGCTACTCGGGAGGCTGAGGCAGGAGAATGGCGTAGACCCGGGAGGCGGAGCTTGCAGTGAGCTGAGATGCGGCCACTGCACTCCAGCCTGGGCGACAGAGCGACACTCTGTCTCAAAAAAAAAAAAAAAAAAAAAAAATAGATATCTTTTTAAGAATGCTAGTTTTGCTTATTTTTTTTTATTGTGGATGTGCTGCAGAGTAACTAGACAAGTTCCCTAAACCCTCCCACGGGACTGCAAAGGCTGTTAGGTGAGAATCAATCACTGACAGTTTCCTCTTAGGAGGTAGGACAAGTCAGAGCCAGGAAAGGTGCAGTTCAGGGACGCTCACATGAGGTTTTCAGGGAGGATCCCCAACAAGTCGAGGGAAAATAACTCAGTGAACAGAACACCTCATGCCAGGCTCCATTTTTGGTCTGGTGTGGGGTGACCTTCTCTCCCTGCCCGCTGAAGTCCTGCCACGGTTAGGAGAATAAACTGCTCATGTGTTACCTTTGTAGTGTTTGCGGCAGCCAAAAGGTCTGATTCTATTTCCATTTCTTTTTTATCATCCAGAGATATCTCTTCGGATGGTGGGATCACAAACACAAAATGCTCCAGGTCGTCTGTCATGGTCAAAGGCGGCCGCTTCACAGGGTAGGAGACGATTGAGAATAAGGCGGGAGGCGGGATGGGTGGTCCGGAGGATCCCAGACCCAAGATGTCTAGGATCTAAAGGAAAGGCCCATTGTGAATTTCCTGTGCAAAACCCTATGCCTCTCTTCCTCTCTTACCATAGCCTTTGTTACACTTTATGGCAATTGTTTAATTGTCTGCCTTTGCAACTGGACTGTAAACTCCATTAGGACGGTTAGCAGGTGGATATGGCACACAGCCAAGCACATAGCAGGCAATCAATAAATCTCTGTTTAATATGAAGAGGCCAGCTCTTAACGTTCTAATGTCTAAAGTATAGAGTTGTTCCACCTATTTTCAGATTCCATGTTAATTTTTCTTTTTGCGTTAAATATTCCTTCCTTCCAAGGGTGAAAGAAAGTTGGGATGGGAGCAAGTCAAATGTAGCAAAGAAAATAATAAAGCAAAGGTTCTGGGACTAGGGTAGAGAATGGGAATGAAGAGAGAAGTGAAAAATAACCTGAGAGAGAAAACATTTATTCCTCCAGCATTTTCCCATTCTGCTCTCATATATAATGAATGAGCAATTTCCAGAGCAAATGGTTTGGAAATTTAACAGCCACTTCCTGCCTCAGAACAAGCATGTTACCTCTAGACTAACAGCCATTATCACAACAGTAAAGGTTACAGCCCACCTGAGGGCCCAGCCTGTGGACCACTGGGCCTGTTAGGCCCAGCAAGTAACTAAATATCTCCATGCAATCCTGTGCTTCTCATCCTGTGTGTCAAGGAGCTAAAGGCATTTCCTGACTAATATGCAGCCGAGTTAACTCCCAGGATTTAGAACCTCTATGGGGAAAGGCATGAATGATCTGTAGCAATTGTTGAATTACCAGAGCCAGGGAGCTCTTCAAACAGCAGTCTAACCTATGATTTGGAAGGTGGAAAGTATAAAACAAGGCAAGATGTTCTTGTTATAGTCCTTTTAAAAAAAAAAAAACATTTCTGCAGGAAAAAAAATCACAATTCCTTAGCTAAGGCTGGCCTGAGGTGAAACTGGTAAGGGCATAGAGCTGGTATTGCATGTCCCCCAGCAGTCCTTCCCACCTTTGGTGCCACCCAGGACCACTGCAGCAAGGCTTCTACTGTGGGTCGCAGCACATGGAAGTCACATGGATCGCAGGGATGACTCTGATCCTCCCGTCATCCCTGACCTGCCACATATTCCTCCCAGGCTCTAGTCTCTACTTTTAAAAGTTGACTCACGTCTGTAATCCCAGCACTTTGGGAGGGTGAGGCTGACCATTTGAGGTCAGAAGTTTAAGACCAGCCTGACCAACATAGTGAAACCCTGTCTCTACCAAAGATACAAAAAAGTTAGTTGGGTGTGCTGGTGCATGCCTATCGTCCCAGCTACTTAGGAGGCTGAGGCAGGAGAATCACTTGAACATGGGAAGCGGAGGTTGCAGTGAGCTGAGATTGCACTACTGCACTCCAGCCTGGGCAACAGAACGAGACTCCATCTAAAAAAAAAAAAAAAAAAAAAAAAAAGCTGCATCTAGTTTGTCATGGATGAAACCAGAAGGCAGCAAACTATGGTGCCCTGGCTGAATCTGGCCTGCTACTTTTTCTAAATAAACTTGAATTGGAACACGGCCATGCCCATTCATTTACATGTTGCTGGTGGTCACTTTTACCCGCCGAAGGCTGAGTGGAGCAGTTGTGATAGAAGCAGTATCACCTGTAGCCTAAAATACTTACTTTCTCGTCCTTCACAGAAAAAACCTGTCCCTGGAGAAAAGGCTATAATAAGCCTCTCCTCCAAACTGCTAGCAAAGGTGGCTTTTGGATACACAATACTTTTGTTTACAGGAACGAAGAGCTGTCTTACAGGATAATTTCTGTCACTGTGGGAGGTAGTGGGAAGACTTTGGAGTGGATGGGTCTCCTGCTTCACCCCAAAGCCTCACCTGCCTTGTCACTCTGTAGCACCCATATTATCAACATTAAAAATCAGCCGTTACAGGTGGCTTTCCATAAGCTTGGATGGACTAATTTAGATGTGTGACATCTCCTACAAATTTTCTCTTGCCAAGTAGGAAAGGTCCTTTAGTCATTATTGTCTTAATTCCGAGGGGGCATCAGAAATGAATGCAGTTGAGGGGATGTGGGTTTCGGGTAGGGAGAAGCACCCCTGATGATCTTAGCACAGTGCCTGCTGCCTGACTTGTGACCTCCCCACCCTGGAGGAGAGTCCTTACCTGCTCTCCTTTGGGAAGCTTGTCACTCTCTAGGGCCTGCTTCCAGTTCAAGCCTTCAAAGTCTGGTGTCTGGATGTTAAGGAAGGGCACACCCAGGTCCTTCTCCTTTTTCCCTTCGTGGTCCTCCTCCCCTTCCCCCTCCCAGTCACTCCGCTCCTCCAGGGCTCGCAGCTTCTCTAGGCGCTCCCGCTCCGCCTTCTCCCTCTCCAGGCGCTCCTTCTCCGTGCGCTCCTTCTCCAGGCGCTCCCTCTCCCGGTCCTTACGGCCCCTGCGCCCACCGGAGGGGACCTGGCGCTGGTCGTCGGGCTCATGGGCCGCTTCCTCCATCCCTGCGGGAGGCAGCTGGACTCCTTGCTTCCGGTCCCAGTACATGAGGATGTTCTGGACATCCTTCAGTGTCAACTCATAGGCTTTAAACCTCTGGGCCAGTTGCTTGTCGGGGTCCTTTGAGACGTCCCCTTCACTGTCCTCTTGGTCCTGGACAAGAGGAAGCCCAAGCATGCTGACATCACCCATGTTCCTTTTCTTCTTATTTAGCTCTTCCTTCTCAGACACTGTTGGTTCCCTAACAGATATTTTCCTTTCAATTGTCTCCATCTTGACATCCACTTTGGTGAATGGAGGAACCTAGAAGGCATGACACAGAAAAGATGCGTCAAACAGTTTTTTATGGGGTAGTAAATTCCATGAGGAGGAGCAAAAAGACACTTTGTTTCTTGAGAAGGCCTCTGAGGACCCGGGCACCTCCTCTGCATGCTAAGGTTGTGCCTGGGAATCATCTTGGGGGTTTTTATCTAAATATTCATTCCATGGTCCTTCTCTGTTCGAGATCTGGCTGGGTCCTGGCATTGTGCATTTTGGAAAAGGTGCAGAGTGACTTTGATGTGTACTCCTGGTTGAGAGCTGCTGTTCTGCAGGATCAAGGGGAAAAGACTAACAGATGCAAGCCATCTGCACCTGCCTCAGGTGCCCTGGGATAGGCCATAGCATGTAGTGGTCCAATCCCAGCTGCACTGCTTGGTAGCTGTGACCCTGGGAGAGGACTTGGCCTCTCTCTGCCTCATCTGTATAATGGAGATAGCAATATTAATACTCCAGAGGACTCCTGAAGATAAAATGTGTGAATGCATGTAAAAAGCTTACAACAGTCCCTTTGCAGTTATTAAAACCACACACGTATTGTATACAATGGATATTGTTGGGAACAAATGGGGGTTTAGAATCTGGCTGCACCTCAGGCTTTTAAAATATGTATTTATTTAATGCACTGGGCATAGAGAAACCAACTTTATTCTTTTTCTTGCTGCACTTTTAAACTTGCTTTGTGGGCTCTGATTTTCTCCTCCCCTGGATGAAATCCTCGGGTAGGCTCCATCGTTTTCTGGGTCACTCTTTGATGATATTATGCAAAGTCTATTCCAGTCTAGTGACCGCTATCTGCAGTGCAGCCCACTGTCTCCCTTTCCAGGTCTAGCTCTTCTCTCTAAGTTCAGGCCAGCATGACTCATGGGGCTGGGGTTCAAAAATTAGACTCCAGGCCTGCCAAGGAAAGGAGATCCTGGTAAATCCCCTGGGCTTTGGGTTAGGTCTCTGAAAGGTTCCATATTAGGAATAAGGGTCAACCTGTCCTTTGCAGAGAGAGACATGGATGGAGCTGGAAGGCCATTATCCTCAGCAAACTAACGCAGGAACAGAAAACCAAATAATAAATGTTCTCCCACATGGCACAAGTATAATTATGTAACAAACCTGCACGTTATGCACATGTACCCTACAACTTAAAGTATAATAATAATAAATAAATTTAAAAAAAAAGTTTTCCCTTATAAGTGGGAGATGAATGATGAGGACACATGGACACATGGGTCGGGGGACAATACACACTGGGGTCTGTCAGGGGTTGGGGGGCAGGAGGAGGGAGAGCATCAGAAGAATAGTTAATGAACGCTGGGCTTAACATCTAGGTGATGGGATGATCTGTGCAGCAAACCATGGTGGCACATGTTTACCTATGTAACAAACCTGCACATCCTGCACATGTACCCCTGTACTTCAAATAACAGTGGGAAAAAGAAAAAAAAGAAGGTCAACCTGAAATAGCCCCACCCTCCCAGAGACTGTAGTTCAGTTTAAAATGATCTCAATCCTGATTGAATCAAGATTTCTAGTGCTCCTAGCCTAGCTGACTGCCAGTAGCAAACAGTGATTCTCTCTGGAGGGAGACAACATTTTCCAGAGCCTCAGAACGTTTTTTCCGTTCAGTATCTGGCCCTTGATAAAAACCTGGGTTGGGCATGGTGGCTCATGCCTGTAATCTCAGCACTTTGGGAGGCTGAGATGGGAGGATTGCTTGAGGCCAGCAATTCTAGACCAGCTTGGGCAAGCAAGACCCCCATCTTTAAAAAAATACTTGGCACCTAAAGAGATAAGATCATGTGACCATAAAGCAAGAGCAAAAGACAGACAGGAGACCAGACTGCTGAGGATCTATGCATGGCTCTATAAGACAAGGACTTTAAAACATACTTAATCTGCTGAGGGAATTAAAACACGATTGAGAAGTGAGAATTTTGAAGAGAACTAGAAACAGTAAGAAAAGAATTAATGGCTTTTTAATGCAAAAACAAAATGAAAAACTGAAAGGAAGTTTGAATAGCAGGTTAGACCTCACTGAAAAAAAGACATCGAACTAGACAATATGTCAGAAGAAAATATTCAGTATAAAGAGAGCACAAAAGTATGTAGAACATAGAAAAAGCACAAAAGACATGTATTACTGTGAAAGGTTTGCAAAAAGGCCTAGTATATTTATGATTGGAATCCCAGACGGAGAGGAGAGAAAGAATGGAGGAGAAGAAATCTGAAAGAGTTATCAGCTAATGGTTCCCAACCCACATATTCAAGAATCACTATAAACCTCAAGTAGTAAAATACAAAGAAAACAACACCTAGGCAAATCACAGTAAATTACTGAATGAAGACATGACATCCTGAAGGTGTTGAGACCTTAAAGACAAAGAGAAACATCTTAAAGGCAGTTAGAGTCAGAAAGAGGTAGGAGGCGGGGCTCAGACGCTGGACCAGATTGAGGACTCGCTAAAACAGGGTGGGGGTGGAAACAGCTTTCCAATCAGACACGCCCACCAGTGTGCCATGTCAATATATCATTGCCATGGCAACACTCAGGAGTTACCACCCCTTTCATGGCCATGACTCAATGACCCAAAAGACCTCTTCCCTACAAATTTCTGCATATTCTGCCCCTTCATCTGCATGCAATTAAAAGTGGGTATAAATATGACTGTAAAGTGTCCTGAGCTGCTACTCTTTGCCTACAGGGTAGCCCTGCTGGGCAGGAGCAGTCACAGAACTGTCACACTGCCTCTTCAATAAAGCTGTTTTCTTCCACCTCCGGCGTGCCCTTGAATACTTTCCTGGGCAAAGCCAAGAACCCTCTGGGCTAAGCCCCACTGTGGGGCTCACCTGCCCTGTATCACGGCTAACACGGAAGGAGCACAATCATGCTGACAGACAACATCTCAACAGCCACATGGAAGACAAAGATAGAAAAATAATATCAAAGTGCTGAAGAAAAATGGCTGGCAACCTAGAGGCCTGCCTAGAAAAAAACACCCTTTAAAAATCAAGGTGAAGTTAAGACATTTTGGACAAGCAAAACTTGAGTAATTTGTTGCCAAAGAACCTGTACCTAAAAAAACAAAACACAACACCCAGGAATGTTCTTTAGGTAAAAGAAAACAAATACAAGAGATGTAGAAAGGAGTTAAAGATTGTTTAGGAGGGTGCTGAGAAATGCATATTGATAAATATTGATGAATGGGCATTTAGGTAAAAATAAATGCAAATTGATTGTTTTAATCAATAAGAATAATGTTTCTGCATTAAAAATATATAGTGAGAATTCAAATACATAACAACATTAGCATATAATTTAGAAGAGGGTAGCACTTTGGGAGGCCGAGGCGGGTGGATTGCTTGAGCCCAGGAGTCTGAGAACAGCTTGGGCAACATGGCAAAATCACATTTCTACAAAAAAATTAGCCAGACATAGTGGTGTACCCCTGCAGTCCCAGCTACTCGGGAGGCTGAGGTGGGAGGATCACCTGAGCCTGGGAGAGATCAAGGCTGCAGTGAGTGGTGTCCACGCCAAGCACTCCAGCCTGGGTGATGTAGTGAGACCCTGCCTCAAAAAAAAAAAAAAAAAAAAAAAAAAAAAAAAAAAGAGGGTAAATGTGGTTAAATGAGGTTATTCTAAGACTCTTGTATCTTCAACAGAAATACTTGAAGGTGGTGGCTGAAGAAAATAAGACCCTTCCTACTCTATTAACACACTATTTAGTCAAGTGATTACATGGATCAAATTTCCACTAGGCTTTGTTCAATTGTACTTTAGTAAACAACAGCCAATACAAAAGAAACCATTGACCCAAAATATAAACATAAAGGTAAACTTTCTTTTTAAGGAATAACATTTGGGAGAAATTTGCTTTTATAGATTTGAAGTAAGAAATGATGGCTGGCAAGGGCTCATTTGAGGGAGGAAGGCAAGTTGAGAGGGATGGAATTGGGTTTAAGATTGAGCTGGAGGGTAGAAAGGAAGATTTTGGACAGAAAAAAGAAAGAAGGAAGCAAAGGAAAGTTCAGAGGAGAAACAAGGACGATGGCCAAATGCAAGGCTTTCTTCTTCTATAGTGAGAAATCATCATTAATTTGTTTAAAACAGGATTATTTTGGTTGGGTGCATTGGCTCATGCCTGTAATCCCAGCATTTTGGGAGGCCAAGGCAGGTGGATCACCTGAGGTCAGGACTTCAAGACCAGGCTGACCAACATGGTGAAACCTTGTCTCTACTAAAAAATACAAAAATTAGCTGGGTGTGGTGGCACACTCCTGTAATCCCAGCTACTTGGGAGGCTGAGGCAGAAGAATTGCTTGAACCGGGGAGGTAGAGGTTGCAGTGAGCAGAGATTGTGCCACTGCACTCCAGCCTGGGTGACAAGGGTGAAACTCCAACTGAAAAAACAAAACAAAACAACAACAACAAGAAGCAGAATCAGATGTAGTTGAAGTGCACTTTTTTGGTTAGATTTTTGAAACAAAAATTTTAAGAGATAACAGGCTTTTCAAGAGGACAGAGAAGACCTGAGCAGGAAGGGAACTTAGAGATCATCAAGGGATGAGATAAGGAAACTTTGGCCCAGAGGGTATATGACAAATTCATAGCTTCACAGATTAATCTTTGAGTTTCCAGACTGACAGGTGTATTTCTCACTTCCTGTCCTGTCTCCCATTATAGCTGGTTCTGTGATTTTTTTTCTTGTCCAACATCCCTTTATTTTCCCATCCTTGATTCTTGCTCTGTGCAATACCTCTTCTTCCAGGAGTAAGCAGGTGATTCAGAACTGACCAGGCACAGAATGGCATCCCCCTGGCCAAGGGGACTGGTTCAGAACAGGCACACGGCGCTCTCCAGTGACAGTGAAAGCCAGCACTGTGGCCAAAACGGTGTTTAACGAAGCACTCCTTTCCAGCTGGGTTTGGATCTGGGCGAGTTTAAGCCAGAACTTTCGGGGTCTCTCATGTGGAGGGCATCAGTCAGAGACCAG